AGCTCGTAGTCACGCTGAGCGGCAACGTGCAGCAGCACCCGAAGAGTGGTCATCTTCGGGGTGGGGGAGAAGGTCTGGAAGAAGTCAACTCCCTCTCGCTGACTGAAGCCTCGAGCAACGTAACGAGCCTTGCAAACAGGCGGAGAACCCGGCGGCTGCTTCACCCTGAAAATCCACATGCCACTGACGATGTTTGCCCCAGGTGGGGGAACCTCGTCGACGTAAGTGCCAGTGGACTTCCAGGATGCCATCTCTGCGTCCATGGCTGTCTGCCACTGAAGGGAATACTCACCCGCGATCGCCTCAGCGTAAGAGCGCGGGTTCGGGATGTCTGGAGCATCCGGGTCTCCCTCAGGGGCAAGCAGCATGGCCACAAGATGAGGCGCAGCGGCTACAAGACACTCAAAGTCCTCCTGCCTGTCCTCAAGGACGTCCGTGCCAAGAGCACACTCACCCCCGACGGACGGAGGACAGACAGACTCAGACTCAGCAACAAGACTAGCGGCGTAGTCTAGACGACAGACAGCACCAAGGTGAACAAGCTCAGCGACTAAGGCAGACGCAGCAGCAGACTCAAACGACGGGTCAGTGACAACACTGGCTAGCAGACGCGTGAAAGTAGGGTGAGCAGCACGAGCGCGGTGAGATACAGGCTCAGCAACGACAGGCAGAGAAGACGCAGGAGAGGACGGCAGGGGAACACGCTGCGGAGCAGAGGAAGGACGCAGGGCCATGAGGTGTGTGCCGGGTACAGCCGGCGGACGCTCACGAGGAACACGACGACCAGTACGACCAGTGCGGACAGTGCGAACAGGCGAGACAGGACGAGACGCAGGCTCACGACGCTCAGCAAGACCGCTTGTCGGCTCAGTGTAAGGAGAAGGAGCAGGCAGCGGTGAGCCAGGCTGTAACGGAAGACCAGTAGAAGACGGGAGGCTAAGAACCTGGCGAAGGACGGAGCCAGGCGGTGGCAGAGACGAAGGTGACGGCGGAGCAAAGAACAGTCGCGGCGGTGCAGTGCCACCAGCACCAGTAGCTCCAGCACCTCCTGCAGCACCAGAATCTCCAGCGCCAGCACCCGCAGCAGCTCCAGAACCTCCAGCTCCGGCGCCACCAGCGCCAGCACCTTCAACAGCTCCAGAACCTCCAGCGCCAGCACCCGCAGCAGCTCCAGAACCTCCAGCTCCAGCGCCACCAGCGCCAGCACCTCCAACAGCTCCAGAACCTCCAGCGCCAGCACCCGCAGCAGCTCCAGAACCTCCAGCGCCGGCACCCGCAGCAGCTCTAGAACCTCCAGCTCCAGCGCCACCAGCGCCAGCACCTCCAACAGCTCCAGAACCTCCAGTGCAAGCGTCGACAGCAGCACCTCCAGGTCCAGCAGGACCTCCAGTCCCAGCAGCTCCAGGACCTCCAGTACGAGCACCTCCGGGACCAGCTGCTCCAGGAACTCCAGTAGAAACAACTCTAGTAGTAGAGTCACCAGCTCCAGCGCCTCCCGCAGCAGGGCCCCTGGCTCCAGTAGCGCGACCCTGACGGCTAACGTACCACTCATGCAGCTGCTGTGGGGAGAGAGGGGCAGCGCCGGCTCCAGTGCCTCCAACACCAGCGCCTCCCGCAGCAGGGCCCCCAGCTCCAGCAGCTCGACCCTGACGGCTAACGTACCACTCACGCAGCTGCTGTGGGGAGAGAGGGAGACGACGACGAGAGTGCAGCGGCGAGGCACCAGCGGAGCGACTACAGAGACGGTCGCTCCAGGGAGACTGCTCACCAGACGCCTTAGCGCCCCCAGGTGCAGCACCCCCAGACTCAGTACCCCCAGGCTCAGCACCCCCAGGCTCAGCACCCCCAGGCTCCGCACCCCCAGGCTCAGCACCCCCAGAAGCAGCACCTCGAGCAGGACCACCCTCAGCAGGACCTGAGTCACCAGTGACCTCAACCGGCGCAGTCAAGGGAGGAGGGTCTACCTAAGACACACCTGAAGGAGCACGACCGGGAGCGGGGAGGGGGTCTACCTGGGGAGCACCTGGAGCGAGGAAGAGCGGCGGGGGGGGGAGAGGGGCAGTGCGGTAGGGGAAGAGACGGTAAAAGGAAACCGACTCGTCGAACGTGACGTCCTGAGAGGGGAAGACACGTCGCGAGGTGGGGTGGTAAAACTGCCAACCAGGCTCGTCAGGGACGAAGCCAAGGAAGACACATGGAACAGCGCGGGCGGAGAGCTTGTATGCGGTGGTATCGCGGACAAAGGCATGAGAACCCCAGACCCAGAACACCGACGCATCGCCAACCTCCCCCGTCCACCGCAGTGTGGGCGAGGTCTCCGGCAAGGAGACACGGGGCCAGAGGTTGAGCTGATGTGCGGCGTAGCGGACCGCAAACGGCCACAGAAAATGGGGGGCAGCCGCATGGACCATGGAGGTACGAGCGACCTCCATGACCAAGTCTATGCGGCGCTCAGCAACCCCATTCTGCTGCGGAGAGGCCGGAAGCGTGAACGTCTGGCGAATGCCCTCCCCACGACAAAAGCTCTGCAGAAGGTCGGAGGAAAACTCCCCACCTCTGTCAGAGTGCAGACGCAGGACGGGAAACTCCGTCCTGAACCGCTCGCGGAGCTGGAGACGGGCAGCGCGGATCCAAGGGATCAAAACATCAGGGACCTCACCCTTGGTGCGCAAGGGGAAGACCATGGTGTAACGCGAGTAGTCGTCAACAACCAGCATGAAGTACCGCTCGCGGTCCTGCCCACTGACGCGGGCCGGGCCCCACACTCCATGTGCAGGGTCTGCAGGGGAGCAGTCGTCGGGGGAAACGAGGAGGAGTGAGGAGCGGCGCGCTGCCGCCCCTCGACACAGGGAAGACATGGAGGAGCAGGCGAGGGTGGGAGGGGAGGGAGAACCCTGGGAAGACCAGAGACAAGGACACGACGGTGCATGCTACGAAGGCGCTGCACCGAGGGGTGACCAAGACGGTGGTGCCAAAGGAGGGTCTGGTGCGACAAAGCGCGACACGAGCAGGGAGCCGCTAGCTGACCTGATGCAGACGCAGACGCAGCTACCTGAGGGGACACAGTAGTCAGTGTGTACAGACTCGAGCCAGGCGCACGGGTAAACGTGGCCAGGTGCCGGCCCGTCCGGGAGCACGTACAGTGGGTCACGCTCTGACCTCCAGGAGTGAACTGGTCAACCCACTGGTCCTGGAGGTCAGCACCACTCACCAAGTTCGTAGAGAATGAGGGGAGGTGAAGACCTGACAGGGAGCCAGATGGGACCGCCGGACACGGGAGGACCGTGGAGGAGTGCGCAAGGACTGGACCCCCAGAGGGGTCTGCCAGGGAGACTGCAACCGGCCGACTGAGTGGCGTGAGGGTGGTGATGTCGCGAAAGAAGGAGCGGGAAGCACCTGAGTCATGTGTGAAGGTGTACAAGGCCTCAGCAGGCGCAGTACCAGAGAGAGCAGACTCACCAGCATCTGGAGCAGCAGCCTCACCAGCACCTAGAGTAGGAGACGCACTAGCACCTAGAGCAGCAGCCTCACCAGCACCTAGAGCAGAAGATGCACTAGCACCTAGAGCAGCAGCCTCACCAGCACCGAGAGCAGCAGGCTCTATACCTTGGTCAGGCGGTACGCACAGGTAACAGGCACTAGTAGGCAATGCATACATGGCAGTGAGAATAGCATCATAGTCAAGAGCAAAGATATCTACCCGCTGCCTAAGCAGCTCCAGCCAGGTGGGGAGCTCAGCCTCGTCGCCAAACTCGGTACGCCAGGCGTCGCTCAGACGGGCGAAGCAGCGGGACTGTGTGTGACCAAGCGTCCCGCAAGCCTGATCAGCCCGATCACCTGTGCGAATGACGTACGGGCAGCGAACGGTCCTCCGAGACCCTCTACTCTTAGCGTACCATTCACGAAGCTGCTGGGGCGTAAGTGTCTCGCGCGGACGCGGATGCAGCTGCAGCTGGCCACTACCAGACGCTCCCGACTGACCAGCTCCAGGGCGACAGCCACGACGGCTACCGCCACAACCCCAACTAGCATACCACTCACGAAGCTGCTGGGGCGTGAGAGACTCACGCGGACGTCGCTGGAGCTGCATCTGGCCACCGCCAGTAGCAGTAGTAGCAGCAGTAGCAGCAGCAGCAGGGCAGGCGCGGCAGGCAGGCGGGCAGGCAGGCAGGCAGATGGCGTGGCAGCGCGCTACAGCCTACACAATATGAACAGTATAACAGTTTGACACAACAGCGCGGGTTTCGCTGCTGCGGCGCGGACTCCACTCCGCTTCCTAGCTGCGCGCTGCTACCGTACCTGCAGTTCGGGGGCTGAGCGGCCAAATCGCGGATTGGTCAGCAAAGTCGCACTTTTGCGGCTAGGTCGCAGGCGGGGCGGCTAGATCGCGGGCTGAGCGGCTAAGACGCGGGCTGGGCGGTTAGATCGCGGCCTAGGCACGAAGATCACGGGCTGGGCGGCTAAATTGCGGCCTGGGCGGCTCGATCGCGGCCTGGGCGGCTCGATCGCGGTCTGCCCACGTAGATCACGGGCTGGGCGGTTAGCTCGCTGCTGCATGCAGCGAAACCGCTGTCTGGGCGGCTGAATCACGAGCTGGGTGGCTAGATCACAAGCATCTAGCGAGAAACACTCTGCTGCCTGCGAATCGTGCTGCTACTAGAGGGAAAAGCGCTGCTGACTACGGATCGCTCTGTGATGGTGATTTAACATACAAAATTATAGAAAGGGCCTCTTTGGAAATATGTCAGAAACCTGTCAATGAGCTGGAAAGTGAACAAGTCACCAGGCAGCTGGTATAGGCGATGGATAACGGGGTATAGTACGCATTATACAACAATTAAGGATTACAATTGCCCTTACAGGTTTAGCCGAAAAATTAAGTGTAGTAGCATGGCGAGAGTCAGCCAACCTACAATACAGAGCACACATTTGTGTGCACAACTCAGCCCAACTAAAAACCCACTGAATCAGCCCACCGAACACGACCGAGCGAGTGTGTTTTAGTTGAGGGGCTCCATGGGGAACTCCTCGACGGGGCTCAGCTGCTTGGCGCGGTGGTACTCGGTTTGCGTGCAGTCCACGGACAGCACGGAGCTCGACTCGTACAGCCGGGGAGTGCCGTCAAGGAACCCAACGCCCTCCTGGCTGTCGGCCGAGATCGGACGGTGCAGGTTCGCGATCAGGCGCTGGAAGTCGGCGGCGCGAGCAGCGTGGTCGGGGCGGTACGTCTGGCCGAGCACGCCGTGCACGTCGTCGGTGTGCTCCAGCTCCACAATCCCCACGTTGATGTGCGCCTCGGCCTCGCTGGGCGTCTGCAGCTTGGGGTTGGCCACGCGCAGGCGCAGGTCGAGCGCCACGAGCCCGTCGATCGCGAGCGTGTAGTAGTCTACGTCATACGGGCCCTCCTTCTCCAGCGCCGCGAACCGCAGAGTCAGACCGCCCTCCGCCGTCACCTCGTCGCCCACGTTCATCCTCGGGATCTCCTCGCCGTCAATCTCGATCGTCTTCATGAATCCGTCGCCGCGCTCCTGCTGCTTGCCAGAGCGCGCCGCGAGCCGCACCTTGTGGTCGGCGCCGTTGGCGAACCACACGATGCCCAGCTCCTTAATCCACGTGTGCACGGCCTTGCCGTCCACAACGAGCGCCGCGTTCTCCGTGTCGTCCGAGTAGTACCCGCGCAGCAGCATGTTCACGTGCAGGTCCTTGTCCGTCAGCAGGCAGAACGCCTTGTCGGGGCGCCCGTTGAAGTCGAAGTGCGTGCCGTACGCGCCCACCAGATGCGGGTCGTTCACCACGTTTGCCGCGGGGTTGCACTCGCCGCCCGTGCGCACCTGCAGATGAACCGGCTTCGAGTCGGTGGCGTACTGCGCCGTCATGTCGCCGCACGAGTAGTCGATGTTGTCGTGCACCAGGTAGCATGCGCCCTCCGTCTTCTTGCCGTCGATCGTGATGTCGGGGATGTACTGCCAGTACGTGCAGCTGCTGTACCCCGCGCACGTGTTGCAGCACGTCTGCGGGGACGCCTTCTTCAGCGTCAGCGGGTTGCCCTTCACGTACACCTCCACGCCCAGCTTGTTCTTCAGCAGGTTCGACGTCTTCCACTTGGCGGCGATGCCGCCCTTGCTGCAGTTGGCCGGCGTGCACGCGCCCTCCCCGGGCTCGCCCAGGTCCTTGTGGCACTTCATTTTGTTCCATCCCGCAACCTTCACGTCCACCATCAGAATACTGTCCGTGCTCGGGCTCACGATCGTCGTTCCCTCGAACTTGTCAAGCCCGCCGGCGGCCGCCGCCTTCTCGATGCCAGGAGGGACCTCGGTTGCCACGCCATTCTCGCCCTTGGCCTTGTCCAGGTTCACCGCCGGGTTGTTGGGTCAGGTCACCACGGTTTGACCTGCGGACGCCACCGCCAGCAGCACGGCGAACGTTGCGACGAAAAGTAGACGCGCCATGAGGTACGTTATATGTGTTATGATATGAATGTTATGATATGAATTTGATGGACGATTTGCTGAGATTCTTCAGAATCCTTTTCTCTATGGTATGTTAGGTACTCCTATACTTCAATATGACTGACAGATCTTTTACCACCCTTTTTGTACCAGCACCGATTTGCCTTGTCCGCGTTGTGTGTGGGGTTGGATACCTCGCTTGTGGGAAACTACGTGAACAGTTAAGCGCTGTGTTGGAATTGTTGCGTGTCGCAGCGAGGTCTCGGCTCTCATCCACCCTCGAGTCACCAGTGCCAGGTTTGATTCAGGAGAAACAAATCGCTTGTGCAGTCTCCTTGGATCCAACCTGGATCAGCAGCGGCCTGTGCTTGAATCTTGTTACCTTCGAAGTTCAGGTCACTTCACTTTGGTCTCAAGGTGGGTTTGAAAGCGCAGGTCTCTACGGTGAAATTTTGCGCGGCCTGGGAATTGATCGGTTTGTTGCCCTGAGATCCAACCTGACTTGGCAGGTGGATGCGAAAGTCTGGAGTTCCTGCGGCCCGGGTAACCAAGAAGCCTGCTTCCTTTGGTTTGATAATGTGCACCATCGACTGTCGAGTGAGGCTACTTGAAAATACAATAAAAACAATAAAAGCAATTGCCATAAAATGCCTGGTGTGTCAAGCACCTAAAAGACAGGTTGGGTTGCAAGGGAAAGGGCAGTCAACTAGCTTTGTTACTTTCCGGTCAAAATACCAGTCACCAATAGCTTCTGCCATTGTCTGAACACATCATATGCAAAGAGAAAATGATGGGGGGGAACAGAGTGTAGAGAACAAATTACTTCGATGTATGAATGGGAGAACACTCATTTGCGTCCACATAACCAGACATGCACAAATCGAACGTGCTATAAGTAGCAAAAAGCTTTATCCATGCAGCACAGCACAACATAATGGCGACATTATTCAATAAAATGACTCACCTTGCCCCCAACACGAGGAGCACCAGCCCCGTGCCATGCTTGCGATGCCAGTGCCTGGTGCAAAGGACGAACAGGTAAGGAGTGAGCAGGGAAGTGAGAGAAAAGGAGAGATAGAGAGGGAGCAACAAGTGGTTCACGGGCCGTGCCTGTGCCACTCACCATGCAGCACCACTCACCATGCAGCACCACTCACCATGCAGCACCACTCACCATGCAGTACCACTCACCATGCAGCACCACTCACCATGCAGCACCACTCACCATGCAGTACCACTCACCATGCAGTACCACTCACCATGCAGTGCCACTCACCATGCAGTGCCACTCACCATGCAGTGCCACTCACCATGCAGTGCAGATGGCAGGACAACAGCAGAGCTCCATTGCGCGAGGCAGAGGCGGAGACCCCTCCTTCCTGGGAGCGGAAAGCCTCGCCCTCCACAACACCAAGCCCATCCCTCTTCATCGCTTCAAAATCCCTCCCCATTTCTCCAACTTCCAGCCCCTTGTGATATCCCAAGTCAGCCCTCTCATCTGCACTCGGCTTCTCCTCCTGCTCCCCTTCTTCCTCCTCCTCATTCCCCTCCACACGTGCACCACCCTCAGTTTCTTTTGCCTCCTCATTCTCTTCCTTCTCCTCTTCACCCCCCCTTTTCTCTTCACTCTCCGACTCCTCCTCACTTCCCTTCTCCTCCTCACTCCCTCTCTCATTCTCACCTCCCGTCTCCTCCCCGCTCTTACTCTCGCCATCACCCCCTTCCTCCTCCTCACCATCACCATCCCCTATGTTCTTTTCCCCTACCTCCTCCGTACCTCCCTCCTCAACACCAATCCCTCCGCCTTCCACCAAAGTCAGGCGGCGGCGATGGTGGGGAGGAGGGCTAAGAGAGTGCGTGGCAGGGAGAAAGGGGGAGAGCTTGGTAACCATCTGGTGGTGGTACCCTGGGTGGGGTGGGGTGGGGTGAGGTGGGGTGGGGTGGGGTGGGGTATGGAGAAAGAGAGGTTCCAGGGCGCATGACGGGAAGGAATTAGATGGGGCATTTTTTTGAGACGTCTCAAAAATACACTTCTTTCACGTGGCGATTTGGATCAGTCAGGTGGATTATGGTTTTGATGCAGCCACGAGATGTGGGTCTTCTCTAGAGTGGATTTTTGAGTCGACTCAAAAAATCGACTCATCACACGTGGGTCTTCTCTAGAGTGTGGAGCAACCACGAGAGTCGGGCAAGAAAGGGGCGCGGGGAGGGGTTTGGTGCGCGGTGGGGTGCGTGGGGGCACATCACATCAGTGCACGTCGTCGCACATCACCGCACGTCACCACTCATCACCGCACTGTACCGTGGAGCAGCTGCAGCAGGTGGGGCGGGCAGGAGCGCAGGTCAGTGCGGCAGTGGTGCCAATCCAGAGAGGGGAAGGCATGCTGCTGGGCGAATGAGAAAGACACCTAATGTTGGCAGGAAGGACGGGGGAGAGGGAGGGGGAGAGGGAGGAGACGAGGGGCCAAGGTTGGAGGGGAGGGAAGTGTAGGAGGGGACTCTGACCAGACGAACCAGAGTTACCGTGGTTGATGTGGCTGGTCCATCTGCTCAGAAGGTTTAGGTGATTCAATTCAACTCACCATTTAGCATGATTGGTCTAACCTGAAAAAAGTACTTGTCAGGAGTGACCCAACCTGAGGGATTACCTGCCAGGAGTCGTAGAGGGGGTTGAGAACGAAGAAGGGCCGGCAGAGGAAGGGAAGGAGATGCTCCGGGAAGAAGCACTGCGGGCGTGGTTGGGGCATGGTGCATGGCGGATGGTGCATGGGGGATGGTGCATGGCGGATGGTGCATGGGGGATGGTGCATGGGGGATGGTGCATGGGGGATGGTGCATGGGGGATGGGGGATGGTGCATGGGGGATGGCGCATGGTGGATGGGGGATGGTGCATGGGGGATGGTGCATGGGGGATGGTGTATGGGGGATGGTGCATGGGGGATGGTGCATGGTGGATGGTGCATGGTAGATGGTGCATGGTGCATGGTAGATGGTGCATGGTGGATGGTGCACGGTGGATGGTGGGGAGGAACGGAAGAAATCAATTAGTCATAAATCAGAGTTAATGATTCAGGGATAATAGAATTTGAGTCATGGACGGGCAATGGGCCATGACAGGATTTGGATCATAAATGATGGGCAATGTGACATAAATGATGGGCAATGTGACATAAATGATGGGCAATGTGACATAAATGATGGGTAATGTGACATAAATGATGGGTAATGTGACATAAATGATGGGTAATGTGACATAAATGATGGGTAATGTGACATACATGATGGGCAATGTGACATACATGATGGGTAATGTGACATACATGATGGGCAATGTGACATACATGATGGGCAATGTGACATACATGATGGGTAATGTGACATACATGATGGGCAATGTGACATACATGATGGGTAATGTGACATACATGATGGGCAATGTGACATACATGATGGGCAATGTGACATACATGATGGGCAATGTGACATACATGATGGGTAATGTGACATACATGATGGGCAATGTGACATACATGATGGGCAATGTGACATACATGATGGGTAATGTGACATACATGATGGGCAATGTGACATACATGATGGGCAATGTGACATACATGATGGGCAATGTGACATACATGATGGGCAATGTGACATACATGATGGGCAATGTGACATACATGATGGGCAATGTGACATACATGATGGGCAATGTGACATACATGATGGGTAATGTGACATACATGATGGGCAATGTGACATACATGATGGGCAATGTGACATACATGATGGGCAATGTGACATACATGATGGGTAATGTGACATACATGATGGGCAATGTGACATACATGATGGGGAATGTGACATACATGATGGGCAATGTGACATACATGATGGGAAATGTGACATACATGATGGGCAATGTGACATACATGATGGGTAATGTGACATACATGATGGGTAATGTGACATACATGATGGGTAATGTGACATACATGATGGGCAATGTGACATACATGATGGGCAATGTGACATACATGATGGGCAATGTGACATACATGATGGGCAATGTGACATACATGATGGGCAATGTGACATACATGATGGGCAATGTGACATACATGATGGGCAATGTGACATACATGATGGGCAATGTGACATACATGATGGGCAATGTGACATACATGATGGGCAATGTGACATACATGATGGGCAATGTGACATACATGATGGGCAATGTGACATACATGATGGGCAATGTGACATACATGATGGGCAATGTGACATACATGATGGGCAATGTGACATACATGATGGGCAATGTGACATACATGATGGGCAATGTGACATACATGATGGGCAACGTGACATACATGATGGGCAATGTGACATACATGATGGGCAATGTGACATACATGATGGGCAATGTGACATACATGATGGGCAACGTGACATACATGATGGGCAATGTGACATACATGATGGGCAATGTGACATACATGATGGGCAATGTGACATACATGATGGGCAATGTGACATACATGATGGGCAATGTGACATACATGATGGGCAATGTGACATACATGATGGGCAATGTGACATACATGATGGGCAATGTGACATACATGATGGGCAATGTGACATACATGATGGGCAATGTGACATACATGATGGGCAATGTGACATACATGATGGGCAATGTGACATACATGATGGGCAATGTGACATACATGATGGGCAATGTGACATACATGATGGGCAATGTGACATACATGATGGGCAATGTGACATACATGATGGGCAATGTGACATACATGATGGGCAATGTGACATACATGATGGGCAATGTGACATACATGATGGGCAATGTGACATACATGATGGGCAATGTGACATTGCCAGTGTTTCCTACGTCTTCCCAACGGTGAGCCATTGGTGCAGAAAGCATCGCTAAATAACCTGTGACCCCGCATGTACTCGATGCAGAGAGAATGGCAACAGAGAGCGTGAGCCTACTACACACACGCAGCTCACTGAGACATGTCTGAATCTCGATGGAGAGATAATGGCAACAGTGAGCACTAGCAGCAAAAACGAAGAAGCCGCAGCAGGAGCAAGATTAAAACGGGCGAGAATGAAGACAAGCGAGACGGAAGAGGAGCGAGAAGGAAGAGGAGCAGACGAGATAGTGGTCCTGTGGTGCCACCGCTGCCGTGCACCGCTCATGCAAAGACACGTTCTGACGGCGCAAGAAGGGAGGGGAGAGAGGGGAGGAAGAGAGACGATTGCCGTTGGAGGGGGATTTTGAGGCGCCTCAAAGAGGAGCGGACCAGAGAGTGGTCCTGTGGTGCCGCCGCTGCCGTGCACCGCTCATGCAGCGACACGTTCTGATGCGCCGCGCGTGGAGGGGGAGGGGAGGGAGTGGAAGAGGGGAAGGGAGGGGCAATTCGAGGGGGGGGAGGGGGTGGTGTGGGGGAGGGAGAGGAATGGGAGGGAGGGGATTTGTTTTAGTCGACTGAATATAAAAACTTGCATGTAGGGAAAGATAGGGCAGGACGATTGGACGTGGGTACAGGTGAGGAGGCAATGGGGACTTGGGCGTTGGGAAGTGGAGACGTGGGAAAACAGCCATGCTGATGCTCTGTGCACCACAGCACGTGCAGCACGCATGCAAGAGAGGAACCCGCGCCTGACAAGTCAGCTCATGACAGCTCATGCCAGCTCACGACAGCTCATGACAGCTCACGACAGCTCATGACAGCTCATGACAGCTCGTGCCAGCTCATGCCAGCTCATGGCAGGCCGTGCCAGCTTATGCCAGCTCACCTGAGTTTCAACAACCGCTTTGAACCGCTCTCGCATGCGCCTCACTCCTCCAACATCCTCTGAGTCCAAAAAGAACCCTGCATCACCCATGCACTTCACCACTGGACCTCCCCCCACTCGCCCTCTCCCCTCCATCACCCTCTCCTCCGCTCCTCCACCCGCCCTTCCTTCCTCGGCCCCTGCTCTCTCGCTCGTTCCTGATTGGCTGGAGGATTGCTGCAGAATCTCCGCCAGCCTATCACAGTGCTGCAAGGATGCGAGACCGCCAGCAGAGCAGCCGGATAATAAAACAAGGGATGCCGCCCCCATGCCGTGGTGGGACACGAGGTACCGGGTTACGGCGTCGAAGATGCGCCTCCCCCGGAAAAAGACGAGACCATTGTTTGTCTGAACTGGCTCGTTTGTGTCACCCAGGTATGAGGCACCGTCACAATAACGAACGAAGACCAGGTTCCAATTGTAGAAGCCTGTTGAAAAGTGGAGGAGAGGAAGATGGAATGGCGGAGGAGCAATGGCAGAGGGACAATGGAGGAGGGGCAATGGAAGAAGAGCAAGAGGAAGAGCAATAGTGTAAAGGGTAAAATACCTGTGCCTGGGCATTCCTGCTGCTTAAACAGGAACAACATCTTGGTGTGGTGCGGGGTGTGGAAGAATGATTGTGGCTCGGTTCTAGTCCAGTGCATCATACACTTCGATTGTGATACCTCGCCAGTGCATCATACTCGCCTCGCCAAATCACCCCCAGGATGACTTCTATTGAGCGCACCAGCATTGATTCGTTTTGCACTCTACAGTCAACCCTTGACTTTCAACGCACCGGGGTTGAATGTGGAGTCATGCTATGAGGGGGGATCCTCCCCAAGGCCATGAGTCCCCCCAAGCGCTTGGACGAAACAAGATGGGTGCCTTCAAGACGATTTAGACGCCGCATCAGGGTCTACATTCAACGCACCAGGGTTGACTTTCAACGCACCAGGGTTGACTTTCAACGCACCAGGGTTGACTTTCAACGCACCAGGGTTGACTTTCAACGCACCAGGGTTGACTTTCAACGCACCAGGATTGACCTTCAACGCACCAGGGTTGACTGTGGGGTCATGAGAGAGAATGCCTCCGAAGGCCATGAGTCCCCCCATGCGCTTGGACGAGCCCAGATGGGTGGCGGCGCGATGCGCACACTCCTCCTCGCTGTTACACCACCCCCCGCCCTGTCACAATACACGCATGTGACAATAGCAAGTGAATGCCACATTGGCACATGCTGTGACGGCTCAAGAAGACCCTCTGCTCTGTAGCAACACATGCACGTGACGGCATTGAGGGTGGACAATGACGTGGACGAGCAATGATATTAATTGACCTGCATTGATAGCGTTTGACCTGCGTTGACCTGCATTGATAGCGTTTGACCTGCGTTGACCTGCATTGATAGCGTTTGACCTGCGTTGACCTGCGTTGACTCGGTGCGTCCTACCTCGAGATATATCAGCCAGTTGTTCGCACCGCGACCCCATCCGGGGGAGAGATGGATGGCCGGCGGCGAGCCATCTAAGCACACTGCCCCGTCATCATCCAGGTCAGCAAGCACCGTCAGCGGGACCAGAGGCGACCGGGTGACGTGCTCCACGTCAGCGTCCTCGTGGAAATTCATGGCTGGCGTGGCATTTGGAGCCTCGCGACCCGGAAACGCGGAAGGGGAGAGGGATTCTGGTGAGGTGCCGGTGTGAAAAAGAAGCTCGCGAGTGGATTGAGGGAGGACGAGAAAGAAGGAGACGACTAGCAGCGCGGCGATGATCGCGAGGCGAGTCTGCGTGGTTGAGTGGAGAAGGAAGGAGCGCTGGTGTGTCGCGAACGGGGAGCTACTGGCCCGCGAATGCGGTCCCGCCATGGTTCTGTTACTAAACTTGTATCGCACACTGCCGACCGCACGACGACGAGGCTATGATGACGGTACTGCACATCCGAATTCCTCCGTGTGCTTGGTGCTCAGGTGGTCCTGCTTTGCGTCTTTATACGAACACACTACGACGTAGGATAGCTAACTAGGGGAAAGGCGCAAAAACGGGAAAATGGACGAGACCACGGCCCGTTTTATGTTGTACCGGTAAGATAATACTATCTTCTTCTGGTATTTGATCACAGAACTGCCTCATTATGTCATCATTTATTGATCTTCCATATTGTATCATAACGTTGAAAGTAAAATACATAAGCAGCAAGCCACCAAAACTTAGAGTGCATGTCTTTTCCATAAGCCTTTATTTTCTGTCAGTTGTCAAACCATGTAGTAAGGAATCTTTTACGAATGCATTTGTAGCGGATCATTTTACCCTTGTGTCGATTCTCATGGCTTGTCTCTTCTCACCCGCATGTGCTCTCCACCGCGTGCCACTGTTCACACAAGGTGCTCGCATTGCATCCATGTGCTTCGGTGATGATCTGCTCCTCCCCACCATGTGGGCAGATTCGCTTCGTTCGCAGGCTGCGAGACAGCGAACGAGTATGTCAAGTGACATCTCGAATGACATAGTTGAAATCTCCCAAACAGAATCCAGTTGCAGGTCCTACCCGAATGGTCCCATCCATCTGGTCTCCTGCTATGACGTTGCATTTCTTCCAGCTGTACCAAAACCTTGTCCACTGTCCCGTTTCATCTCCACGTTCTCAACAACAGAACGATGCTGATCTCGAACACGTGTACAACCCGAACCTGCATCCAGGTTTGGCTGCAAGTGAATGTATTGCTGCCCAGAGTCGTTGGTGCAGGCCTAGGAAGCCCCTTCGACCTTTGGACTCTTACCACAGCTGCTTTCGTCATCACCTGTAACCTTCGCAGCTAAGCAGGGCCAGGTACACACACGCTCACGCTCGTTAAAGTCACACACTCGTGAGCGAGCGTCACAGGGCTGCTGAGACCAGCGAAGCCAGTCAGGAAGCAGCCCGCACCGAGACAAAAGCATGACATTGCAGGGATGCTTTGAAACGCTGCAAGTGAATTTCTGATTTTATACGGAGTTTCACGTCACATCGATCGAAGGCAACAACGAGGATGTCACATGTTTGATCTTGAGAAGGGTCGGAGATTTCGCCAGCGGCGAATCTCGCCATGTGCAGCTGTCGCTTTGCTGCGAAAACTCCCTCCCTCCTTCCACTCCACCCTGGCCGACGCGTCAACTTTTCCAGACACAGCTGCCATGAGCTCACACTCACACTCGACTGCCGTTCAGCTTATACTCATACAAAAGCGCTCCACAAACCACCAGTGACCAGAGCAGCTTCTCACTCGTAAATGCTATGCTTTCCTTCAGTCACAACGCGAACTCCTCGCAGACTGCTTGAGCTATCGACTATACATCATATCATCACGCCACTCAGAGGCGCAATGCCGCTCTGGAACGTCTCGTCATTTCCCGCCTTCTCTAACGACACGCAGGGAGCATCAGGCCTACTTCCCGCCAACGACTCCATCTCCTACGCGTCGAACTCCGTCGAAGTCGCGCCTCTCTCCGCGCCGCGCTTCTTCCCGTGCCCAGCCACCCCCTTCTTTCAGTCGAAGCGCCAGCGACTCGACATGGTTAATTCAGAAACGAAACGCCAGCGAGTAGGAACTTTTCCCGGCGACCATCTCGACGCGTTTTGCCATGCTGACCGTCTTCGGATGCCCGCTGACGTGATGGCGGCATTGGACGAGCTAACAAACTCCAACCCTGTCGCGCGCAACGAAGCTACCGTCCGCGGTATTTGTGCACCCGTTTTCAGTAAGATCCGGAGGCCCGGGCCGACCAGCCCTAGCCAAAGCCAGAGCTCGCGTGCGGTCGGTGGTCCTAATACAGCTTTTGGAAACGATGTGCTTCGTGGGATTGCGCCGTCAGACGACTTTCAGTCGCGCAATGACACGACCGCTTTAGCCGACTTGGCCGATTTGGGGGAATTGGGCGATTTCGACGAGGAGACGAACCGGCTGCTTGATGTGATCTGGCCCGAGTGCGCCGCGCGAAGCGACGGAGAACGAGGCGAATGCAACGCGGCGACTTCGGATGGCGGAGAAAGGCCCAACGGTCGAGGACCAACGGAAAATGTGGTGGGGGTATCAAGTAAAGCTATCGCTGGTACAAGTGCAGCGCACATGACGCTTGAGAGGCAGGGCTCGAGCGCCGCGACGATCTCGACAAGCGTGGAAGCTACACGCGCATATCTAGTACCCGTGGCACGTGATGATCGGCAAACGGACAAAGAATCGCTGCGTAATTCGCGACAGGACACGTCACAGGTGACGACGAGCGTCGTCTGCCCGCCAATTGATCCGAACCAGCTTGAGCTGATCGAGAGGGTTGTGCGAGCCTCGAGCCCAGGAGTCGCGGTCGCTGTGCCGTTGATCCAACCAAAGCTTCAACCTGCATCGTCGATTCCCGACACGACGGCGTTTTCGCAAATGCTTTCGGAGTTCACGAAGGCTGCAATGGCGGCACCGATCGCGGCCAAAGCTTGCGCTGTACACCCACGGACAATGCCTGCGCCGTCCCAGACGCGCGCGCTTATGTTGCGCCAATTAAAAGAGCTGAATGCTCTGAGCGACAGCCGTAAGCGGTGGGGTTCGGGATTCGGAGGGAGCCCGGCTGAGGTGAGCAGCGAGGCGACGTCGCGCAGGTGGACAGGTGGACCTTCTGCGGCTTCGCCGGCGTCGCAGGGGTCGCCTGTGTCGTTCTCGCCCGCTGCGATGGCGTGCGACTCGGTGGACTTACTGGCCGGGCGGAGCTCGAAGGAGCTGCTGCGATTGGTGCAAGAAAGCATCCGTGCGAACGAGTTGGCGCTCCGGAAGATCGGGAGGGACTAGCGGGAAACACGGCAGTTCGGTGAAGCTTTGCTTGTAGAAATCTATATACTATTGCGAAAGCAATAGTGTGCAATAAAATGTGAAAGTGTTACGTTTTTACTTATTTCGAAACTGCATGTAGTGAAATTTGGGGAAATCCAACAGACATTTCGACACATTCGCACGCTCCTGCAGATCTTTCGCAGGCCTAAACTCTGTCCTGCGCCTCGCGTCGTTCGCGTGTAGGCCATACTTAGGCAGGCAGCATAGGGAAATACTATGATACGGATGTGGTGTTAGCACCCTAAAGAGCGACCCGTCTAGATTCACTCGGAGTCATCATGATATGTCCGGGAGAGTAACCGCAGCCTAGCCAACTGTTTAGCTTGACAGGAGGAGTGAGAGAGCATGAGCGCGCGATGGTGGAGCGACGTGCGACTGCGCACGCTCGTCCTCGTCAACGTCGCCGCGATCGTGGAGAGGGCTGACGAGTCGCTGCTGCCGGCCGTGTACAACGAGGTATATAGCATACCGTGATTTCCTCTCATAGAACGTCGCGTTGCTAGTAAAGAGTTGCTAGTAACGCAGCAAGTCACTGCTGCCGGCCGTGTACAACGAGGTAGTCTCTTCTAGAACTTCGCGTCGTTAGTAGCGACACAATGGCTCGCCGTTCTCCACCATGCACGATGACGCGTCTACCTCTCGCTGAGTGTCGCAACGTCGTAACATCGAATTCGGAATTTTCAAATCCCTAGAGATTCTGATGCTTCGAACTCAAATCTGAAGCTTTCGTATCAGCCCCCGTTGGAGGCCCCCTCGCAGCCCCCTTCGGAGCCTCCCCGCTCATCCTCTTCTCGTCCCAACCCACTCCTCATTTATCCTTCAGAATCCTCTATCTCCCTTCTCTTTCTTCCGCATCCCTTTGTATCCCTCCAAACTCTTCTTATCCCTTCACATCCCTCCCTCCGCACTCAATTCCTTCCTCCCCCCATTCCCCCCTCCCCCCTTCGCAGGTGGGGCGCGCCTTCCACACCCCCCCCAGGGACCTGGGCGCGCAAACCCTCGTCCGCGCATTCATGCAAGCACTTCTCTGCCCTCCGCTGCTCTTCATTCGCCTTTCTCCCCTCCCCCCATTCCCCCCTCCCCCCTTGCACAGGTGGGACGCGCCTTCAATGCATACTCCAGGGATCTGGGCGCACTAACCCTAGTGCGCGTACTCATGCAGGCGCTGCTCTGCCCTCTCACCACATGAAAGTACAGCTGCTCTGCCCTCTCACCACATGAAAGCACAGCTGCTCTGCTCCTTGCATTTGCCTCCCCTCCCCCTTTCGCAGGTGGGGCGCGCATTTAATGCATCCCCCAGGGACCTGGGCGCGCTAACCCTCGTCCGAGCGCTCATGCAAGCACTGCTCTGCCCACTCGCACCATGGCTCTCCCTCTACCTGCCCCGCGTCCACGTCATCGCCACGGGCGCGCTCATCTGGGGCCTTGCCACGCTAGCAGTGGGCCTCGCCACGTCATACAGCCAGGTGGCATGGCTGCGCGGGATCAACGGCATCGGCCTCGCCCTGGTCTTCCCCCCGATCCAGTCACTCGTTGCTGACCTGGCGTCTCCGACCAACCGCGGCATGGCGTTCGGGTGGTTGCAGTTCATGACTTACTTCGGGGATATTCTGGGGTACAGCATCGGAATTACCCTAGCAGGGTTACCTGCCCGAACAATAATCTGGTTAATTGGCTTTGGGATGGAAGGGTGGCGGTTGGCTTTCCTTACAATTGCTGCCATAAGCCTAATACTAGCTGCACTAATCTCCCTTCTCGCTGAAGACCCTCCGAGGCAATCTTGTAGCAAAGAAGAGCTCTATAACGAGGATGTGTCAAGCTCGCTTGTTAATGCGGACGGGGAATCGCTGCCCGGTTCACGTGCTGATGATAGCAACCCCTTGTCTTCACCCACACACCCCCTGCTTCACCACTCACATGCCACCTCCCCCAGCAGTTGCACCTCCCCCACATCAACCTCCCTCCTATCTGCCTCTATCAGGGAGCTGGCTCATCAACCCTCCCCATCCTCCCATCTGTCCTCCAAACAGGCCCACTCCTCCGCTCCACCTCCCTCGTCTCCCCTCTCATCTCCCCACTCGTCTCTCCCACTCACCTCACCCCACCCTCCTCCTCCCTCCTCCCCTTCCTTCCTCTCAAACCTCCTACACGTGCTCCGCACGCCCTCGTTCCTCATCATAGTCAGTCAAGGCATAGTAGGCTCCTTTGCTTGGGCCTCTCTAACCTTCCTTCCCATGTGGCTCGAGCTAGTGGGGTTCTCCCACCCCTCCACCGCACTCCTCCTCTCGTCTTTCACTGCTAGTTGCAGTTTTGGGGGGCTTTTCGCGGGCTGGTTCGGCGATTGGATGAACGCCACGTGGCGCGATTCTGGCCGTGTGATCTGCGCTCAGATCAGCGCCGGATCGGCGGTGGTGATGTCGACGGTGCTGCTGAGGGTGGTTCCGCAGGACGCCCGGTTTTTCTGGGTGTATTTTGCGGTGCTGGTGGTGATGGGGTTTATGATCTCTGTGGAACGACGCGGCATCGAACAAGTGAGTGCAGTGTACAAGTCAATAGTGCTTCATATACGAAAGGCATACGAAAGGTTGTCATGAGCCAGGATGGGGTAGTACTGAGATGGGTGAAAGACAATGCATCATTCCTTTCTCAGTGTTACCCTTCCCCTTAGCCATCGTCGCTCTCTCCCTCTTCCTCGGACCTCCCTTCTCCGCCAACGCGCCTTCCTCTTGTTGACTTTGGAGTCGACTCAAAAGTCAACTCTTCCTCCGACCTCCCTTCTCCGTCAACGCGCCTTCCTCTTGTTGACTTTGGAGTCGACTCAAAAGTCAACTCTTCCTCCGACCTCCCTTCTCCGCCAACGCGCCTTCCTCTTGTTGACTTTGGAGTCGACTCAAAAGTCAACTCTTCCTCCGACCTCCCTTCTCCGCCAACGCTCCTTCCTCTTGTTCCCCTTTGCAGGCCTAGATGCATACAAAGTTTTCCTCTTGTCCCCATTTGCACTCACCCTCCCACATGCACCCACTCCCTCCCCCTCCTCCACAACCTCCACCAACCCTCCCTCCCACTCGTCCGCAGTCCCATATTCGCGGCCATAGTGCTGGCGCGCCTGCGAACAGACATCTACGCTCTCGACCGCGCGTGTGAGATGTCACTGGCTGCCTTCCAATCAACTCCAAGTCACTCCCCAACTCCCCCGTCCCCTCTAAACACCCACCTACAGCCCCATATTCGCGGCCATAGTGCCGGCGCGCCTGCGAACAGACATCTACGCACTGGACCGTGCATGTGAGATGTCTGTGGCAGCCTTCGCCCCGCCCACTGTCGGCTTCCTCGCCCAGGCCTGCTTCGGCTTCCACCCCTCCTCCCCGTCCCCCACCCCACCTGCCGCCGCTCCTGCCCCTTCCCCTCCTGCTTCCCCTGCCACTCCTCCTCTTGCTCCGCCCGCTCCATCTGCGGCTGATCCGGGGAACGCCAGGGCGCTCTCTCTAGGGCTGTTCTGGACCATGGCTCTGCCCTTTGCTCTCTGCTGTGTCCTCTACGGGGGGCTCTACTGGACGTACCCTCACGACCGGGACAAGGCCCGGGCCGAGGCTGCGGAGGAGGCTCGGAAAGGGGAGCAGCAACAGTATGAGAGGGTCAGGGTAGTGTCTTGAGGACTGAAGCCCCCTGCCACTCGCTCTGCTGCCCTCCTGTTGCCCTCTCTGCTGCTGTGCCTGCAACTTTCTCTGCTGAACGTAGGGTGCACTGTGCACAGCACACCATAGCAGCCGCAACAACCATTGCACCTTCACCACCTATCAGGCACTGATATTGTTGTTGCAGATGCTGTAGTTGTTATGATTACGAGAGATGCAAGGTACAACGGTTGTTACAGCTGCTATGGTTGTTACCACTGTGAGAAGTGAAGGTGCCTGAGGCACACGCCTTGGCTGATAGCCCGTGCCACAGCACTGCGCCTTGGTAATTCCAAACCTCAGCAACAGCACCCCAACGTATGGTGCCTTACCGTTACAATCGTTTTTGGTACCGGCATTCAACGATTGCTCTGCATTCGCTCGCACCTTTATCTCTTGAGCTCTTGACAACACAGCATCTCGCCTCTGTCTCCCTGCACCAGCCCCTGATTTCCATGCAGAGGCCTTTGATTCCTTAACGCTTGAGCCCGGAATGCTCTGCAAGCGAGCCATGCACTAATCCTGAACTGTGCGGCACTAATTCTGAATTGTTTTATGGCAACAGAAAAAGGATGGACGAACTAGGGCATACGTTGATTTGCCGGGTTGCTGACGAGTTCAGACACGGAACACGATTTAAGATGTTGGCAAGAATTTCAATAAATAGAATGTTCTATAATTACCAAGGTCAAAGGCACGACTGTATTGTGGTTTCTTCTGCACTGTTGAGCAGCGACTGCTAATGGGGTTCGGAGAAAGCAGAAGGCGGGGAGAAGGGATGGACGGAAGAAAGAGGATGAAAGGGGACAGGGGCGGCGGAAACTCTCTTACAGGCCTGAAGCCTGCGAATCGAAGAAAACCGGACATATAAAGAAGCAACCTGAATTGTCATCTGGTGAAGCCCAGAATCTTCAAACGGTCGCAACAGCTCCATCCAGGTCATATCCGAAATGGTTGGAATAAGAAAACCTCTCCTGAGTAACAACCTGCGGTCGCAGTTCGCTGAACCCATGTGGTCGCGCCTCGTAACAAATCCTGACACCTGAAAGCAAACCGCGAAGCAGATCTAGCGGGACTGGGGACCGCCTAGGTTTTGGTGGTGGGTGGGTACGTGAAGTACAAACAGCGAAGGCAACATCACTAGAAATTCAAGTAGTCAGCACAGCAATCCCAACTCCATCCCAGAGCATTCCAACACATATTTACGCACCAACTCACTAGAAGTAGTACAATTTTGTTGCTCCATACAGACATTGGCCTCAAACCATGGCGCGTCTACTTTTCGTCGCAACATTCGCCGTGCTGCTGGCGGTGGCGTCCGCAGGACAAACCGTCGTGACTGGACCCAACAACCCTGCGGTCAACCTGGACAAGGCCAAGGGCGACAATGGCGTGGCAACCGAGGTCCCTCCTGGCATCGAGAAGGCGGCGGCCGCTGGCGGGCTGGACAAGTTCGAGGGGACGACGATCGTGAGCCCGAGCACAGACAGTATTCTGATGGTGGACGTGAAGGTTGCGGGATGGAACAAAATGAAGTGCCACAAGGACCTGGGCAAGCCCGGGGAGGGCGCGTGCACGCCGGCCAACTGCAGCAAGGGCGGCATCGCCGCCAAGTGGAAGACGTCGAACCTGCTGAAGAACAAGCTGGGCGTGGAGGTGTACGTGAAGGGCAACCCGCTGACGCTGAAGAAGGCGTCCCCGCAGACGTGCTGCAACACGTGCGCGGGGTACAGCAGCTGCACGTACTGGCAGTACATCCCCGACATCACGATCGACGGCAAGAAGACGGACGGCGCGTGCTACCTGGTGCACGACAACATCGACTACTCGTGCGGCGACATGACGGCGCAGTACGCCACAGACTCGAAGCCGGTTCATCTGTAGGTGCGCACGGGCGGCGAGTGCAACCCCGCGGCGAACGTGGTGAACGACCCGCATCTGGTGGGCGCGTACGGCACGCACTTCGACTTCAACGGGCGCCCCGATAAGGCTTTCTGCCTGCTGACGGACAAGGACCTGCACGTGAACATGCTGCTGCGCGGGTACTACTCGGACGACACGGAGAACGCGGCGCTCGTTGTGGACGGCAAGGCCGTGCACACGTGGATCAAGGAGCTCGGCATCATCTGGTTCGCCAACGGCGCCGACCACAAGGTGCGGCTCGCGGCGCGCTCTGGCAAGCAGCAGGAGCGTGGTGATGGGTTCATGAAGACGATCGAGATCGACGGCGAGGAAATCCCGAGGATGCACGTGGGCGACGAGGTGACGACCGAGGGCGGGCTGACTCTGCGATTCGCGGCGCTGGAGAAGGAGGGCCCGTATGACGTGGACTACTACACGCTCACCATCGACGGGCTCGTGGCGCTCGACCTGCGCCTGCGCGTGGCCAACCCCAAGCTGCAGACGCCCAGCGAGGCCGAGGCGCACATCAACGTGGGGATTGTGGAGCTGGAGCACACCGACGACGTGCACGGCGTGCTCGGCCAAACGTACCGCCCCGACCACGCCGCTCGCGCCGCCGACTTCCAGCGCCTGATCGCGAACCTGCACCGTCCGATCTCAGCCGACAGCCAGGAGGGCGCTGGGTTCCTTGACGGCACTCCCCGGCTGTACGAGTCGAGCTCCGTGCTGTCCGTGGACTGCGCGCAAACGGAGTACCACCGCGCCAAGTAGCTGAGCCCCGTCGAGGACTTCCCCATGGAGCCCCTCAACTAGACGCGCGCACCCTCCCAGAAAAATCGGTGGGCTTTGATTTGGTGGGCTGATTTTGTAGAGCTTCCCTTGTATACTAGGTATCGAAGTCGATACTCCTGTACATTGATAAATTATGAAACTCTTTGACCCTTTTACCACGGTCTCTTGCCCGTACTGGTGACTGTCGAGCAGAAAGGAGCTGTGACAGATGCTACTGCTGGGTATCACAGTCCATTTCAACCGTGCCCTCACATCCTCCTGAAGCTCCTTTGCAGTGAATTCTCTTCCCAGCTTTCCGATATCAGACATGTCAGAACGTTTGTACTCCAACTGCTGCAGCAGCTGCGAGCTTTGTTGCTGGTCAAGGAGCCAGGGGCGCCAACCACAAGGTGTGGCTGGATGGGGTGCTGTGGTCAGGCCCCCACCCCCACAAGGTGTGGCTGGATGGGATGCTGTGGTCAGGCCCCCACCCCGGAAATCAGCTAAAAAACACTGGTTTACAGCTTTACGGTACCGTAGAATTCACAAGAGCAACTGCATTTGAGCTTGAAGTGGTACTGAGACTTTTAAAATATCTGCACAAGTTCTGGTAGCTGGAACAACACAGGCATTTGTTGTACACCCTCTTGTGCAAGAATAGCCTACACCTATGGGCTGCAGTTAGCTGGCTGCAGCCGCCTTGGCTGCTGCCTTAGCTCCTCCTTTGGCTCCTGCTTTTGCCCCTCTAGCCGCTGCAGGTTTCTGTGGGGCCTGGTTTCGCGAGATGGGCTGAGTGTTGCGCTGTAACCACTGCAGGGGTGCCCCTGATAGCAAAGGGGAGACCTGGAGTCGATGGGGCCAGGGAAAAAGTGGAGGTGATGAGGTGAGTTGAGGCGCCTGATCACCACAGCAGTGCACGGGAGCTTCTGATGGATGTGGTTGCCACACTGAGGTAGATGCATACTGCTTGGTTGCCACACTGAGGTAGATGCATACTGCTTGGTTGGGTGAGGTGATTCAAGCTGCTGTGCGCTCACCTCACTCCCACTCAGTGCCCCACCCACACTCAGTGTTCCACACTTGGTGTGCCACCCACACGCACAGCACCCCACACTCCCAGCATCCCACATTCCCAGCATCCCACACTCACAGCACCCCACACTCCCAGCATCCCACATTCCCAGCACCCCACACTCACAGCACCCCACACTCTCAGCATCCCACACTCACAGTGTCCCACACGCGCTGGTGATAGTCGTTAATCCACTTCACCTCTGCGTTGCTCAGCAGCTCCACACTCACTAGCTTCGTCTGCGGCCATGGGAAGGGGAGGGGGGAGGGGGGTGAAGGGAGCATGTGAGTCGACTTGGTAGTCGTTGATCCATTAGACCGCTGCGTTGCTCAATAGCTCCACACTCACTAGCTTTTTCTGAGGCCGTGGGGATGGGTGGGATGAAACGGGAGGGATGAAACGGGAGGGATGAAACGGGAGGGATGAAACGGGAGGGATGAAACGGGAGGGATGAAACGGGAGGGATGAAACGGGAGGGATGAAACGGGAGGGATGAAATGGGAGGGATGAAACGGGAGGGATGAAATGGGAGGGATGAAACGGGAGGGATGAAATGGGAGGGATGAAACGGGAGGGATGAAATGGGAGGGATGAAACGGGAGGGATGAAATGGGAGGGATGAAACGGGAGGGATGAAATGGGAGGGATGAAACGGGAGGGATGAAACGGGAGGGATAAAGGGGGTACGTACGTGATGTGTAACCTGGCTGCTATGACCGTTCAGAGCCAGCTGGTGCATCAGCTTTTGAGTTTTGAGGCGCCTCACGTTTTGTGAGATGGTTGGGAAGACCAATTCCATGTCATCACGACTCAGATGCACGGCAATCAGATGGACCGCACTCAACTGCCAGATAATTAAAAGAAAGGAACCTAAACTCCAGATTACGGAACCAGATAGGAGAGGGGAAGGTAGAGGGAGGAGGAAGAGAGGTACCTGGATTGGAAAGAGTGTGAGGCACTCGAATCCCAGATACGTTGTGCCACCAAATCGGAACTGCGTCTGCTGCTCCCTCACCACAAGAAGGTTCTGGGAAGGTGGCGAGACAGGGCGGGGCGGAAGGAAAATGAGGAAGTGGGATGTGTGGTATGGTATAGATGGAAGGTGCGGCAAGGGGGGAGAAATCAGAGTGTGTGCGCATGTGTGATGCTCAGGACCATGCCAGCCTGCCTGCCAACCAGCCAGTACCACATACCCACACGCCCGCTCCTCACATGGACCCTCACCATTCCATGCCCTGACCCCCCCACCCCCTCTTCCCCCTCACCTCGATTCTGATCCCGAACTGGTTATCGTGGTAGAACCCCGGCTCGTTGCTAACAACCATGCCGGCCTGCAGAGGAGTCGGGTTGCCAAAGCGCGGGCTGATGCTCTGCGGCCCCTCGTGCACGTTCAGCCCAGCGCCCACGCCGTGCCCCGTGCCGTGCCGGTAGTCCAGCCCCATGCCCCACAGCGCCTTTCGCGCCAGAATGTCGAGAGCGAACCCGGGCGTGCCCTGGGGGAACACTGCGCAATCTAGCGCGATATGGCCCTGGCGGGGGAGGGGGAGAGGAGGGAAAGGGCAGGGGGTGAAGGGGATTTGGGTCGTGCAGCTTTGCTTCTCTGATTCTCAGTGCCGCCCCCACGCCGTGCCGATAGTCCAGCCCCATGCCCCACAGGAGGCTTCGGGTTAGAATGTCAAGCGCGAACCCGGGCGTGCCCTGGGGGAACACTGCTCGGTCTAGCGCTATGTGGCCCTGCTAGGGGAGAAGGAGGGGAGAGGGAGAAGGAAGGGAGGGGGAGAAGGAGGGGAGGGGAGGAGGGGGCCTTGCTGCCCGAATTGCCGTAACAATAGTCCAGCCCCATGCTCCACAGAGCCCCCCGGACAAGAATGTTTAGAGGCAGCACTCCTTCTCACCTGACAGCACTCCTGACAGCACTCCTGACAGCACTCCTGACAGCACTCCTGACAGCACTCCTGACAGCACTCCTGACAGCACTCCTGAGAGAGCACGCGTGTGTAGCACTCCTTCTCTTAGTCCGAAGGCGTCCCAAAGTGAACAGTGCGCGTGATGTCTGTTGTGCCCCTTGAGTCGACTTACCACCTGACAGCACCCCTCACCTGCAGCACGCGTTTGTAGCACTCCTTCTCACCTCACAGCACTCCTTCTCACCTCACAGCACTCCTTCTCACCTCACAGCACTCCTTCTCACCTCACAGCAACCCTCACCTGCAGCACGCGTGTGTAGCACTCCTTCTCATAGTCCGAGGGAGTCCCAAAGTGGACAGTGCGCGTGATGTCTGTTGTGCCGTCCATGTACTGCGCCCCGCTGTCCAGCAGACGCATCTTGGAAGGATCCACCACCGCACAGTTGTCCTCCTCGGCTCGGTAGTGAATGATCGCCCCGTTCTTGCCCGAACCTGCACGCCAGGCTCGGAGAGGTTAAGGAGAGAAACATGTCAGAATGTCTGTCTTATCAGAAATGTGCGCCTGGGAAATCAGTTTTGCTGTGCACCTACCAGTAATGCTGTGCACCTACCAGTAATGCTGTGCACCTACCAGTAATGCTGTGCACCTACCAGTAATGCTGTGCACCTACCAGTAATGCTGTGCACCTACCAGTAATGCTGTGCACCTACCAGTAATGCTGTGCACCTACCAGTAATGCTGTGCACCTACCAGTAATGCTGTGCACCTACCAGTAATGCTGTGCACCTACCAGTAATGCTGTGCACCTACCAGTAATGCTATGCGCCCAGTCTCATCAAGCATTATTCAGCAATCAAATCTGCTTGACACCTCACCTGCAATAGTATCAAAGCCTCACCTGCGATGGTATCAAAGCTGGTATCGAGGAACCCCTCCTGCTGGGCACGGAACGCCTCTAGCCTCTCCCCCAGCTCCACCTCCGTCACTGCCCTCCCCTCCTCCACCACTGCCCTCTCCGCCCACTCCCAGAAATGCGCCATTGCCACCGCGTCCCTGGGGGAACGGGTGCAGTGGAAGGGATATAGAGGGGAACTGAGAGAAAACGACACGGAAATCACCTACTTGAAAATTGGTCTCCAGGGGACTAGAGGGGACTACCGCCCTCTCCGCCCTCTCCCAAAAGCATGCCATTGCTGCAGCGTCCCTGGGGGAACTAGTGCAACGAATGGGACACATTCCAAGAAGGCGAATTTGAAGAAGGGAAACTAGAAATGGCTTTTTGAGACTCTAGTATCTATGGTCACCACTACCCACTCCGCCAGTCCCAGAAGCATCATCCCTGTTGCCTGACTCGCTCAGCACCACACGCTCTCCCCTTCGTTTGCCCACATCCCAACCCAACTGCCATCCATCCACCCCAGGCACTCACCGGATGTGGGCATTCTTCATGCCCTCAATCTCAGATTCGTTCTTCAGTGCCTTGGCCAGAGAGATGGCTGTAGTTCGACTCAGCACTGCTGGCTCTTCCACAGCCGCCGCTCCCTCCCCTCCACCCCTGTACCCGTTTTGGGGAGTCAAGTTTAATTCCCTCTCACCTGATATGCGCGTTCTTCATCCCTTCAATCTCTGATTCGTTCTTCAGTGCCTTGGCAAGAGAGATGGGTGCAGCTCCGATCAGCACTGCCGGCCCTTCCACAGCCGCCGCTCCCTTCCCTCCACCCCCTTTAGGTCTTTTTCGAAGAAGGTAAATGTTTCTCACCTGATATGCGCGTTCTTCATGCCCTCAATCTCAGATTCGTTCTTCAGTGCCTTGGCCAGAGAGATCGGGGTGGTTCGGCTCAGCACTGCCGGGCCTTCCACTTCCTCCCCACCTGCTCCCCCTCGCTCCTCCCTACCCTTCCCTCCCTTTCCCTCCTTGCTCTTCTTCTCCCCCTTCTCGCCCTTCTTCCCCTTCTTTCCAACCCCCCCCTTCCCTGAGGCTCTCTGTTCGTAGAACTGAGCGCAGGCGGCTTCAACAGAACAGAGCACTGCAGAGGACGCGGAGGCAGGGTCGAGCCAGAGACGGGCCCCCTCCATTGCAGACCTGAGAGGGCGGAGAGGGGAGAGAAGGGATAAGACGAAGAGGCTCTCTGTTCATAGAACTGAGAGCAGGCGGCTTCAACAGAGCAGAGCACTGCAGAGGACGCGGAGGCAGGGTCGAGCCACAGGCGAGCCCCGTCCATTGCAGACCTGAGAGGGCGGAGGGGGGAGAGAAGGGAACAGAAGATTGAGGTTCGCTGCTCGTAGAACTGAGTGCAGGCAGCTTCAACGGAGCAGAGCACTGCCGAGGAGGCGAAGGCAGGGTCGAGCCAGAGAGCCCCGTCCATAACAGACCTGAGAGGGAGCAGGGAAGGGACGACAAGAAAGAGGCTCTCTGTTCGTAGTACTGAGCGCAGGCGGCTTCAACGGAGCAGAGCACTGCAGAGGAGGCGAAGGCAGGGTCGAGCCAGAGAGCCCCGTCCATAACAGACCTGAGAGGGAGCAGGGAAGGGACGACAAGAAAGAGGCTCTCTGTTCGTAGTACTGAGCACAGGCGGCTTCAACGGAGCAGAGCACTGCAGAGGAGGCGAAGGCAGGGTCGAGCCAGAGAGCCCCGTCCATGGCAGACCTGAGAGGAGCAAGGGGAGAAGGGAGAAGAAGAAAGCGATGAAAGGGGTGTTGTTCTGAGAAGTTTCAGAGCGCACGGTGTTAGAGTAGAAGAGACCACTGGAGTGCAGGCAGGGCTGAGGAGGCGCAGAGCCGTGAATGTGTGGCGGACTTGTGGGGGCAGTAGGGAACGCATGAACCGCTGGAGGACAGAACGGAAAACGCGCATACCTCTGGAGGAAGGGCACGAGGTCGCCATAAGGCTTGACGGACACGCCTGCTGCTGCCAGATGCTCTGCGACAGCAGGCGCTGCCACCTTGCTGGGGTCCACAAAGAGGTGCGCTGCTTCCGCCTCCACCACTGCATATGCCACTGTCACTGGACAGTGCGGCACGTCCGCTCCACGCTGTTGGGGGGAGAAGAGGAAACATGGTGCAGGGGGGTAGGCATGAGAGCGGCGACCTTGCTGGGGTCCACTCCACACCACAAAGAGGTGCGCCGCCTCCGTCTCCACCACTGCATATGCCGCTGTCACCGGATAGAAAGTTGATTTTTGAGACGTCTCAAAAATCAACTTTCTACACGTGGGGTCCACACCACAAAGAGTTGCGCCACCTCCGTCTCCACCACTGCATATGCCGCTGTCACCGGACAGTGCGGCACGTCCGCTCCACGCTGCTGGGATGAGAAAGTGGGCAGAGAGGTTGGAAGGGGACACCGAATGAGAGGCTGCTTCCCTGCCCACCACTACCACACTCACCACGTGGACCACACACTCACCACGTGGACCACACACTCACCACATGGACCAAGCTAAACCAGTGCAGCTCTCACCACATGGACCACTTGACTCAAGACCCAAGACTCAAAACGCACCACGTTGAGCAGCCAGGCGACTTCATCCAGAGCCGACACCAGCAGCGCCGTGGCACCCGCGTCCCTCATCTCTGCCCGCAGCTGCTGCAGCTTCGCCCTCACCGTCTGCCCCGCGAACTCGATCGGGTGCACCCTCATGGGCGCTGATGGGGGCGGGGGACGCTGATGGGAAGAGGGGGAGGTGGGGAAGCACAAGTTGGGGGGGTGGGTGAGGGAAAGAACAGGGAGGCTTGGAGACGTCCGGAAAACCGTCTCTCATCTCTGCCCGCAGCTGCTGCAGCTTCGCCCTCACCGTCTGCCCCGCGAACTCAATCCGGTGCACCCTCATGGGCGCTGATGGGGGCGGCGGGAGCTGGTGGGAAGCACAGGGGGGGCGAAAGGGAGTACGGAGAGACTTTCAGGCGTCTGAAAAAGCAGGGTTGCTTCTGCTGTGCGCAGCAGCGATATTAATTGACCCCTTACCCTCCCCCTCCACACACCACCTTTCCCTGGCTTTCCAGCCCGTCACACACGCACCTCGGCGCCCCACACGGCGTCAACGGGGTTGCTCTCGCGCAGCAGCGGCACCACCACGGACGACGACGCTGCCAGCGTGTCCGCCAGGCCCCTCACGTTGTCCGCTGAGTGCACTAACTGAAGGCGGCAACGAAAGAGGGGGGGGGGAGGGAGAGGGGGAAGGATGAACACATACGCACGCTGCCAGCGAGTCCGCCAGGCGCCTTACGTTGTCTGCTGAGTGCACAAACTGAAGGCGGCAACGAAAGAGGGAGGGGGGAGGGAGAGGGGGAAGGATGAACACATACGCACGCTGCCAGCGAGTCCGCCAGGCCCCTCACGTTGTCTGCTGAGTGCACAAACTGGGGGCGGCGGGATGGTGGAGGGTGAAGTGAGAGAAAGGGGGGGAGGGATACTATAACTCAAAGGCTGTTAGAGTGTCTGCTAAACCCCTCACATTCTCGGCTTGCGCCAGCCAGTCCGCCACAGGACGCGTTCCAGGCATCACCCCATCGCTACCGACTCTATCTCCGTCTGTGCCACCTCTCTTCCCCCGCCCCCCTTATCCAGCCTCCTCTCTCTCCACCCTCTGCTGCCCGGGGGCACAGCTCCCACCAGCCAGCCCGCGGCATAGGGCACGCAAGCCACCCCCCCTTTATCAGTACCGACTCTAACCCCCGTCATTGCCATCGCCACCCCCCTTTCCCCAAGCCCTTCCCCCTGTGAATACCGGATCAACGCCCACTCGGCTTCCCGCGGGAAGAGCTTCCGCCAGCCAGTCCGCGACGGAGGGCACGCCGGGCATGCCCGCGCGCATGAGGTCCCAGCCGGGCGGAAGCTGCTGCTCCGCCTGCAGGAAGTAGCGCCCGTCCGTCCACAGCAGCGCGCGCTCGCGCGTGACCACCGCCGTGCCCGCGGAGCCCGTGAAGCCCGAGATGAACGCGCGGCGCTCGAAGCACGGCGCCATGTACTCGCTCTGGTGGGGGAAGGGGAGAGGAGGTGGGGAGAGGGGGGTTGCGGGACCCCGTGAAACCGGAGATGAACGCGCGGCGCTCGACGCACGGCGCCATGTACTCGCTCTGGTAAGCAGGGGGGGGAGGAGGGGGGAGGTAAGAAAGAATGTGACAGTACCGCTCTCTGGTTACCACCGCCGCGCCTGGTGATGGCGCTGGTGTAGATGGCAAAAGGCCATAACAAAAGGGCCGAGAGTAGCATGCTTATATCGAGCAACGAGGCGAATTCTGTTCGGAGCCTAGAATGCGCAGGTTACGGGAAAGTAACCTGGTGCGGGTCTTCCGACGGGATGATAAAGGCGTCGACGCCCTTCCCCCCATCCACTTCCGCCATTACTTCCCGCAACCGGCGCAAGCGCTTCTCCAGCTCCTTCCCCCGCTTCTGCGCCTTCTTCCCCGCATCCTCCGCTTTCTTCCCTGCATCCTCCGGCTTCTTCCCCGTATCCTCCGCCGCCGTATTCTCAGCTACAATCTCCCCGTCTGCAGCTGTTTTTGCGTCGGCGGAAGGAGAAGAGGGTTCGGCGGAAACTTCGTCAGCGCCGATTTTCCGTGCGCGCGCAGAGCAGGTGAGGAATCGACGGCGAGATTCGCTACCAGAAAATGCGGCGGGTGAAGCGGCGAAAGAGACGGACGGAGTTCTGATTAGACTTCCGGAGCGACGTCCATTTGGAATAGAAAAGGCACCGGAGGATGGACTATTGCGTGTGCTGGCGGCCACGCCGATAAATGTTTTAGATACGTGCGACGATGCTACGGGCATGGCGAAATCGTGAAGAGCGGCGGAGGAAGGGAGAAGCGGCGTGGACTGGCCGAGAGCTAGGGTGAGGGAAGAAGCTGGAATGGCGGTGCGGCTTAACATTGTGGAAGAGGCGATGCGGTTTATTGACGGACGCGCGACCACGACGAATGGCGTGGATGCTGATGCTGACGCTGACACTGCTGCGGCTACGGCTGCTCGCAGCATGCGCGTACCAGATGCAGGAGTTGTCTGCCTGTGCCGGCACCTCTCGCGACACCAGGAATCTCCGCCGGGAGATGCGGAGACAACTGAGCGAGAATTCTGGTTGAGAGAAGAATACAGCTTTGCACCGTTGAGTGCACTCTCTTGTGAATTGAACTGAGTGAATTTGCACGACGAAAATGCTGCGATTCTGTGCTGCCTGCCTGCCTCTCTCTCATCTCGGTGAATCCAACCTTGATGAGTGACCAGATCCACATGACTCTGGACCGTCGATTTCAGAGAGCGGATTCAGTCAGCAAGTAGCCACGTGACCGTGATTGGTGTGACACAACCCTAAGGTTTGGCCAATGTGCTTACATGTCGCAACGCAAGTACACATGATGCCTGATTGAGCCCCTCCCAGTTGCCTTGTGAAGGGGGCGTATAGGCTGTATCGTGCATCTCGCATAAGTTTCGTCAATTCGCAGCTAGCTAAAAAGGATTCGCAGGTGCATATATAAAGGATCTGTAACCTTATCCGTTGACTTTTTGACTTCAGTCTCTTCAGTTTGACTTCGGTCTGTTCGTTACAATTGGTTCATAACCACGCGACGCGCTTGTACCGTGGGTGCAACAGGCTGGGGAAAAAACCTCGGGTGCAGCGTTTCCATCCGGTCCAGAGCAAATTCGCGTGCATGGGGTGGGCATCACTTGTACTACTACATTGCGGTACACTTTATAAGCAGGGGAGTTGGTGTTCATATGCTAAAAGCTTTGAATTAGCTTTCTACACCCTCAGCACACTTTCGTCTTTCCCCCAGCCTCCAACTCCCTCCTTCCTCCCCAACAATTTCGGTTTCCCTCCCAGTCATTCCATTTCACCCGGAACTGCATTATTTTCCATCTGCACCCCTTTCACCACCTTTCCCGGGGCGCATCTCAGCCGCATCCCAGATGAACAGCTGCTTCACCACTTTTGCAACTCCAACAAAAGCACCCAAGAAAAGTAGCAACTCAAGATTACGAGCAGCACGACTTGATTCATTTCACTACCTTACTATGTCAGTTAGAACTACGAACTTCATCGATTCCACTCAAAACCTCGCGACGTGCTCAGCGCGAAATCACAAGCAGTTCAGCCAGCAATAGCACCAAGAACGGAAAATATACCCGTCAGTAGAGGAAATTCGATGCATTCACGACCAGGGTGAACAGATGGTAATTAAATATATCGATAATGAAACAATCATACATATTGATAAACAGGAAAAAAAACCTACTATACAATACAGTTCAGCTATATTAGCAGCCCACCAGTTTCCAGCCCACCGAATCGCAGCCCACCAAGGGAACGACGGAGCATGTCCGTTACGTACGATCACATACAACCAAACTAAAGAAGATTACAAATTTAGGGGAGGGGCTCCATGGGGAAGTTCTCGACGGGGCTGAGCTGCTTGGCGCGGTAGTACTCGGTTTGCGCGCAGTCCACGGACAGCACGGAGCTCGACTCGTACAGCCGGGGAGTGCCGTCAAGGAACCCAGCGCCCTCCTGGCTGTCGGCCGAGATCGGACGGTGCAGGTTCGCGATCAGCCGCTGGAAGTCGGCGGCGCGAGCAGCGTGGTCGGGGCGGTACGTCTGGCCGAGCACGCCGTGCACGTCGTCGGTGTGCTCCAACTCCACAATCCCCACGTTGATGTGCGCCTCGGCCTCGCTGGGCGTCTGCAGCTTGGGGTTGGCCACGCGCAGGCGCAGGTCGAGCGCCACGAGCCCGTCGATCGCGAGCGTGTAGTAGTCCACGTCATACGGGCCCTCCTTCTCCAGCGCCGCGAACCGCAGAGTCAGACCGCCCTCGGTCGTCACCTCGTCGCCCACGCTCATCCTCGGGATCTCCTCGCCGTCGATCTCGATCGTCTTCATGAACCCATCGCCGCACTCCTGCTGCTTGCCAGAGCGCGCCGCGAGCCGCACCTTGTGGTCGGCGCCGTTCGCGAACCAGATGATGCCGAGCTCCTTGATCCACGTGTGCACCGCCTTGCCGTCCACAACGAGCGCCGCGTTCTCCGTGTCGTCCGAGTAGTACCCGCGCAGCAGCATGTTCACGTGCAGGTCCTTGTCCGTCAGCAGGCAGAACGCCTTGTCGGGGCGCCCGTTGAAGTCGAAGTGCGTGCCGTACGCGCCCACCAGATGCGGGTCGTTCACCACGTTCGCCGCGGGGTTGCACTCGCCGCCCGTGCGCACCTGCAGCGCGATGGGCTTCGAGTCTGTCGCGTACTGCGCCGTCAGCTCGCCGCACGAGTAGTCGATGTTGTCGTGCACCAGGTAGCACGCACCATCCGTCTTCTTGCCGTCGATCGTGATGTCGGGGATATACTGCCAGTACGTGCAGCTGCTGTACCCCGCGCACGTGTTGCAGCACGTCTGCGGGGACGCCTTCTTCAGCGTCAGCGGGTTGCCCTTCACGTACACCTCCACGCCCAGCTTGTTCTTCAGCAGGTTCGACGTCTTCCACTTGGCGGCGATGCCGCCCTTGCTGCAGTTAGCCGGCGTGCACGCGCCGTCCCCGGGCTTGCCCAGGTCCTTGTGGCACTTCATTTTGTTCCATCCGGCCGCCTTCACGTCCACCATCAGCATACTGTCCGTCTCCGTGCCCACGATCGTCGTCCCCTCGAACTTATCCAGGTTGCCCGCAGCCGCCGCCTTCTCGATGCCAGAAGGGACGTTAGTCGCCACGCCATTATCGCCCTTGGCCTTGTCGAGGTTCACTGCCGGGTTGTTAGGTCCCGTCACCACGGTTTGTCCTGCGGACGCAACTGCCAGCAGGACGGCGAAAGATACGACGAAGAGTAGACGCGCCATTATGATAACTAGGTCTAGGAACCAAACCCGCGACCTTTCACTGGCTAATTGATGTTTAATCTGAAAAGGAATATAGAGCCGCGAGTTCTCCTTGGATGAGTAGATGCGAGCACTCCTATTTGTGCCTCGAAGATGCGGTCAGCCGTTGAACTCCAGGTTTCCGAAGTTGGAAGATTGTTGCGAGTCGCGACGATGTGGTAGCTGGAGTGGAGCAGGGAGGTTGAAGCCAGGTTTGGTTCAGGAGAAAACTCTCCTGACTGTACATTCAATCTGACATGGACAAGCGCTCCGGCTTCCCCAGATTTGAGCTGGTTCAGGATGTATCAGGTAAGTTTCCGCACCTGATGCTGTAGACTACGAAGCGCAGAGGCCTTACCAGGAAGGCTTAACCAGCCAGTGCACAGAACTCACCTGAACCGGGTGATGAACACCGCAGGTGCTTCTCAAGGCAGGTAATGTTAGTTGTTTCATAGCGCGTGTAACCCCTCTACAAACAACTTTGCTGTACCTTGTTGGTTTGAGGCAATGTGCAACCAAACAGAATACAATGACAAATTTGATTCCAGGAGTTTAATGTGAAGGAAAGTAGGGAATACAGCAATAATCCATGCTCTTAAAACCAGGGTGCACATTCAATTGGATTTCTGTCAAAGGTTAACCTTTGACCTCGGGGTTACTCAGTGATTTAGGAATATCTGGGGGGAGTGTTCGCTTCAGCAGGTGAACATTTGAACCCTCGAGATTTGGCAAATGTATACCGAAGTCATCGAATGTGCTTCCGCCAATTCGTTTCCCCCCTCCCCATACCTATTCCGCTCCCACCGAAATTGTTTCCCCTTCCCCCACAATATCGTCTCACCCCCTTTCCCCTTTCCGCCAACCCAGTTGCCCTCCCCTTGATCCCCAATTTCTAGATCCAAGTGTTATCAATTTCTCCCCTGCCAAGCCTCATCTCTCACGGACGAAAAGCCCCATGCTCGCCCATTCTCAACTATTTATTCGCTACTCGTCAACCAATCAGCAGTTCCCGCAAACATGCCGCCCAAAATTTAGCCTGGAGTCGCGTTGAATGTGTACCCTGGTACAACTTAAAACGTCAAAAGCATTGATGGAAGCAAATTTGAAACAGTACTTGTTACATCTCACCTTGGTCCAAACCTGTCCTGATATGGCTCTCTACTGGAAAATCGTTATTGTTGCAATTAGCGTAATATTAAATACGCCAACTTACCGTAAACTTTTTTCAATACTAAGAGTATATTTATGACATTGAAAAAGTGGATTTTTGGACAGATAACCTGTTAACTGTCCTGGCTGTGAAAGAAATGAGATAACTACACAAAAAATCCATGTTTGATGTTGGTAAAGGAGGCACTTGCACATGACAAATTCCCCGAACACACATTTCCACTATTTCATGCGACCGCCGGAGAGAGATGAGAGATGAGCACGGCGGGGAACGAGCACAGGGTTTCCACGGTTTCCGCACGGAGGAGCACCGCCGTAAGCCATCATTGCTTCCGCATCTATTGCCTTGCCTTGCGTTGTCTCTTGTTTCCTCGTGGCTTTCCTGGTTCTTCATCGTTGCTGTCTTTCCGTGCTCGCTGTCGAACTTTCCTGCAGCCTTCGTCATTCCCATCCGCAGCGCGGTTTCTTTTCGGAAGCCTCGTTGCGCCCACAGCAGTGCACGTGCGGGTGAGACGCACAGCCGCCCAATTGAGTCGGATTAAATACAGCAGTGCACGTGCGGGTGAGACACGCCTGACATCCGCCAATCAGACATGGAGAATTCGAGGAGAGGCTTAGCGGAGCTGCTGGCGCCGTCCCCGATACAGTCCGCCCCGCTTCTGGAGATTATCACTTTGGAGGAATTCGAGTGTGGAGTAAGGGAGCGGTGTGGGCCAGAAGCGGTGCCAGCGCAACACGCGGCGGAATTCCAGGCGGATTTTCAGGCTGCCGTGGATTTTATTTTGTTGGAAGACTTTGATGGGGGGATTGAGGGGAAAGGAGCGCGTTCGGCGGCGGACGAAGCGGAAGGGCGGTTGCAGGAGGAAGGCTCGGGTCTCGTTATTGGACAAGGAAGAGACGCGTTGGATGAGAGCGGGGATGTCGTGATGTCGGATCGACACACCGAAGAGACGTATACCGAGGATATGCCGCGCAAGCCGTCCACCAGCGAGAAATGGACGCGTGGAGGGTATCTCGACCTTGATCGTATCAGCGATTTCCTGGATTTGCGGATGGCAAAGATCAGCGAATCTAGTGCCACTAGACGACAAGATTTGGGCGGCACAAGTAACAGGAGTAGCATCGGTAGTACCATAGCCAATCCCGCCGCGGAAGGCCTAATAGGCAGATTAGGACCGCCTATAGTCTACATGCTACGTAGCTCTTTCTCCGGGGAGATTAAAGTGGAAGGGGGCGGGCCTTGGGGGCCGGCGGAAAGGGCAGGGGGAGGGGCGGAGGGGGAGGCGGAGGGTGGAGGTGTGGGGAGCAGCCGCGGGCGGGGGATTGCAGATGCTGCTGCGGCGCTGCGGAGCATATGGGCGGAGGAGGATATGGAGGGGTTGGAGATTGAGGGGATAGAGTGGGCAGGCGCAGGGGGAGGCGCAGGGGGGGAAGCGGGCGGAGAGGGAGGGGTAGGCGGGGGGGTAGGATGGGAAGGGTTGTTGCTAGAGTCGTTGGGCAGAGCGGGAGCAGCAGCAGGAGGAGGAGGAGCAGGAAGGGGAGCAACAGGAGCAGGGGGCCGGTCAAGAGGCAGAGGCAGGGCACGAGAGGACCTAGGAGGCGGCTTGATTCTAGAATCCCTAAGCAGTTTCAGCAGCGCGCGCGCCAACGTGTGCGTCTACTCGGGCCGGTGGCAGTACGAGGCCACTCTAGGCTCCTCCGGCATTCAGCAGATTGGCTGGGCGACATTGGCATGCCCGTTCACTGCAGAGGAGGGCGTGGGGGACGCGCCTGACTCGTATGCGTTTGATGGGAAGAGGGTGCGGAAGTGGAGTGGGTGGTCGGCTCAGTACGGGCAGCCGTGGGCGGCGCATGATGTGATTGGCTGCTGTATTGACCTGGAGGGGGATGGCGGTGTGGTGGGAGGTGAGGGTGCAGGTTCGGAAGCTGCTGCTGCTGCTGCTGCTGCTGCTGCTGCTGGTAGTACTGCTGCTGGTGCTACTGCTGCTGCTGGTTCTGCTGGTAGTGTTGGTGCTGGTGGTGGCAGAAGGAGTGGCGGTGGTGTTGGTGCCGCTGGTGCTGGTGCTGCCGGTGGGGCATCCAGTGGTGGCACGGCAGTGGGGAGAGTGACATTCTACCGCAACGGGGAGTGTCTGGGAGTGGCCTTCACAGGAGTGAAGGCGCTACAGAGGGGCCTGGCCTATTTCCCAGCCATCTCCATCTCCCACTGGGAGCGCTGCGAGCTTAACTTCGGTGCCCGCCCGTTTCGTTACCCGGTTACCGGGTTCCTCCCGCTGCAGTCGCCACCTCGCCTGTGCTGGCCCATGCCCTCTGCTGCTACAGATGCAGTGGATGCTGCTGCCACGGCTGCTGCCACGGCTGCTGCTACTGCTGCCCCCGCTGCTACAGATGTTGCTGGTGCGGCTTCTGCCCCTACCGACAGTGCTTCTGCTGCTGCTCCCGTGCATTCGCCTCCGTCTCCCATCGACCCTGCCTCACTCCCCACCCACGTCGGCCACTTCCTCCTGCCTACCCTGCAACCCACCTCGCCCCACCCGCACTCCCATCTACGCACAGCAGACAGCACAGCAGGTGCCTCTCGTGTTGCACACTTGGATGCAGCTGCGTGCTCCTCCTACCTCCTCCACTGCCTTTCTCGCCTGCTGCACCTCACCTCCCTTCCCTCCTCCCTCCCCTCCTCGTTCTCCTCCCCTGTTCCACATACCTCCTCCTCCTCGCTCCCCCACAGCCCCCCATCGAGCCTGCCATTCCGAACCTGTCCGCTAGGCCCGGATGACGAGGTTCTCCTGGTGGAGCTCCTGTGTGAGAGGCTCGGGCCGTTGCTGCTGGCAGGGGGGGCGCGAATGGAGGTGCAGAGTCAGATGGGGAGGAGGGCAAGGGAGGGCAAAGGAGGGGGAGGAGTGGGAGAGGGTGTGGGGTGGGTGCGAGGGGGGTATGCTGTATGGGCCTCCCTGCTGCCTCTACTCCTCCAACTGGCGCCCAGACAGGGGCTAGTCACAGGTGGGGGGAAGCAGGGTGCAAACAGAAACAGCCTACAGCAGCAGCAGCAGCAAAAGCAGCAAGGGTGGAGGATGGTAGACCGAGTAATGGACTCGCTTCACCTGTGTCTGGAGGACCATGAGTGGTCCGGGATCATCCCGGCCCTCATGGACGCCCTAGCCTTCCACTCCCGAACCTCCCTCATAGGTTCGGCTGCGTTCACAGTGCCGAACCTAGCCGGTGCAGGAGCAGAAGCAGTTTCCGGCTCGGGAAAACCCCCAGAGGTTTGGCAAGAGGGGCGGGATCCGTACCCGTACCTATCCCTGGCCTGCCACTTAGCTAAGCGACAGGAGGTGTTAAGCGCATGGTGGGCAGCAGACGGATTCTCCTCCAATCTAGAGGCATTTTTGACCCGCAAAGTAGCCACGAGGGTGGATCTGCAGAGGCTGTTTGCCTCACTGTGGTGGGCTGGGTGCAAGGAGGAGGATTGCAGTGCAGCAGCCTTGGAAAGAAGCAAGAAGGCGCTTGTGAAGGCAATGTCTAGGGTGGAGCTTTGTCAAGTGTCGCTCTGCCGCTCGCTCCTCTTCTTTGTCCCCTCTAAGAGCATGACCGGGGCTTCGTCGACTTATTCGCTTGCGACTGGCGGCGTGCTTGCTCCGTTTCTGAGGAGCCTCATTCGCAAGAACCGGGCGGCGAACAGGAATATTGTGCCGCCCGGGCTCTCGGATAGTAGCGTGCTGGTGACGGCGTTTTTTGTCCTCTTGCGGCTGTTGTGGGCGGGGCTGGTGGGCCGTGGAGGCGGGAAACTGCAGAAGACAAAGAGAGCTGGGGTTTTAAGAGGGTCACATGTCTTAGTAGAATCAGGGAGTGGAAGAGAGGGAGAAGCAGAGGGAATGGAGGTTGATTTTGAAAGAGGAACGTCAGGGAGGGAGGGTAGGCGGGTGGGGAAGGTAGAGAGGGAGGGATGGGAAGCGGAGGAAGAGGAGGAGGAAGAGGAGGAGGAGGAGGAGGAGGAGGAGGAGGAGGAGGAGGAGGAGGAGGAGGAGGAGGAGGGGGAAGAGGAAGAGGAGGAGGAGAGCGAGGAAGTATCAATGCTGCCTTGGCCAAGAACACCCTCTGGGGCCATTAGGAGCAGCTGGAGGGAGCGACAAGAGGCAAGCAGTGCCTTGGATAGCAGCAGCAGCATAGCAGCTGTTACAGCCACTGCCACTGCAGGCATCAGCTTAGGTGCCACCGGCACTGCTGCCATCCCTGCAGGGGGTTACCTGCAGCGTCACGGGCCGTGGAAGTTTCCTGTGGCCTTCTTCCTGCACCCGGATTTGCATTACTTTGACTTGCCACGCCTGGGCGGGCTGTTCAGCCACGTGGCCAAGACCTTCCCCCTCTCCGCTCCCCAGGACTTTGCCAGCGTGGCATGGAGTGATGATGACGTGGATGATGATCATTGGGCGGCAGGAGAGGAGGGGGAGGGGGAGGCGGGTCGGGGAACGGGGGAGAGGAGAAGGGAGGAGCGGGGGACGGGGGGAGGAGGTACAGGGGAAGGAGGGGGAGCAGGCGGGGGGAGGAGAGCAGAGGGAGTGCAAGAGAGGGAAATGGGAGGAGGGAGGAGTGAGGGGGATGTTGAACGTGAGGGGGAGGAGAGGGGTGAGGAGAAGGCGGAGAGGGGGAAGGGGGAGGAGGATGAGAGGGAGGTGCTTCTGCTGGACATGGCAGTGCTGCTGTTCCACCTCAGGGGCGTGGGTGCCTTCAAACAGGTCCGTCCGTCCGTCATTCAGTCAGTCAGTCAGTCAGTCAGTCAGTCAGTCAGTGTGCGTCAAGAGCCATGCGCTGAGTGCTTCACAGGCCATTATACTCATGCTGTTGGCTGCTCCTGCGGCCCGCTTCCACAGCACCCTCCTTCTCTTCCTTCCCCACCTCCTTTCCTCTCTTCTGAAGGCTTTTACCTTCTCGTCCTTCCCTTCCATCCTCCCTTCTCTCCGCTCCCTCCCCTCCCTTCCGCCTCCCGCTCCAACCCTCCCCAGGCGGCGCTACAGCAGCAGGGCATGGTGCAGGCGGTGGCACAGCTGGACGCGGACAGGCAGATCGAAGCCTTCCTCCATCCCTCCTACTCCCGCCTTCACCTCTCTCCCACTACTCCCTCTCCCGCCCCCTCCCCCTCCCCCGTTCCCCAGGCAGCACTGCAGCAGCAGGGCATGGTGCAGGCGGTGGCGCAGCTGGAAGATGCGGACAGGCAAATCGCTGCTGCCATTGGGGGGCGCACGGAGGGAGCTGCAACAGGGGGCGCTGCAGGGGGGTTGGGGGCAGGTGGAGAAGCAGGCACAGGGGCGGCGACAGGGGCGGCGACAGGGGCGGCGACAGGGGCGGCGACAGGGGCGGCGACAGGGGCAGGCCAAGGGGGAGGGGCAGCGGCAGGGGAAGAAGAGGGGGCTGATGTGGGCGCTGCAGGAGCGGCAGCAGGGGCGGGTGTACCTGCAGTGGCAGCAACAGGGGGAACTGCGGGAGCCTCTGGGGGAGGTACAGCTGCCAGGGGAGGTGCATCTGGGGGAGGTGCATCTGGGGGAGGTGCATCCGGGGGAGGTGCATCTAGAGGGGCCTTGGGAGGGTCAGTGCGGGCGCAGCAGTTGAGGGAGGCGAGGCAGGTGTTCCGAGAGGACGTGGATGAGAGTGTGAGGCTTGCAGTGTGGTGGAGAGCGGTGCTGGGCGGTGCGGCGTGGAAGCAGAGGGCGCTGGTGGGGGTGAGCAGGAGGGTGAGCTCGCTGCTGCTGGCTGCCAGCAAGCGGGGCCACATCTTTGCCTATGTGCCCGAGGTCTACCTGGAAGCCATGGTGCGTTGTTGCTATGTTGAAGGCGTGGTGGGTTGCTGTCCTGTGTGATCATGGTGTGCGGAAGAGGGGCACTAGGTGCTGTTGGCTGCCAGCAAGCCGGGCCACATCTTTGCCTACGTGCCCGAGGTCTACCTGGAAGTCATGGTGCGTTGTTATTTGGAGAAATGGTGGGTTGTTGCCTTGTGTAATATGTGATAGAGAGAAACCAGCAAGCGAGGCCACATCTTTGCCTACGTGCCCGAGGTCTCTTTGGAAGCCATGGTGGGTTGTTGTTTTGTGAGGGAGCTCAGTGTGCAACGTATTTGCTTATTTTCCATACTGGGTTGTTTTCTTAAAAGCCATGGATTGGGACGGATGCATATCTCCTCCCATCTGTCTCCCTGACTGCACTCGTCCCCCTTTAGTGCAACTTCTGGCTACTCCTTCCTCACCCCTCCCTCCACTACCTCTCCCCCCACCCCTTCCCTTCCATCTCTCGCACCTCCCGCTCGCACCACTCCCACTCGCACCTCTCCTGCACCCATTCCCCCCATCATTCCCCCATCTCTCCTCCAATCTCTCCCCCCTTTTGTCTCTCCAGATCGAGGCCTTCCATGCCTTCAGGCGTTGCGACCCGCCTCTCTTCCGCCTCCGCCACTCCGTGCACCACCTTGCGCCCTTTGTAAGTCCCACACCATCCATCCATCACGCCTATTCCTCCTCTCAGTCTCATCTAGGATACTTAGTTTAGGGTCATTGCGCAGCCATGAGCGGAATCTCCTTAGTCTCATCTGCACAGCCATCTGCAGAATCTCATTGCGTATTTTTCTCCTCCAGAAAAACCTTTGCCTTTTGCAATAGCGTTGGATAGATATTTTCTAGCATGGCTATTTCTCTGAGGAGTGATAGAAAAGCAACAGCTTCAACTTGGTCCACGCGCGCGCCTTGCTCCACGCGCGTGACACGCGCCCTTGGTCCACGCGCGCGCCCTATGGAAACACCTGCACATGCTCTTACCCAGATCCCCATCTTCACTACCCATCTTACCGTCTTACCGTCCCAAGTTTCTATCCACTTTCTCTTACGTACACCTGTCCTTCCATCTTTCTTCGACACATCTTGAAACCCCGTTTTCAGATCCCCACTGAACAAATTCGTGTCTTTCTCTTTATCTCTTTCGCAGATATCCTTCCTGCTCACGCGATTCAGCGATGCAAGGATCGCCAATCCAGACACCAGAGACCAGCTGCTACAGACGCTCTCTGTGCTGCTACAGCTGCCGCCCTTCTCCGTTGCACTAGAGACAAACAAGGCCGCTCGCACGTGCTTCATGCCCAGCCTTCTCAACGCATTTGACCAGCGCTTCTGGATACCCGTCTCTCAGGTGATTCCTCAGGTGCCGTTGCCTTTCTGAATGGTTCTCTCCCCTAATCCTCCTGCGACTCTGTGTGAGCAACCCTTTCAAAAGCCCCTCCAGCTTTCAGAATTTCAGGTGTTGCTGGGAGATTTCGTGCGCATGCCCCCCTCCCCTCCTCTAGTTTTGAGGCGCCTCAAAACTAGTGTTGCTGGGAAATTTAGTGCGCATGCCCCCCTCCCCTCCTCCTCCCAACCACCCCTTCCCCCTACCCCCCCACCCCTCTTTCCCTTCCCCTCTCACAGATCCTCCTGCGTCTTTGTGTGAGCAACCCCTTCGGAGGCCCCTCCAGCTTCCCCTCGCTCTCCCTCTCCTCCTCCTCCTCCACGCCCTCCCTCTTCGCACCTCTCTTCCAGCACGCCCTGCACCAGCTCTACCTGCACCAGCTCTACCTGCACCAGCTCTACCTGCACCAGCTCTACCTGCACCAGCTCTACCTGCACCAGCCTCACCTCTTCTCGCCCTTCCTCAACCGCCTCTTCAACACACTCAACTGGACGCTCACAGAATTCCTAGTGGCTCTGAAAGAGGTGCAGCAATAACCATCTTGCACTCCCCCTGCCCCGCTCCCACCCCCACCCCCTCTCACAGATCCTCCTGCGTCTTTGTGTGAGCAACCCCTTCGGAGGCCCCTCCAGCTTCCCCTCGCTCTCCCTCTCCTCCTCCTCCTCCACACCCTCCCTCTTCGCGCCTCTCTTCCAGCACTCCCTTCACCAGTTGTACCTGCACCAGCCGAGCCTCTTCTCTCCTTTCCTAAACCGCCTCTTCAACACTCTCAACTGGACTCTCACAGAATTCCTGGTGGCTTTGAAAGAGGTGCAGGACTTGCAGCAGCAGGAGGAGGAGCAGCGGCGGCGGCGGAACCGGCGGCAGCAGCAGCAGCAGGCGTGGGAGCTGCAGCAGCGCAAGTGCAGTGTCATGTTTGACCTTACTTGTAACCTTGCTAGGCTGTTGGAAGTTCTCTGTGAGGCTTCTCCGGAGGTTTTTCTCTCTTTGAAGGGGGGAGGGGGCCGGGAAAAAGGGGAGAAGGCTCTAGAAGGGGGTGAAGCAGGAGGAGCAGCAGCAGCTGCGGGAGGAGGAGGAGAGGGAGGAGAAGGAGGAGGTGAAGGAGAGATGCAAGGAGTTTCAGGAGGAGAAGAGGGGAGCAGGGCCAGGGTGGAGCTAGTCACTCAGGGCGAGGGAGAGGGAGGAAGAGAGTCCATTGAAGCTGAAGGAGAAGCAATGACAGCACTTGCACCTGCCACCACTCCTGCTTCCTCCACATCCCCTGCGCCGTCTGCATCCTCTGCTCCCTCTGCATCTGACTGCTCTCTCGATCCTGAGATGAACCGCATGCGGCTGTTTGAGCTGCTGCTCTTCATCCTCAACCACACGTGCTCGGGTGCTGATGCACGCGCTCTTGACGGGTAAGAATGGTTGAAATCCAGGAACGGCTTGTGCTGTAAAAGGTATTATGAGATGAACCGCATGCGGCTCTTTGAGCTGCTGCTCTTCATTCTCAACCACACCTGCTCCGGCGCTGACGCACGCGCTCTTGACGGGTAAGAATGGTTGAAATCCAGGAACGGCTTGTGCTGTAAAAGGTATTATGAGATGAACCGCATGCGGCTCTTTGAGCTGCTGCTCTTCATTCTCAACCACACCTGCTCCGGCGCTGACGCACGCGCTCTTGACGGGTAAGAATGGTTGAAATCCAGGAACGGCTTGTGCTGTAAGGTGTTATGAGATGAACCGCATGCGGCTCTTTGAGCTGCTGCTCCTCATTCTCAACCACACCTGCTCCGGTGCCGATGCCCGTGCTCTTGATGGGTAAGATTCCACGAAAACAGGTTGAATTGTGAGGCGAGGTGAGAGGTGAGGTGAGGTGGGGTGAGGTGGGGTGAGGAAAGGATTGGACCGCCCCCTCCAGCCCCACAGTGCTCGCTCCACCCATGGTCTAGCGTTCCCATCCTGCACTGTTCCATCCCATGTCCCAATGCCCTGCACTCACCACAGTGTCCTGCACCTGCAGGGCCACGTGTCCCCCTCAGACCGCTCCTCCCATCCCATACTAGGTCGAAACTACATTTCCATGCACCCCTCATGGGCATCATGTCCTTTTCGCCCTCCCTCCCTCTCTCCCTCCCCTTCCCTCCGCCTCCCTCTCCCTTTCCTTCCTCACAGTGTCCTGCAGGACCACGTGTCCCCATCGGACCAATCATCCCGCCCCATGGTGCTCGCGCCTCTCGTGGGCATCATGGGCGGCCTCTTCTCGCATGCTCAGCGGGCCAATGGGAGCGCGCCAGCTGGCATGGTGCGGTCGGTGCTGCAGGCGGATCCCTCTCTTGATTGCCTGGGCGGGCTTGAGTACCTGCTGGGGTTCGACTGGGTGAGTGGGGTGGGGGAGTGGGGGCCGTGTGTGAAAGTTTGTGAGAGAGCGAGGGGAACTGAGATGGCATGCTGCAGTTCTCACCCCTCACACCCCTCTCGCCCTCTTACCCCTCAATCCCCGTGCCCACCACAGGAGAGTGAGTTCAGCAGCCCCCCCTCAGCGTGCCTGGCGGATCTGCGCCTCTTTGTGGATCAGCTCAGGGTGGAGCAGGCTGCTCGCAAGGCGGCAGCAGAGGCCGCTGCTGCTGCCGCTGCAGGTGAGCGTGCACGTGTTTGCTCGCATGGGAATGTATTGGGAGCTTGGAACTGGCATGAGAAGTGGCATGGGAACTGGTAGTGTGGGAACTGAATATGTGAACTGAGCATGTGAACTGAGCATGTGAACTGAGCATGTGAACTGAGCATGTGAACTGAGCATGTGAACTGAGCATGTGAACTGAGCATGTGAACTGAGCATGGAAACTGACCGCAAGGGAACTGGCAGCATGAGAACTGCCACAAGACTCTCTCTCTCTCCCTCCATGCCAGCTTTTCCCTGCATCTCCCCATCCACTTGGTCTCACCTCCAATCCACCCCTCCTTCTCCTCCCTCTCCTGCTCCTCCCAGGCCGCGCCAAGAAGGGCAAAGATCACATGCAGGAGCAAGGCCCCACCGCAGAGGGGATGGCTGGGGCTGGTGCTAGTGCTGGCACAGGGGAGGGGGAGGTTGAGGAGGAGGAGGAAGAGGGCGAGATGTGCAGCATCTGCTACGCGGCTCCCAGTGACACCCAGTTCATCCCCTGCGGTCACTCCTCCTGTGAGCGCTGTGTGGCGCGGCACCGCCTCAACAGCCCCCGCTGCTTCTTCTGCAATGCTGTCATCGAGCGACTGGTGGCGAAGCATTGAGGATGCGGAACCACCTGTGCCCTCAGGAAACACATCTGAGGACGGGCAGATGTAATAGTCTACTTCTGAGTCGCCTCAAAAGGAGGGCAACTGTGGTAGTCTACTTTTGAGTCGCCTTTCTCAAAAGAAGGGCATGTGTGGTATAATATGCGGGTAGCATGTATCGGTGAAAAGATTTCGCCGCGGCGTCTGCTTTACCAATGAGTGATACTCAATTTTCTCACAATGCTAGCTGCTGTGATTTCTTTACATCAGCCCCCTCCCACGTCGTGGTAAGGTGCTGTGTGTTTGAACACGCCTTCTTTGCTACAGCACATCTGGTTGTATGTCTCGTGTGTGGGCTGTAATCTGGAAGCCTCTGTCAAATTTTATATGTGACATATTTTACTTACAATCAGCAATGCCAACAGACAGGAGCCACTGAGTATCTCTCTTAACTTCATGCCACTCAGTAGCTGGTCACAGTTGATGAGATCCCCCCTTTCACGTTCATGCCGTTAACTAGGAACGAAACAGATAAGGGCGAGGGATTCGTGAACAGCCCAGCGTCAATTAACGTCTTCAAGGTGCCCTCTGCCTTGGAAGCATAAGTCAGTGAAACCTTTTCTGCAAGGGTGCAGTTCCAATTGCCCTTTGTTGTTTCCGCGATGAATGTGCAGTTGAGCTCGGCCACGGTGGCGCCAGTGGAGGTGGAATAGTATTTCGGATTGGTGAATGATGGGGTCGGCGTGGCGGATACGTTTGAAACGCGGACGAAGAGTTTGGTTGATTGGTAAGTGTTTGTGCTGCAAGGGGAGACACGTAGGGGGGAGGAGGGGAGGAGAGGAGAGGAGGTTGGAGGAGACAGGAAGGATGAGAACACGACAGATAATGCACTTCTGCACTGCACGTGTATTGATGCCACATTTCTCGGAATGATTAAAGCTGCTGCTACTAGTGGGGACCTCTCAGTGCACCTTCAGCGTGATAACGGTGATGAGTACATGGTCAGAAGATTGAAACCATACATAGTCAGCATGAAAAAAATCAACCATCGTTGGGTTCAACGCTAGAATTAGGTGAAGGTTCAACATGATGTGACGCTTACACGTTAGCACCCAGCGTGCACGAAGCAGTAACAGCACCAGTACTAGAAGACATTTTAGATGTTGCTTGGTCTGCGCACCAGCGGGTGAGGGACGGAGAACGGAAGACGGAAAATGTCACAGAGAACCAGCCATGGGAGGAGGAACGAAATTGTGGCAGGATAAGCGGAGTAGCACGAGGTTTCCCTTCCGGTATCGAACGTGATGATCGTGCTTACGAGAAGATGCGAACAAGGGATCACGACGACAAGAAAGTACGTGCGTGCGTGCGTGCAGCAAGATAGTCTGCCGTACAGAGAGTGATGCCAACTTGAAGCAGATGGCGGCCGGCGATGGCGCTGCAGGAGAGAGAGAGCAGCACTGCACGGGGGTACGACGTGCACGAGGAAATTAGGGTTGTCACTTGACAAGGCGCTACTAAGCTAACGCAGGTTTTGCCGAGTAACGTAGCGCGGGCGGCCAGATTTGACAGGAAGCAAGAGTTGGAGACCAGAGGGGCCACCAACATGCGCTCAGGAACTTTCTCTGAAAGGGTAAGGACAACTCGTTGTGAGGACGAACGCGGTTCGGCGAATGTAGAACTCACCAGCCAGGACGAACGCGGGTCGCAGCGACATCTGGGCCATTGCTGCTTAGGAGGCTACTATACTTGCGAATCAGGCGTTGTTCTACGAAGGAAAACAGGCTCGATCGGGCGGAAATGAAAAGATATTATCGCTGAAGACAAACCCAGGTGCTTCTATAGCCAGTCGAGCTGCTTGCTAAAAGTAAAACAACACCAACACGCAGGACTGGAGGGTTGCCAGCAGCAGCATCATGGTAGCATGCGCTGGTAGTCAGGAAGGAGGATCTAGGAACGGCTGGCAGCATTTGCCGTGGATCTCGCTGCTAGACAACACAAAAGGCGAGTCGTTTCAGATTTCACGACAGTCACGGGCCGCGACTTGCGTTGGCGGCGGTCTCAGGTGGATTGACCTCATTCCTCAGAAGTGGTTGCTGCCAAGCACTGCATGTAGCGTCACATTTTGGAATGCTGAACAGCCAAATGTACTGCTTCTATTCTATTCTCCTGAACCCAAGCTTCAAATTCCATTTCGCCGCATGTGGCTCTGGCAGACCGCACTGAAGCATTCAGGCTTTTCAAAAGGTTCAGTTCGGTGAAGCATGAATTCGGTGCCCGAATTCATGCTGTAAAAAAGGTTTAGTAAACGCGCTGGAAACTCGCCGAACCTCGTTGAACTGCTTTAGAACCTTTTCTGAATGTTCTGAATTGTCCCGAATCGTATCTGAAAACATCTGTGACTAAGACCATCTGGTGCTTCCCTTGTCAAATTCAGCCCCCGAAGTTAGCGATGTTCGTTTCAGGCGCCGCGTCTCACGCAAAACCACTTCAAAATCACCTGGAGGGAGAAAACAGAGATCGCGATTCGCGACACCTTCATTGTGTCGCGATGACTTCCTGACCAACTCTGCTGTTGTCCTGATGATATCCTGACAGGGTTGCTTGATTCATTCGTCGTCAACTGTGTGTGACTTGGCTGTTACAGTATTTGCACTTGTTGCCATTCGTCAGCTTCGAATTGGCTTTGATTTGCTCAGTACCGTAACAATCATGTTGGCAGTCAGCTGCCAAGCTTAGCGTTGGCCACATTCCCTGTGGTCATGGCATACACATTTCTTAGTCCCAGTTAGGACGACTTGTGGTCAACAAGAGTCCAGCCAGACTGCAGCTTGCAGAAACGAGTTAGGGTAGCTGCAATGCAATGTAAAATGGAGGAACTAATGCTAAGGCAGCAGATAGCAGCACAGCAACACCCTGAGGGCCCTGAAGCGTGCTAATGATCCTCATATGTTGCTGGATATGTCGGATCAGCATAGCAGTTACTAGTGCAAGTTGCTGGATGGGTGTTATTGTGCAGCGTAAGGGGAGAATGCATGGGAGGGGGTGTGGAATGGCAATGCATGGGACTGATGATGGTGGTGGCGATGGTGCAAGTGCTTATGATGAAGGTGATGGCTTGATGCTTCCTCAATCTGCAAGACGCAAGAGAATACGCACAGGCAGGGGAGGGAAGGAGGTGAGCTCAGGCACGAGAGCAGGGAATTCGGAAGTGGTTGAATGATGAAGCGTGGGGTGGGGGGCTGAATCGGGAAGGCATGCTGTGCTAGGGAGTTGGACAGGAAAGACTGGAACTCAGAGCTGTGAAGGAGTCTAGTTTGGAGGTGCCTCAAAACTAGCTGAGTGGGGAAGGTATGCCGTGCTTGGGAGTTGGACAGGAAAGACTGGAACTCAGAGCTGTGAAGGAGTCTAGTTTGGAGGTGCCTCAAAACTAGCTGAGTGGGGAAGGTATGCCGTGCTTGGGAGTTGGACAGGAAAGACTGGAACTCAGAGCTGTGAAGGAGTCTAGTTTGGAGGTGCCTCAAAACTAGCTGAGTGGGGAAGGTATGCCGTGCTTGGGAGTTGGACAGGAAAGACTGGAACTCAGAGCTGTGAAGGAGTCTAGTTTGGAGGTGCCTCAAAACTAGCTGAGTGGGGAAGGTATGCCGTGCTTGGGAGTTGGACAGGAAAGACTGGAACTCAGAGCTGTGAAGGAGTCTAGTTTGGAGGTGCCTCAAAACTAGCTGAGTGGGGAAGGTATGCCGTGCTTGGGAGTTAGACAGGACAGACTGGAACTCAGAGCTGTGAAGGAGTCTAGTTTGGAGGTGCCTCAAAACTAGCTGAGTGGGGAAGGTATGCCGTGCTTGGGAGTTGGACAGGAAAGACTGGAACTCAGAGCTGTGAAGGAGTCTAGTTTGGAGGTGCCTCAAAACTAGCTGAGTGGGGAAGGTATGCCGTGCTTGGGAGTTGGACAGGAAAGACTGGAACTCAGAGCTGTGAAGGAGTCTAGTTTGGAGGTGCCTCAAAACTAGCTGAGTGGGGAAGGTATGCCGTGCTTGGGAGTTAGACAGGACAGACTGGAACTCAGAGCTGTGAAGGATGAGGGCATGCCCCATGCCTGTGCCCTGTGTTGCATACCATGAGAGGCTGCATGCAAGTTAGCATACATGCCCATGCAACAGGTGCATGCCCTTGCCACAGGTGAATGGCCATATGTGAATGTTGACCTTTTGTGTCAACTCAGCTGTAACCTTTCAAACATGCACATGCCACACGTGAATGCTCTTTCAGTACCCACCTCCACCGTTACGTGTGTGATGCCAACCACCCGGAATACATCCGAAACCTGCCGCCTCAACGATTGCCGCAGCTGCTGAACCGCCTCCACCCGCTGCTGCTTGCCCCCGTACTCGCTATAAGCATCTCCGTTATGCGCCGCTGCACCTCCGTCTTTGGCCCTATCTTTGAGGCTATCTGGAGAGATGAGCACGTGGATTGAGCCCACTAGCATCTTGGGAGTGAAGGACCAGAAGTGCCGTTGCCGCACCGCCACCACCCCTGCCATCGACTCAATCTGTCATGGGTAACGGGATGATGGGTCAGGCATGGGAACACAAGTGAATGATTCTGATTAATAAGTGACAGGCATGGTGCATGGAACGGGGCATGGAGCAGAAACGGGGTGACAGTACCTAGTTCTGAAATCCTGAAACTCACTGAACAGTCAAAACCATCTAGTCCCACCCACCAGCTCACCTTCTTCAGGGCAGCTGAAATCTGGTGCTCAGCTGCCCGGGGAACTCTTTGCAGAATGATTTCAGCGGAGTTTTGCAGCAGAGGGATGACAGTGCTGATGATGAGCGCTGATATGAATATGGAGCACGCCTGGTGGTGGTGGGGTGGAGAGAAGGGGGAGATAAGGGGGAGTGGAGGGGCAACGTTGCAGCAGAGGGACGACAGTGCTGATGATGAGCACTGATATGAATATGGAGCACGCCTGGTGGTGGTGGGGTGGAGAGAAGGGGGAGATAAGGGGGAGTGGAGGGGCAACGTTGCAGCAGAGGGACGACAGTGCTGATGATGAGTGCTGATATGAATATGGAGCACGCCTGGTGGTGGTGCGGTGGAGAGAAGGGGGAGATAAGGGGGAGTGGAGGGGCAACGTTGCAGCAGAGGGACGACAGTGCTGATGATGAGCGCTGATATGAATATGGAGCACGCCTGGTGGTGGTGGGGTGGAGAGAAGGGGGAGATAAGGGGGAGTGGAGGGGCAACGTTGCAGCAGAGGGACGACAGTGCTGATGATGAGCGCTGATATGAATATGGAGCATGCCTGGTGGTGGTGGGGAAGAGAGGGGAGGGAAGGGGAAAGGAGAGGAAGGAGCAGCAGAGGGATAACGGTGCTGATGATAAGTACTGATATGAATATGGAACACGCCTGATGGTTGTGGAGGTAATGGGACGATGGGAAAAGAGGGAGCAAGGCACGAACATGGAACAAAGACCCGGCAAGTCTGCAAGCAAGCACGTGAGCCTTACTTCACATAACACGTTGCACCAGGTCACTCCTCACCGGATTGAAGAAGTGTTTTGAGACGTCTCAAAAGAAACATTTACTGCACATAACACGTTGCACCAGGTCACTCCTCACCGGGTCTGTGAGCATCCATCCCTTGTACTCGATGAGGAGCGTCGATACCCCCATCCCCACACTTACATGCCACACACTGCCTGCCATACCCTTGCCCTACCGTACAATCATGTACCCTTGCCATTCTCCTTACCTCCTCTCCCATTCAACCTCTCCTCACCCGGTCTGTGAGCATCCAGCCTTTGTACTTGATGAGCAGGGTCGATATCACCACCCCCACACTACCCAGTGTGTCTGCCAACACGTGCAGGAAGATTCCTGAAAGGAGGCCACGGGTAGGAAGGATTTGGGAGTGATCAGAGTGTTGAGTGACAGCGGCAGTGAGAGGAGGCGGGTGCGTGCGATTGTTGAGAGAGGAAAAGACCCAGCATGTGGAACGAGGGAGAGGAAGCGGAGAAGCAGCATGTGGGGAGAGAGAGAGGGGATGGGGAGAGGGAGAGGGAGAGCGAGAGGGAGAGCGAGAGGGAGAGGGAGAGGGAGAGCGAGAGGGAGAGGGAGAGCGAGAGGGAGAGGGAGAGGGAGAGGGAGAGCCTACCATGCATGTTATGGTCCACATGGGCACTGCCGGATGTGAGCACCTCTTGCACACATGCCTCTCCTCCTTCTCCATGTCCACCTCCCACATCCCCATGCCCATGCCCATCCCCGTACCCATGCCCATGCCCATGCCCAACCCCCTCTCCCACATCCATGCTCAAAGACGAGCATGACGCATCATGAGGCATGACTTCACTCTCATAAGCATGCTCATGCTCATGTGAGTGCCCATTCCCATGCTCATGCCCGTGCTCATGCCCATGCTCCTGTTTGTGCGACTTTCCTTCCCCATCGGACTTGCTTTCTCCTGCCCACTCCTCAAAATCCAGCCTCACGGGCAGCGCCTGAAAACTTTCATCTCCTCCTGCAGCGGCACCCCCTTGCCCTATTCTCCTCCTCGCTTTGTGCACGGCCAAAAGTTTCTCTGCCCCTGACGATGGTAGCGCTGGTGATTCAAACGAAGGTGATGATACTGAAATGGGTGACTGTAAGAGTGATCTGGTGGTGAAGGTGCTGCTGCTTTTGGCATCTTCCCAATTCTCCTGCTCCCAGTCCTCCACTGCTGCTGCAGCAATCCCCTCATGCCCATGTGCGTGCCCGTTCCCGTTCCCATGCCCATGCCCATGCCCATGCCCATGGTCGCATGCATGCTTGTCATCATGGTGACTATGTGATTTATGGTGGTGGTGGTGGTGATGGTGATGATGGGGATGGTTGTTGTCGTCATGGTCATGGTGATGATTACCATCATGCTGTTGCACACAATGGCTGTTGCAATCATGCCCGTGCCCATGCTCATGCCCATGCCCATGGTCATCATCATGCTTATGCCCATGGTCGTGGTGGTGTTGATGCACCAGATGATGGTCGTGCCCATGCCCATGATCATGATGCGCATGGGAACATGCCCCACCAGGGTCATGCCCATGATCATGATGCGCATGGGAACATGCCCCACCAGGGTCATGCCCATGCTCATGCTCGTGTTCATGTTCATGGTGAGAATGAGAATGGGAGTGGTCGTGGGAGTGGGAGTGGTCATGCGAGTGGGAGTGCGAGCAGCTGCCACCGTGTGCATGGTGGTGGGCCTCATGGAAGAACACGAGTCCCACCATGTTCACCACCAGGCCCCCCACAGACACCGCCAGCAGGTTCGCCGTTGATATGTCCGGTGGGTCCAGGATTCTGGAGTGAGAATGAGGGAGCGAGAAGGGACAACAAGTGGAAGGCCGGAGGGTGAAGAAGCCAGGATCTAGAAGGATACGTAGAGAGGAGTGAAGCTCTGCAGGCCCAGGAGCGAGCTCTAAAGAAGGCTATGAAATAATCAAGCTGTTTGGTTTGAACACTCAGCAGGAGACAGTTGTGTTTTCACACAGCTTAAAGCAAGAAACATGCATCAGTTTTGGGAGAATCGAAGCCATGGACAGAAAGAGGGCGCACCTTTCAATGGACTCAAAGACAATGAGTGCGGCGATGAGCAGAGCACTAAGAAGGCTGCATTCAGCCCGATTGCAGTGGATTTTTGAGAATTCTTCTACAGAATCTCGTGCATAATCGAAGGCACACCTTTCAATGGACTCGAAGACGATGAGTGCAGCGATGAGCACTAGGAAGACCGCATTCACAAAGCCCGATAACACCTCAAAGCGACCGTAGCTGCGGGCGAGAAGCCGAGCAGATAGTGTGGGAGCGATGGGATGGGATGACACAAGACATGATTAACAGAGAAGATGGGACACGCACCCATGCAGTGCAGCATGCAGCACAGACACTGAACAAAGCCATTAAGACTCGGACCATGCCAAGAAGCAATTTCGAGATCACAGCAAGAGTGCCTGCCATGCCATCAAGCAATGCACTTCACCTGAACAGGTCACCTGAACTGAAACCTAACAAGTGAACACGGACCCGTCTCAAATTCCTGAAAAGAGATTCACGAACCCGTAGGCGAATTTGGAGGGGGAGTCGAGGCGGGAGATGTAGGAGGCATAGAGGCCGATGGCGAGCGCAGCGCAGTGAGAGTGAGGTCTAAATCAGTGAGCCATGCCATGCCATGCCATACCATACGACAGCACACGCAAGGCACTTTTCCCAAATAGTTCAACTGCCCTAGCAAGGGTTTCACTGACCCATAGGCAAACTTAGAAGGGGAGTCGAGGCGGGAGATGTAGGAGGCATAGAGGCCGATGGCGAGCGCAGCACAGTCAAAGAGCATGTGGCACGCGTCCGATATGAGCCCCAGACTGGTGGCGGTGGAGGGACAGGGGGGGGGGAAAGGGGTGAAAGGGAAGTATGAGGGAGATGTAGGAGGCATAGAGGCCGATGGCGAGCGCAGCACAGTCAAAGAGCATGTGACACGCGTCTGATATGAGCCCCAGACTGGTGGCGGTGGGTGGAGGGGGGAACAAGTGGTATGAGGGAGAAGGTCGGAAGAAGGAGACTTGGTGGCCAAATGGGACGATGTCAGAGTGGAACGGAGATGGAGAGAAGGAGAAAGGAGGGGAATTGGTAAAAGTGGTCGTGGGAAGGGAAGTGGCAAGTGCGCACTGCTGTTGAGCCATGGATAAAGTAACGTAGCCCATGCATGCTTGCATAAGTAGGCACTACAAGCTTCATGTGATCAGGCCAGCGTAAAAGGGTTAGCTGGAGCTGATTCAAACAGTAAGCACCTCAACCAGAAGCATTTTAGTCTGAGCTAGGTCAGACCAAGCATACCTATTGGAAAGGAAACCGACGGAGAACTCCACGATCATAAACGCTGCGTTGATGAGGAGAAAGACTGGCAAGGGGGGTGAGGAGGCAGGGCACATGGAATGGGAGGGGATGGCAGGGGAGGGAGAAATGGAGTCAATAGAAGGGTGACGACGACGGTCGAAAAACAAACAAACAAACAAAAAAACAAAGAAGGGTGAGAGAGGAGGAAGAACTGACGGAGGGCCATGTGTGGGAGAAGAAAGAACAGATTTGATGGAACGAATTGGGGAAACAACACTCTCAGTTTAATTCGCATATCTTTACGATTTTTTAGTGGCCCTAGAAAATAGAAAGTGAACCGCTGCATGCACTCTCAGTCTGATTCGCAAAGACGATTGTGTAAACACGAAGAATCACACTAATGCGCTGTGGAGAAGGCATCGTGGTGCTACCAACCCGTAGGTAGGTATGCCCATTGTACTTTGAGCAAGACGGGCATAGACAGAACCGTATCCCCATGCCAGCACGATTGCACTTGCTTGCTATGTAGCCCGTGGCCATACGTACACAAATCGCCATGTTCACTATGATGCGGCCCCTAGCCCATACGTACGCGCAATGCGGCGTGACTTGGAATCGGACATGACGTGGTCCATTGCTCCCTGCGGGTGTGTGCACACCACATCCCACCATGGCAGGAGAGGGCAGGATACCACACGTCAGTCACTCATCCAAGCCAGGTTGTTTTTGCCTAAGTCGGTGAAAAAATAAGAAAGGGTTCAACTACGAAGAGCTAGGAAGAGATATAGAGAGGGGAAAGACAAAACATATGGGAAGAGGCCCCTTTGAATGGACCACCAGGGCGTTCACAAAAAAAAATCTGACACCATGGTTCCTTTAGAACCAGACATACGACGAGCGGTGTCTCCATGTCTATCCAGAGTGGCTACAAGCAGCAAGCCCCTCTGAAGCACTTCAGAAAGGAAAGCCACGTGCGATCACACTCTGCAACAAGAGCCGGGTTTCATCGGGATTCAACCCAAGCCGTCATGCTTTTGATTCATCCGTCCACCAGTTTACCTTGCACCAGCAAACCTGTTTGCCTGCGAAACAGGATGATGGATAGTGCGGGCGCACGTGCTACTTGCTTGAAGAATTGCTTCACTCGCTCCTTGCCCGACGCACACATGTGTGTGTGCTCACCTGCAGCATGGCGAGGGCGGCAGTTCTGCGCCTCTCCTTGGCTGCCACCCCATCCTCTGCCAGCGACCCCGCTGACTTGCTGCGCTCTATGGCCGTAGACCAGTGCAGACCTGGTGGGCGGGAGAGAGGGAGAGCAGGGGTGGGTGAGGCAGGGGTGAAGGAAGGTGAGCCCTAGAGATTGCTGCATTGTATTGCAGGGACCTGGACATGGACCACTGGAGGACTGAAGTCCAGTGCAGTCCTTGAGGCAGGAATAGAGAGAGTCAGAGGGACGGAGAGAGTGCGCATGGAGGGAATGAGAGAATAAGTGAGGTGGGGGGGGACGAAGGGTGTGGCGGGGGCTTGGGTGGGGGAGCGTGAGGTGCGGTGGGATTTGTGGTGGTGGGAAGGGATGTTTGGCAGTTTATGCAGGAAGGAGCAGCAGGGGGGCGTACCAGCGGCAAGGAGGAGGGCGATGAGGACGAAGGAGAGGGGGCTGAAGTGCATTCGGTACACGAGTAGCAGCGCAACCACCGCCACACTCGTCACCAGCAGAGGTGACTATTGGGTCGACTCAAAAGCTTACCAGCAGCAAGGAGGAGGGCGATGAGGACGAAGGAGAGCGGGCTGAAGTGCATTCGATAGATGAGTAGCAGTGCCACCACCGCCACACTCGTCACCAGCAGATGCTTCAGTGACGACGGGCCGATACGCAGCCTGCAAGAGATGGGGAAGGGAAGGGAAAAGGGGGAAAGGGGGGGTCAAATGGGGGGAGGAAAAGGGGTGGGGAGAGGGGGGGAAGGGAGGGGAAGAGGGAGGGAATGGGGGTAGGGCTGAAGGAAGGGAAAGAGGGGAGAAACACGGCTGACATAGAAAGGAACACGAGCCCCAGCAGGATCACTTTCCAGGAGCCTCGAACCCCTTTCTCCCCATTCCCCCACTCCATCCCCTCCCATCCTCCCCCCCCACTCCCCTCTTCCCCCCCTCCCTCGCCCTCCCCCTTCCCCTCCCACTCACTTGTCTTCCGCCAGCGTGTCCACATAGAAGGAGAACACGAGCCCTGCCAGGATCACCAGCGCATACACCTGCATCGAGGTGGCTTGTGAGTCTTTCAAAAAGTCCCCTTTCTCTCCCTCTCCCCCTTTCAACCCACCTCTCCTTCCATCCCCCACTCACTTGTCTTCCGCCAGCGTGTCCACATAGAAGGAGAACACGAGCCCTGCCAGGATCACCAGCGCATACACCTGCATCGAGGTGGCTTGTGAGTCTTTCAAAAAGTCCCCTTTCTCTCCCTCTCCCCCTTTCAACCCACCTCTCCTTCCATCCCCCACTCACTTGTCTTCCGCCAGCGTGTCCACATAGAAGGAGAACACGAGCCCTGCCAGGATCACCAGCGCATACACCTGCATCGGCCGCCCCCCCGCCTCCAGGTCCAAGGCTTGCGCTCCCTGCCGGGTGGCGCGGGCGAGAGGGGAAGTGTGGGGCGGGGGGGAAGGGTGTGGCAGGAGGGGAAAGAGAACGGGGATGGGAGGGTTTCTGAGGCGCCTGAAAATCGTCTTGTCACATGCCACCACGGCACGGCCATGGCCTGCAGCCGTGGCAGGTGGCAGGGGCGAGGGGGACTTTTGAGACGTCTCAAAAGTCGCCGGAAAATCGTCCTGTCACGTGCCACCACGGCCATGGCCTGCAGCCGTAGCAGGTGGTAGGGGCGAGGGGGACGGGGGGGGGCGGGAGAGAGAAGGGAGGGAGGGGAGTCGAGGAGAGACGAGTGGCATTTGTCGCGCTATTAACACTTAGCCGCAAGCTAAGTGTGAATTGCACAGCAGCTAAGGTAATGTTGTGCTATATTCTGTTTGTTTGTATTCTAATGTCTTTCGTGTGCTTGGAATGTACTGTGCTGTCCGAATTTCAGAGCCGAGTAGCTGAGGGATTTCGAGGTGGTTGGTGGGAGGCGAATTCAAGGTGGATGGTGGGAGGCGAATTCAATTCCAGCCTGTGAATTCGATTTCGAAGTCACCAGGCTGGAAGGCGGTGCATGCCTAGCAAGCCCAGTGGGAACCAGCTAGCACCTTGGAGCCCTCGCGAGCAGCTCGGCTGACTCGCTTGGTGCACAGGAGCTTGCTTGTGGAGGAAGCAACCTAGGCAGGAGGCGAGAGTAGATGTAGGCAGGAGTAGCACTCGGACTCCTTGCTTTTTGCTTGTTTGTTTCTCATAATACTGCAATTCGTTTCCCAACCAAGGAAGCAAGCAGCTAGGAGAAGCTAACAGCAAACTGACGGAGCCCTCGCGAGGGAGGATTTAGACTTGTTGCATCAGGGAACCGGGCAGCAGGGAACTACGGAGGCAGGGAACAGGAAGCACGAAACTGAGGAGTGAAAGGAGAGCGGAAGGTGTTACAAGGCAAGGATTAAGTCCAGCGGGGAAGTAATTCACGACACATTTCGCTTTCTCCTGGGTTTGCGGTAAGGTTGAGAGGGGAGGGAGGGGATGGACAAGCGGACAACTGGCGATAATAAGAGAAGAGAATAGATGCGGAGTGCCACAATCGCATGCACCCTGCCTCGCCATGTGGCACAGTGACAGTGGCACTCACCCCGCTGAGCTGGAAGATGGCGATAGGCAGGAGGAAGAATACAGAGGACACTGCCGTGACGGCATGCAACCGCTTCTTTTGCTGCGACTGGTGGATGGGAGAGGGAGAGAAAGAGACACGGGTATGGGAAAGGGGGTAAGCAGGCAGGGAGAGCAGGAGGGCATGGTGGGTTAGTGAAAAAAGAACCACTCACCCCCGTGCTCCCACTCACCCCCGTGCTCCAATGCAATGCAACACGATGAAATGCATCAGCAACAAAGACACGCGATGTGGCATTGGTTGGTGCTCCGTCTGTACCTTTCCCAGCCGGGCAAGCAGTCGTCTCAGTGCAAAGAGCACTCCCGCAGCCACAGGCAGCAGCATAGCCGTCAACGGATTCCCCCCACCTGCTTCCACCATCCCACTCCCTGACATCCGCGCAACCTGCCACGCCAACAACCCCGCACCTCCCTCCCCTCCTGCCGCCCCAACCCCCACTGCCCCTGCTGCGCCTCCCTTGCTGCTGCTGCCTGTGCTGCTGCCAGTGCTGTCGGCGGCTGTGCTGGCGGCAGTGGCGGCGGCGGTGCTGTCTAGGCCCAAGGGAACGGGGTTGGCAGGAGGTGGGAAGTCCGGCGGAAGAGTGGGACCCAGCGGGATTCCCGAGGCGAGGAGGTAGAAGGCAGCCAGCATGGCAATGGCGCCGTACAGCTGCAGAGGGGAAGGGGGAGGCGAGGGAGAAGGGAAGGAGGGGTTGACAGCAGGAAGCAGAATACAGTGGTTGGAACAAAAGTAAAAGCTTTTAATCACCTAAAAATCACCCATGCACAGAGCAGTGGCGAATGTAACAGCTGCCCCTCAGCATTGTCAATGACTGGCTTTAGCACGGAGTGGGTGGGCTCACCTTGAGCACGCGGTGGCCCCTCCGCCCGAATATCATCGTGGATATGGTGGCAACCACCGCTGGTAGTCACTTAACCACATTGTGTGCCTAGGTATGTCTGGGTACCTCCCTTTGTCATGCAACCCACCGCACTCACCTTGAGTACGCGGTGACCTCGCCGGCCGAATATCATGGTGGATATGGTGGCAACCACCGCTCCTGAGTACTCCGCCATTACAGACCTGATGGGTGGGGAATCAGCAACCGTTCAAGGAGAGGGACGGAGGCCGTGAGGAGGAGGAGCGGGCATGTTACTAGGGAAGGAGTGCAGGTACCAGTTTCACAAACATTTAAGGGAGAGTGCACTCACCTTAGAGGGCCGCACTGCTTCAGACCATACGCCCATGTGACAACAGCGAGCGCCAGCACGCCTCCATTCATCACTGAGATGCCCCACTGGTCATGTGATACAATCGGGGGAGTAGACGGAGGGGAAACAGGAGCAGGAGGCGGGAGAGAGGGAGGGGAGGGAGTGGGTAAAGGGAAGAAAAGGAAATGACGAGGAAAATGACAAAGAAAGGAGAAGGAAGAGTGGCAGGAGCAGGATCAAACCAGAAAGGGTGTGAGCAGGTGGAAGCGCAGTGCACGCCCGCTTTTTGCGTCGACCCAGAAAGAGAAGCACACTACAGGGAAGATTCAAGCACAGAACGCAGACAGCCCGTGCAGACGCGCTGCCCAGCCGAGTTGCCAGAGTATTGGTGGGCGAATCACCTGGCAGGGATGCGGCGTTGCCTTAGCATCCGCAGAGCGTCACCTGGGTGTCAGGAAGGCAGAACCCGTGATCACCCGAGTGTGAACGCGTCGCTACCTGGGTGTTGGTGAGGCGTTTTCCTTTCCAGGGCCGTTGGAGGAGGAAGAAGAGGATGGCGGAGCCGAGAAGCGAGAAGATTGGCGCCGCATAAAGCATCACCTGAGCGTCGGCAAGGCTTACCTGGGTGTTGGTGAGGCGTTTTCCTTTCCAGGGCCGTTGGAGGAGGAAGACGAGGATGGCGGAGCCGAGAAGCGAGAAGATTGGCGCCGCATAAAGCATCACCTGAGCGTCGGCAAGGCTTACCTGGGTGTTGGTGAGGCGTTTGCCCTTCCAGGGCCGTTGGAGGAGGAAGAAGAGGACAGCGGCGCCGAGGAGCGAGAAGAAGGCGAAGAGCAGCACCGACACGTCCGACTCCACCAGGAAGCGGTACGCCGCGAACACCGACAGCACGCGCAGCGACCGCCCCACCACGTAGAAGGCGTGCAGCGGCGCGTGCGACTGCTGCTGTACCCTGTGCAGGAGATTTGCGGGAAAAAAGATTGAGCGAGAAGGGAAATTGAGGCGCGAATGCGAGGTAGGCTGAATATGGCCTAACGGAGCAGGTTTGCTAAGTTGCAGAAACGGAAAACCGGGTTTCTAGTGAAACAGGTGATAGGTGTCGTGTGACTGTAACGAGCGGCCGCACCTTGATGTGCCGGGACCCAGGTGCCATCGATTCAGCCGTGCGACGCCTTCGCCGATGGAACTTTCGTCGGACAGCATCGCACATGCGACGGTGGCGCGATCAGTCACAGCGAACAAAGCAACGTGGCGAGCAGAAACACCGCAGGACCAACAGAAACCTTCTTTTCCTCTATCTTTTGTAAGGAGCGGGATCTGTAAAACACTAAGGCGATGCTGCAGTCAAGGCACCTCCTTGACTTCAGACGTCTCCTGGACTCGTGATCACGAAGTCATACAATGGCTCCTCACAGCAGACAACTTTTGAGACGTCTCAAAAGACTTAAGTTGGCTCTAGATTACGAATCACGGAATTCAACAGCTCCTCGCAGGATACGACTTCTCAAAAGGTTAAGACGGTTCCTGGACTCGTGATCACGGAATCCGATGACTCCTCACTGCAGCCGCTTCCATTGACCATGTATTTCTTATCGTATCTTCGATAAACGGATTTTCGACCTCGATGCGTCTCGCAGTTAACCGTAAGAAGTGCAACGTTGCAGATTTTCAGTGCAACGCTAGGCCGGCACTTGAAAACGCCAGTGATAACTCATGCGATTGCTAATGCGCAGAATGGCCGGCCCCGAGAGCAGTCAGAACAAAGACGCGCGCTGCTGCGTGAGCCTGCCAGTGCTATCGCGGATTCGAGGATCAACTATAGACTTGAGCGTAAGACTTGAGCGTACGAGGTCCTGGTGGTCCGGGATCGTCGATGTTGGTCTGACAGATCTCCCTCCCGCTGCTGGCAATTCTAAAGGGAGGCAAGATCGAGGCAAAAAGGAAGTGGGAGAACTGTTTGTAACGAATCTACAAAACACCATTTTGTAAAAAGGGCTACTCGTTCGGGAAATGTTTTTTTTCTGCAAACTGGTTCCACTGCAGACATCGAGTTCCTAAACGCGGAAAGCCTTAACCTCGTCTTCCCAACTACCTTGGGATCGTCGCCATTTCACCTGATCATTCACAGCCTTTCCTTACGACCTGTTGCCCAGCATTCAGGACTTGAAGCACAGCACAATGCGAGTAATCTTCTGGACCATTTAGAATTGAGAGAGAAAAAAAAGGGGGTATTTCTGGACCACACTGCGTTGAGCGTGAACGAAATGTACGTTTGTGTCTGGCACAGCGTCGCTAATCAAGGCGCTCAGCACAGACGGCTGCATTGTACGTCGCACTGCAAAGAGAACTGGATGTTGTCGTAGGAAGCGAAACGCGCGCGTGAAGTAATGGCGACTGGCCCCGAGGAGATTCCTGTTTCTGGCGGTGTCGATAGCACTGCTGAAGCCGGTAATGCCGGAAACTTTGGTACAGCAAGCGCACCTTCTGCTGCTGCTAATTCTGGTACTGCAAGTGCTGACGCTGCTTCAGCGGAGGAGCTTTCAATCGCAGAAGCGAGCGGAGCAGCAGAGTCAAACTCCGAGTCTGCTCGACAGGATGCTGGGAGAGCAGAATCGACTCCTGAGTCAACTCAGGAGTCCGGTGAAAACCCACCAGGCGTGGACAAAGGCCGAGGGGAGCAAGCGGGGGAAGGACCAGCAGCGCCTGAAGTATCTCGTCCAGAGCCTAAAGTAGGAGAGCCGGTAATGCTGGAATCTGGAAGCACACTATTGGCTGAGAGCTCAAGACCGGCCGGTTCACCTTTGGAGAACGATAACTCCGCGACTGTGGATGACGGAAACAGCAGGCTAGAAGCAGCGCTACCTTGTGAATTTGACACGTCTGCTGATGCTGGTTCCTCTGGTGCTCCAATCCGCACTGACGCGACGACAGCTACTGCAGTAATGGCGACGTCAACAAGCGGACTGCCGACTTCGACAGCAGCAGCAGGAGGTGCTGCAGCTGTTGCTCCTGAAAAGGCAGCAGTAGCTGCATCAGCAGCAGCAGCAGACTCATTGGCAGCCCCATCAACAGCCATCTCAACAGCTGCAGCAGTGCCACCAGCAGCAGCAGTGCCACCAGCAGTAGCAGTGCCACCAGCAGCAGCAGTGCCACCAGCAGTAGCAGTGCCAGCAGCAGCAGTGCCAGCAGCAGTAGCAGTGCCAGGAGTAGCAGCAGTGCCACCAGCAGCAGTATTGCCAGCAGTAGCAGCAGTGCAAGCAGCAGCAGCAGTGCCACCAGCAGCAGCATTGCCAGCAGTAGCAGCAGTGCCAGCAGCAGCAGCAGCAGTGCCACCAGCAGCAGCAGTACCCACCACAGCAACAGTTCCCGCCACAGCAGCAGTCCCATGTGCGGACACAGGGGGCGCAACACAGATGCGACGACGAGCCATCCCTCCTTTGACCCTTGACTTGGACAGCAGCGACGCCACCAGCAGCCAGCAGCAGGGCAAGCGTGGAGGAGGAGGGGATCAAGACACTCCCGATGACTCCTCTAGGGCGCGTTCCTCTGCTCTTCCGTTCCGTTTCAGCATAGGGCTGCCTTTTGGTGGGTTGTGGGAGAGCAGAGTGGTTAAAGCTGTGGCGCCTGTCGCGGAGGGAGTGTGGGAGTGGATGGGGGGGAGCATGACCCCTGTGGGAGTGGATGAGGCGGAAGGGGAGGGAGTGCGGTATGAGGTGGTGGGCGGTGGGTTTTACGGGGTGGATGGGGATGAGACAGGGAGTGAGAGCGATAGGGACACGCCTGGGTCCGCTCGTGCTGGTCTAGACGGCCTTGGCTGTGCGCCTATGCGTGATTCAGCCAAGCTTATGTCTGAAACAGGGCCAGCAGCAGCAACAGTAGCAGCAGGAATGGGGAGAGATGGAGGAAAAGAGACAGGAAGCAGACGAAAGGGATGCTTACAATGGTTCTTTCCCAGGGGCCGCCGCAGCAGCCTGACCTCGTTCCTCACAGGCCACCACGAGTCTCCTCCCACCTCCCCATCCTCCTCCCCCAGCCGCAAGCGCCGCCGCTCCCGCCACTGCTGCCGTATCCACCCGCTGCTGCTCGTCCCGCTGCTGCTGCTGCTCCTCGCCTCCGCGCTGCTGGGTCTCCATGTGCTGTCCGCGAGGGAGGGCGCGCTGGTGGAGGGGATAAGGAGCGCTGGGGCGAAGGTGCGGAGGGAGAGCCAGCAGGCAGTGCCAGTGGTGGGTTGGGAGAGGAGCGCTGGAGGGTTGGGGTCTGGACAGGGCGGATGGGAGAAGGTGGGAGGGATGGAAGGGACGGGCTGGATGGGAGGGGAAAGAAGAGAGGGGGGTACTGTAGAAATGGTGACTGGAGGGGCTGGTGGTGGTGGTGGTGGTGGTGGTGGTGGTGGTGGTGGTGGTGGTGGTGGTGGTGGTGGTGGTGGTGGTGGTGGTGGTGGTGGTGGTGGTGGTGGTGGTGGTGGTGGTGGTGGTGGTGGTGGTGGTGGTGGTGGTGGTGGTGGTGGTGGTGGTGGTGGTGGTGGTGGTGGTGGTGGCGGTGGTGGTGGTGGTGGTGGCGGGGGTGGTGGTGGTGGTGGTGGTGGTGGTGGTGGTGGTGGTGGTGGTGGTGGTGGTGGTGGTGGTGGTGGTGGTGGTGGTGGTGGTGGTGGTGGTGGTGGTGGTGGTGGTGGTGGTGGTGGTGGTGGTGGTGGTGCAGGTGGTGGTGAGTTGGGGGTTGAAGTAAGGAACCAGGAACGGGAGCAGGCATTGCAGGAGCAGGTTATTCAGGAGCAGAGATCGCAGGAAGAGGGGTTGCAGGAGCAGGGGTTGAGAGAAGGCGAAGCGGAAGGGCAGGCAGGAGATGGCGGGGAGAAGGGAGATGCGAACGGAGGGGCGAGCGGGGGCATGGCAGCAGACAGCACACAGCAGGGAGGAGAAGGTGGGGTAGTGGTAGCAGAGCAGGAGCATGGAGTAGGAGGAGAGAATGGGGAAGGGGAACAAGGTGGGCCAGGGGGAGGAGGTGGGTCAGAGCCCTCAGGTACTGCCACGCAGGAGGGCTCGGATTCAAACGAAGCACGCCAGGAAACGCCAGAGCAGCAGGCCAAAATAGAGCAAAACCAAGAACAGCCGGCAGACACGAGCAGCACTAGCAGCAGCAGCAGCAGCGGCGGCAGCAGCGGCGGCGGCAGCAGCGGCGGCGGCGGCGACGACGACGGCGGCAGCAGCGCCACCAGCACGAGCGAGCTATGGCGCAGACCCGCCTCTCTGATGTTCCACACGCGCACATCGCGCCGGTGCAGGGAGCAGCGCACTATGGCAGCATGCGGGCCCCGGCAGGGCGTGGTGATCGCACGGGGCAGCCTGGAGCAGCGAATGGAGGCTGTCTGCGCCGCTGAGGCCCTCACTGTGCTCGCCAACACCCGCTTCCGCGCCCTCTGGACCCTCCGCCCCCGCCCCCACTTCTTCCCCAAACGCTCCCACAGCCTCCCCCAAAGCCGGAACGCCGGGGGGATGCTTGGGGTAGGGCGGCAGCAGCGGCGGAGGCTCTTAGGGGAGATTACAGGAGAAGAGGAGCTTAGGAGGTTGAGAGAGACCAGGCGGAGGAGAATGAGGAGGAGGAGGAGAGGGGAGGGAGTGGGGGCAGCGGAGGGGGAGAGACAGGGGGGAGAGGCCGGCAGTGGGGGTGCGGAGGGGAGCATGGCGGGGGAGGTGGGGATGGTGCGGTTTGGCGATCTGTTTGATGCGCGCATGCCTGTGGACGTGCAGGAGAATGCCACTGAGTTCCTGCTGCGCCATGTGGTGGCTGGGGAGAAGCTCATGCGTAGAGAGGTGAGTCAGCGTTTGTGCTCTCACTGCCTGCACCTCGCTGCCTGTGCCTGGAGCCTCATTGAGGCAGCTTTTGTAGCCGCCCGTGGTAACACTCTCCTGCCCAGATTCCCTTCATGCGCTGCCCTGAACTGTCAGCAATACGGCTTCTGAGGTTCCACCATGCGATCCTCACATGCGTCCCCTTCTGCTTCTCCCTATCCCCTCCCTCCCTCAGATTTCGTTCATCCGCTGCCCTGAGCCGTCAGCCGGCAGGGTGGCATCAGGAGCAGAGCTGCTGAGGGTGGCACCAGACGTGCGCCGATACGCCCAGGAGGTCTCCCGCATGCGCCAAGCCACTGGCTGGACTCCCCAACAGGACGGGATTTCCCAGGAAATGAATTCCCAAGGGTGGAATTCCCAGGGTTCCGCCAGCAGCAACAGCACTAGGGTGGAGAGCGGTGCAGACCGGTACGGGCACTGGACGGCGCGGCTGCAGCTGTACACTGTGCGGGGGCTAGTGCTGCCGGACTTTGCCGACCGGCGCGTGGCGTGCCGGTACGAGGAGGAGGTGCGGGTGTGCCTGGGGAAGCTACAGCCGTCCGATGCCGTCCTCTCTCTGATTCGCCAGGAGGAGGAGCAGGAAGGTGGAGAGGGGGAGGAGGAGAGGGAGAAGAGGGAAGGGGCGGGTGATGGGGAGAATGGAAGTGAGGGGAGGGAGGACGAGGAGGGTTCACGAGGGCGAGGAGTGGGGGAGAGGCGGGATGGCAGCAGCATTGGAGAGATTGTTGCTCGGAGCACAGCAGTGTATCTGGAGGTGAGTGTGATCCACGTGACCACGTCCAACCAGCAGCCAGCTTGCATGGTCACTTTCTACTCCCTCCGGTTTCTCTGCACACCCTACACTGCACCTTCTCTTGCAGTCCAACCTTTGAGACGTCTTAAAAGTCATAGATGGTTGTCCAGGCAGCTCGTGCCCTCTCCCCTGCTGGCTGCCTTCCTCCTGACATCTTAACACCAGCTTCTCCAGATGGTAGGGAATAGAGAGTGACAGCCTCTCCTGACATCCTGGCAATGCAATCTGGCAGCCTCTCCTTGACGTTTGGCATGTTTCCTCCTCCCTCCCTCCCTCTTCCAACCCTCCTCTCCCCACTCCAGCCCACTCCCCCCTGGACGCTTCCCCAGGCCCGTGCGTTGCCCTGTGCTGGCTGTCCGCCTGCTGACCTCCTCAACTGCACCATCCGCCGCATCGCATACCATTACATGCGCACGCACGCCCCTTCTCCTTCCTCTGACTCCTCCTCCTCCACCTCCTCCCGTGCCCTGCCTGACTTCCTGATCGGCGCGTACTGGCCGTCGGATGCTGAGACGCTCATCTCAGCCTTCCATCCGCTTCGTCGGCCGTACCTCCTCAGGCTGACACGTCGGCGCCAGGTGGCATGCCCGTCACCACCCCCTCTCGCCCTGCGGCCCGAGCGGGGATCGTTAAGGTCTGAGGAGCAGATGGGGATGAGAGGAATCAAGTACAGGCGGGTGGGATGGCGAACGCAGGGAGCAGCAAGAGGAGAAACGCAAGGAGGAGACAGGGAGGGAACACAGGGCGCCCAGGGAGGACAGGGCGCCCAGGGAGGACAACAGCAAGACTCGCTACCACAGCCGCGCCAGCAGCAGCAGGTGCGGTTTGTTGACCCACCAAGAGCAGCAGGACAGGGCGTGGCTCTAGACCTCAGGGTGGTCAGTGCAGTGGGCACGGGTGCACAGGGCACCGGCGGAGGCTGGCAGGGAGCGGGCGGGCAGGGGGCGGGTGCACAGGGAGGGGACGGGCAGGGAGGGGGCGGGCAGGGAGGGGACGGGCAGGGAAGGGACGGGCAAGGCGGGGGCGGGCAGAAGGGCCAGTACTGGGCGATGAAGCAGCGGCTGAAGCAGCTGGCGCAGGAGAGGCAGAAAGCCCTTGAGGGGGAAAGATCAGGGGGCGCTCTTGGGGGCTCTGGCAGTGCCGTGCAGGGAGGTTTTGCGCAGGGTGGGGGAGGGGAGGGAGGGGGCGGGGAGGGAGGAAACGGGCAGAAGGGGCAGTACTGGGCGATGAAGCAGTGGCTGAAGCAGCTGGCGCGGGAGCGGCAGCGGAGGAGAGACGTCCGTGGGGGGAACGGGTCAGGGGCCGCTCTTGGTGGCTCTGGCAGTGGGGCGTTGAACAGGCGAAGGCTTTTGGCTGCTGAGTCGGCGACTTTTGAGACGTCTCAAGAGTCAGGGGGCGGTATTGGTGGCTCTGGCAGTGGGGTGTTGAACAGGAGACGGCTTTTGGGTGCTGACTTGGCGCTGACGTGGCAACAGCTGGCGGAGTTGCAGGAGGAAGAGGCGGCTCGGAAGGCCGGGGCGTCGAAGCGGAGAGATGACCGGCTGTGTGCTCGATTGAGGGTAGGCATGGGGGCATGGGGCATGGGGTGGGTGGGTGGGATCTTTGTGTGATTGAAGGTTGGGCATTAGGGAGGGGCTGTGTGCATGCGGCTCGGAAGGCAGGCGTGTCCAAGTGGAGAGATGACTGGCTGTGTGCGTGTCTCAGGGTAGGCATGCAGAGCATGGGGGCATAAGGCATGTGGGGCTGCGCATGCTTTGATTTGGCATGTGGGGCTGCTCATGCTTTGATTTGGCATGTGACATGTGACATGTGACGAGTTCAGATCTGACCAAGTATAGGAATGAGCAACCACCATTCCTCATCCGTCCCTCCCCGCCTCCCCTCTTCTCCGTCTCTCCCCATACCTCCAGCTAGCGGAGCTATACTGGCTGTCACGGGCGCAGGCCGTGTTCAGTCTGTACCGCAGCACAGCAGCCGACTTCATCCGCGCCCAGATGGCCTTCCGCCTGCACCACGCTTCCACCTCCTCCTCCACCACCTCCACCACCACCACAAATGGGGAGGGCGGGAGCGTGGATGATACAAGTGCCACCAGCGCTGCTGCTGACGCTAGTGCTGCTGCTGGTGGAGGGACGGGTGATGAGCTGAGTGTGTGTCAAGCGCCCCCTGTGCCGCCTGTCATCAAGAGCCGTGCAGCTCGCCACATGATCGTGGATGGTGAGACCCTCTGCCCTTCGGCTGCTCCTCTGCTGCTCCCATGCTTCTGGTTTGCCTCGCTACCAGACATGCCTCAGTAATCCTGGAATAACAAGTGCCTACCTTCTCTTCTGCCACACCCTCCAGGTGCCCTGTTGCTCCCTTGTTATCTCCCCCATACCCCCTTTCCCTCTGTGACCCCTTTCCTCTCTTTCCTCTCTCCCTCTGCGTTTCCTCAGAGCGTCTCAAGGCCATGTACTGCTACATCCCCAAGGTGGCGTCCAAAGCTTCTTGCCCATTCCCCTGCCTCTCCTTTTCCACCTTCCCTCCCTTCCCTCCCTCCCTCCCGTCACCCCTGCTTCCCCCTCAGAGCGTCTCAAGGCCATGTACTGCTACATCCCCAAGGCGGCGTGTACGAGCTGGAAGCTGTGGTTCCAGCAGCAGCGCGGCCGCACCACCCCTGATGACGTGGAGCATGTGCACGATGCTGACACCAGTGGGCTGGACCAGCTGTGGTGAGTTGAGACCAGCTATGGTGCGTTACGATCTGATGCGCTGTGGAAGATCATAAAACGTGATGGTGAGTTTCGAGGCGCCTCAAAAAGTCGCAGCACCCCTGATGATGTGTGTGTGGCATGTGCATGCTGCTGACACCAGTGGCCTGGAACAGCTATAGTGAGTCGTCACCAGTTTCAGGTCATTTTTATCAGTGGTGCATGATGCTGACGCCAGTGGCTTCTGTTCCCCTTTCCTCTACCCTTCCATACACCCTCCCCACTCCCCCCCACTCTTGCAGGCACGCATTCACAGAGGGTGAGGCTATCCGGGTGCTCACTCGCCCAGGCCTCTTCCACTGCACCTTCGTGCTTCGTTTGACTTGGGTTCTTGGTCCCCCTCGCCTTCCCCATCCCCTCCTTGCTCTGTGTTGTGCAGGCACGCATTCACAGAGAGCGAGGCCATCCGTGTGCTGACCCGCCCAGACATGTTCCGCTTCACATTCGTGCGCAACCCCTTCTCCCGTGTCGCCTCTGCTTACCTCAACAAGCACGTCGCCTGGGCCGACCCCAAGGATCGCCTGGAGTGGAACAAGGTGTACACCGCACCGCACAAACGCACCTGCACTCACACGCACTCCCTCGCAAGCACGTTGAGTGTAGAGATTATCTGCATGGAAAGGGGCCAGGCTGCAGCAGAGAGCGCGTGCGGGCACAGAGAGTACAACATGACCTCCTTCCCTCCTGTCGCCCCCCTTCCCCCCACCTGATTACCTGAGAGCAGAGATTCTTCGCATGGAAGGGCGCGAGGCTGCTGCAGATAGCGCCAGAGGGTGCGGACTACAACATGACCTTCGCCACCTTCATCACACTCGCCCTCGCCACTGTCAGCAAGCACCGTGCCGACATGGAGCCGCACATTGCACCCCAGGTCGGTGCTTTCTTGTACACTTTTGAAATGGCTTTTGAGACGTCTTAAAAGCTGCCCTTGCCACTGTCAGAGAGCAAGCACCAATTTGGCATGGAACCCCGCTTTGCACTCCAGGTCGGTGTTCTTGGAGACTCTTGGAATCACCGTTTCTTGTTTTTTATCTCCTCACAGCTCCACAAGTGGGTGCACAATCCAACCAACTCCATCCCCTTGCTTCTACCAGGCGGACGTGTGTGACCTCGAGAGCATCAAGTACGACTATGTGGGGAGATTCGAGCAGCTGCAGGAGGGCGTGGAGTATGTGATGAACCACCTTGGCACTTCGCCCTTGCAAGCCTTTGGGGTGGGCAAGGAGGCTCATCGAACCGATGCTGATACGCGCCAGCGGGAAATGTACACCAAGGTAATGTGATTGATACTGTAGTCTGAAGTGCTGGGACTTGTTGATGACCTGTTGATATGCACCACTACATGGCATGTGAACTTCTCGAATGTTGCACATTTGCTCTCCATGTTTTCCTTGGTTGCTCTTGTGCTCAGGAAATATACGAGATGGTGAAGGGGCTGTATGCGTCAGACTTCAGCATCCCTCTTAATGGTATACATTACGAGCCTCCAGCCGCTTTGAAAGATGTTTTTGCGCAAACTTCTTACTGAAATACAATCAACAGTTCCTTATAATAAACAGTACTAACCAATCACGTCTTTATTGTTAGTGAATTCTTTGCACATTATATCATCAGGACACTTCATACGGCGTAATTCCGCTTTTAGCCGTTGCCAGGTGACTGCTCCCAACAGAAAAACTGCCGTTGCGAGGAGGAACAATCGTGGTTACCCAAAACAACGATATCTCGCTCGATGGTTTTCGTGCGTGCCAGTGCAATTCCCTAAAAAAGTTGTTCTGCTAACGATGTGCAAGCTTTTCTGTGAAACCAAGTTCATAATTGAGTGCCAGATCCTGCTGTGACACCGAACTCACCCATTCATGGTGATTTGGATCCCTACGCCCTTCATTCTCCTCCTGGCCTTGTAAATCGGCTGTCGATCGTAGCTTTTGTTGCCGGATTATTGTTATATTTTGTACAGTCCTGCCGAAGTTACGACATGGAGGGGTTCGACTATGAGGGCGATGCTGGAGTCGAGCAGCAGAATGCACCTGCCTCTGATTTCCAGTCTTACAATGGTGTAGGAGAAGAGCAAGAAGCAGCTGCTGGCGAATATGCTCCCCCTGCGGAGGAAAACGGCACCTTTGATGGCGGAGCGAAGCTTCCTCCTCCCTCACAGATGGGGTCCGAGGAGTCGATTTTGCTAAGGTGACGATTAGATCAGATAGACGAAGATGGTATAGCCTATTGTTCATCGTCGAGCAGCAAGACATTTGTGGTCTCATTTTTGCCCTCTATTTTCGCCATCAGGGAATGGAGGAGGAAGAAGGCCATCGAGCTTGAGGAGAAGGCTCGTATTTCAAGAGAGAAGCATCAACAGGTGAGCTATTTGTGGTAACGAATCAACTTGGTTATTTCGAAAAGACTACGATTATTCATGTTGATTTAAATTCATCTGATGGGGTCCGGGAATGAACATGTCACGAATATTATCAAGTATGGGTGTCGATTTCATAGTCTTGGACCTTACCCTGACTGTTCAGGTGCTGGAGGACTCGAAAGCCGAGCTTGAAGCATTTTACAAGAAGCGTGAGATGCAAGTCACACAGGCCAAGACGAACAACAGGTTCGTGGGTGTTGTTGTTCTGGTCAGGTACAGAATGAGCTGTTTCAGTTCTGATAAGATTTATCATTTCCCGTTCTCAGGGAGAAGGAGAAGGCATACGTGGACAACCTCTTGAGCCTCAACTCTAAGCAGGGTGGGAACTACTGGGAGAGTGTGTGTGCGTTCACAAACTTTGACGTATCCATTAAGAAGGAGAAGGCGAAGAAGAAGGATGAGCCGACTCGCATGTCAACTCAGCTTAACGATGCTAAACCGGGCAAGCATACCGATCTAGCCCGCATGCGCCAGGTAAGCCAAACTGTAGCATCTTCCTGTGTGTCTGACATGTTTTCAGCACAATTCCATGCATAAATTTGTCAAATCTGGTTTATTTCAGGTATTGCTGAAGCTGAAGCACAATCCTCCTCCATCCTTTGCGGCCGCTGCCACTACCGCTGATGCTCCCGCTGCTGCTACAACCACATCTTCCAAGTTATCAAAGTCCAAGGCAGCTGCAAAGTAGTTTTTTCAGCAGTCATTGTTCCAACAGTTTCACTGTGACATACTATTTTTTAGTCATCTTCGTTCTTATTCAGGTTGCCTTCGTAATTCTGAAAGGCTTGGTGCTACCATGACTCTCACTACAAAACAGTAGTTCTGAATACATGAACAGTGTAGTCATTCCAGCATCAGCATGACACCTGCCTTGACATTCACAGCTAAGTTACATGGAGAGACACTACCAGCAGCTTCACTGCTGCTACCTTGTAACCTTGTAGCTCTGCATAACAAAAAGGCATCGAGGAAAGGAATCAGCGAGTTTATGTACAGCAGAACTCCTGATAGCCATGAAAACTCGTCACTTACCTTCACTTGTGCCAGCAGTTTCTTTGCGTCAGGGTTTGTCTTGAAGTGGTCTCGTACAGGCTGCACGGCAATGCTCGAGGTCAGTAAAAAGAGCATCATAGTACAAGTGTAATGACAGGGAAGCACTAAGTGGTCCATGGACTCACCTGGAGAATCTTGTTGATTGCTTTGGAAAGCGCCAGCTTGAGGTCACCTGGATGGAGTTTACCATCCTTGTAGTCTGCACACAGCTGATCAGCATCGGTGTAAATCCTGAACAGGGAAAATGGGAAGGGAACAAGGAAGGAGAAGCAGTATGGGGAGATTATGACAAGGGAGTCCCAGAACCATTGGGTGACACGATGAAATTTTCCAAGGAGTGCAAGGACCAGCCATCAGCATGCACAACGGTGAGCGATAGCTTGAGAGAAAAAAATCACTATCAACTCACACGTTGCCTCCGTGCTCCTCCTTGCGCTCCACCTCAAACTGCTTGAACCATGGCAGCACAATGTACTGCACGTAGGCAATGCACGGGTTGCCCTCCACCTCCCCTGGCGGGCAGAACGCCTTCTTGATCTTCACATTCACTTCCGCCTGCCAGAAACAGTGCATGGTGGAAAGTGGAGTGAATTACCAGATATACCAGCAACTAGATACATCAACAACCAAGTGCTCAAGCTTCGAAAGGCACTTTTGGGGTGGTGGCGCCGTGCCTAGGGTGACACTTTCCCCCTGACCAAGATTTCAGCTTAGTTCCCCCACCCGCTGCATCCAAAACGTCTTACCTCCTCGTCCTCCATAAAGATTGCAGAGTTGGGGTCACTCTTTGACATCTTCTCCTGCCCTTGCAACAACCCCGGCAGCATGTCTGCATGCACACCGAACCGCAGACATTGAATGCGCAAAGGAGCCACAGGGGCAAAGCATCAGCAAACGAATAAGCAAAACGAACTGAGAGTGTATCATGACGAGATATAAAGAGCACAATGCCTCTACAGCCAGCGGTGCAGCGCTACTGAACAAAAAGAACAAAGCGCTTACGGTGGGAGAGGATGATGGGCTTCATCTTCCTCTTGATGTCGTCGCAATACTCCCTCGCCAGCACATTCACCTTGCGCTGATCCATGCCCAGCTGACAGATGTCCGCCTGCGATTCGGACATGTGACAGATACAACAATGGATGGAGTTCATATGTGTCACGGCAATAGCAACACAACAGAGACTTTGCAGGCACACGGTCTGACTCTGGAAACGGAACAGGACTTCATTCATGTGAGGCGAACTCGACGGTAAAGATGTTGACACACTGCATGCACAGCATTCACAATCCGAGGCTCTGTTCTGAGAACTGGACAGGAGGTGAGTTGCGACAAGAGGCATGCTGACCTTGAGGAAGAAAATGTCGGCACACTGCATGCAGGGGTAGAAGATCTGCGCTGCAGATAGCTCGTCCGTCTCACTGCGCCCCATGATCTGTGAACACCTGAGGGGCTCCAGGGAGAGGGTGGATGGCAGGGAACAAGAGGAACAAGGGGAAAGAAAAGAGAGAGCGACTTTCCTGCTGAGGAAGAGCAAGGCCCATGCGACCCATACCCAAACTAAACAAGGCATCTCCCCTTGCTTCATCTCTGCACAACCCCGTTTCCTGTGCTACCCCACCCACCTGAGAATCCTTGGCAGCTTGTTCTTCCTGGCAATATCCATGACCAGAGGCCAGTACTCGCCCGCACGCCCGTTGATCTCCTCAGACGACCAGAGGAACTCCACGCGTGTGAGATCCATGCCCACTGCGCGCCACACCTCCATCATGTAGCGACCGACGGTCTGGATCTTCTTGAGATCGCCGCCCATCTTGTTGTTGAGCTGCGCGAACCAGTCCGCCACCCAGAACTTGAAGATGCATCCTGATTGGGTCAGCTTGTTCACGTTCAGTGCTTTCATCACTCCCTGAAAGACGGAGGATGGGAGGGAGGGGTTGGGTGTGATGGAGTGGGTTGAGGGACGGTGATGTGGTGGGCAACCAGTCCGCCACCCGGAACTTGAAAGTGCATCCTGATTGGGTCAGCTTGTTCACGCTCGGCGCTTGTTCATCACTCCCTGGGGAAGGTGAGGGAGGAGGAGGGGAGGGAGTGGGGTGATGGGGGGGTTGTAGTGGGGGGGAAGTGAGGAGAGGTTGAGAGAAAGTGGAGTGGGTACAACCAATCCGCCACCCAGAGCTTGAAGATGCATCCTGATAGGTTCAGCTTGTTCACGTTCAGCGCTTCCATCATTCCCTGAGGGGGGTGTGGGGGGGGATGAGGGAGGGGGAGGGGAGGGGGAAGGGGGGGGAAAGGGGGGGGGGGGGGGGGGTGAAAAGGAGGGGAAAGGAGGAAGGGGGACGGTGGAGTTGGGGGAAGCGGTGGAGAGACGTGCGACTTACTTGAACGTTGTGCGACTCGCATGAGCGACGTGCGACTTACTTGTGCGAACCACTTGAACGCCGTGCGACGTACCTGTGCGATGTGCATGCGACCAGACGGTTCAAAGCCGTCGTAGGCGACGGGGTCTTTCTTCTTGAGCAGCAGGTTGCGCAGCTCGTCCTCCTGAATGCACTCCTCCCCCACGCCTGTGCGACGTGCGACTCACTTGTGCGACGTGTGCGACCTACCTGTGCGATGTGCATGCGACCGGAAGGCTCGAATCCATCGTAGGCGACGGGGTCTTTCTTCTTGAGCAGCAGGTTGCGCAGCTCGTCCTCCTGAATGCACTCCTCCCCCACGCTCCGCACCAGTGCGTACCGCTCGTCCAATGTCATCCTGCCACGTGGACGGCGAAAGGCGGGAATCGAGCTCGCTCAGTGGAAGTAATCACAAAGAGAAGCTGACTGAGAGAGAGTGAGAGCGAGGGGGAGAGCGGGGGGTTGAGGGGGGGAGCGACGCGGAGAGCTAGAGGGAGAGCGAGACTGCGCAACCCTGAACCCCTGCTACGCCGTCCGTCCTGCATCGCAACAACTGAACGAAACTCTTTCTTAGTCGGAGCGACGACATGAAGGCGATGGCTCTGCGGGCCAGACGCATAGCACTGGCCGAAAGCGAGTGGCCTCGGGAATGGACCAGCAGGGAAAGGGTGAGCAGGGTGAAGGAATAAGGGAATATAATCGCACCCATTGAACGACCCTGCAAGCTGATCCACGTCAGCAGCGGGAGCGGGAGTGGAGGAGGATTCTGGTGCGGCCTGCGCGGCTGCCGCCGCCTCGGATCCTTCCGCAGACATTGCGCGCTGGGGAGAAAGTGGGAGAAAGTTGGGGGTATTTTGGGATACTTACTGATCGGCTCATTACTGTAGGACTCGGTACTCCCGAGGACGTGGTTTGGACTGGTTGGCGTGGAAACGCAGTTGTTATTTCGCTAGACGGTTACCGTGTTCGTCGAAATCCTATTTGCCCGCGGCGATCTTCGCAATAGGGCATCTTTCGTTCCACTTCCCTGTATATCTCACGCTCTCGGTGCTCCCGGAGACATGAGCCAGCATGACGTACGGTATTGACATTGTCGGTAAACACTCCACTACACTCTGTTCGGTGCATGGCATCTTATATTTGCCACCAACCCAGACTATCATACAGTATGTGCCATAATTAAGCCATGGCCTAACCAAAGCCCTGAGAATCACTAATTCCCAGATTATATTTTGCGTTCTATGCTTTAAAACCGGGGTGCACATTCAGCTGAATGTGCATCAAAGGTTATCCCTTGACTGAGTGGGTTACGAGGTGTGCTTTCAACCCCTTCAAGTCGAAATTCGTTTCCCCCCTCCCCCGCAATTTCGTTTCCCCACGCCCCCGCAATTTCATTTCCCCCTCCCCGTCGAAATTCGTTTCCCCCCTCCCCCGCAATTTTGTTTCCCCCCTCCCCCGCAATTTCGTTTCCCCCCCCTCCCGCCAATCTGTTTCATCCCTCCCGCCATTCGGTTTCACCCACTCCCGCCATTTCACCCCCTCCCGCCACCTACGAAATGCCCGAAGCTCTAGCGGAATCATTTTTTTATCGCCCCTCGTGAGCCAATCACTGTTTTTCTCCAAACCCCCTTCCCAACATCTCAAGCCGAACCGCGTTGAATGTGCACCCTGGTTTTAACTACGCCGCTTATTGCGACCAGCACGGGCCTTATTTACCTCGCCAAAGAGCTCAAGTAATCTTGGAGGAGGTGAAAACGATATGTTGTTCAGTGGCACGTTCATGTCTATGGAGAGGAACTCAGTTGCTTCGTCATACGCGTTCTGCAAAACCACCAGCCAAACAGGAAGAAATCACAACATGAGAATTGTGTATACGAGTGAAATGGAACGACGGGTAATGATACCATTGATACCAACCACATTGACGTGAACTTGCCTTGTCGAAGAGATCAAGGAATTTGTCGCGAGCATTAGTGGGGTGCGCTGATTTCCCAATGGAGAATGCTTCAGACGTGATGGTGCGATTCAGGCGCTGCATCACCACCGGCACATCCTCCGCCAGGTTCTCAAAATGACCCACAAAGTCAAACCGAATGTCGTTGAGCCTGCACACATCCACCTGAAAACAGAAATAGTTTTCAGAGAGGGGTTGGGAAGGGAGGGGAGGTGGGGGGAGTAGGGAGAGGAGGCAAGAGGCGAGTATTCAGTTGGAGTTTTCCACAGTTTGGTGCATTATGAGCACAGCAGTTTGTCAGCAGGGGGAAACAAACCAAGTCAAGCCAACATCTGATAGCGGATCAACATGCACTCGTCCACAGTCCACCCGGGCAACAACCGGCATCCAGCATGAAAAGGAGAGGGTGGTGGTGAAGGTGAGGCACACGGCAGGGAGTGAGGGAAAGCAGGAGGGGGTGCACTTACAGGCACACATGCTAACACAAGGCCCAGGCTTTACAGGGTAAGGTAGGGGCACTACCTGAGGGGCAACGTCGGGTAAGGCCGGCACCCACCTGAGGGGCAACATGGGGGTCCATGGTGCGGCGTCTCCTCTTAAACATGGTCCGCAGCAGCCCCACAAAGTCGCCAAACTGCAGCAAGTCCGACCCGCCCTGGTGCTCCACCAGCCACTGGAACGGCCGCGTGCCATGGAAGAACCTCTTGTTCCAAAACGCCCGCCCCTGCGGCGGCCCCCCGTTCACATGCTTGTTGAGGTAAGCGGACGCCAGGCGCGCGAACGGGTGGCGCACGAACGTGAATTTGAAGAAGTCCGGGCGGGTGAGGAGCGCCATGACGGCTGATTCGGCGTATCCGGACGCGAGGACGTGCAGGCCTGAGTGCTTGGGGTCGTGGGCGAGGTAGACGTCGGAGATGTTGGGCAGGTTGTGCTGCTGGCGGAACCACACCTTCCAGCTCGTGCAGGCCGCCTTGGGGACAAAGCAGTAGATGGTCTTTAGCTCCTCTGAAAATCGGGGTGGGAGGGGGGAGATGCGAGAGGGAAAGGGGGCGAGGGAGGGAGAGCAGGGTAGAGATTGGAGATGTTGGGCAGGTTGTGCTGCTGGCGGAACCACACCTTCCAGCTCGTGCAGGCCGCCTTGGGGACAAAGCAGTAGATGGTCTTTAGCTCCTCTGAAAATCGGGGTGGGAGGGGGGAGATGCGAGAGGGAAAGGGGGCGAGGGAGGGAGAGCAGGGTAGAGATTGGAGATGTTGGGCAGGTTGTGCTGCTGGCGGAACCACACCTTCCAGCTCGTGCAGGCCGCCTTGGGGACAAAGCAGTATATCGTCTTGAGCTCCTCTGCAGTGGGGGGTGGTGGGAATGGGAAGAGATATGGAAGAGGGAACTGAGAAAAGGTAGGGATTGGGGGGTAAACGTCGGAGATATCAGGCAGACTGTGATAATTCCCCAACAAGCACCCCTTTTGGTAAACAGGACTAGTCGAGGGTTCAGGCGGGTCATTAGACCCATTCTTGGGCCATACATAGGGGATTACGCACCATCCACGAGATACTGTCGGAGGAACCACATGTTCTTGAAAGGCGCCAGCTCAGGGGCTTCACACACTGACGGATCCACCACAAACGAGGATGATTCAGACAGGGCTGCCGTGGAGAAACCAGCTTCCCCCAACGAACCACCACTTTCGTCACCTCCAGAAGCCACAGCAGCATCAGCGGCAGGAGAAGCAGCAGCCGCAGCAGCAGCAGAAGCAGGGAGTGCATTCTTGTTAATCCGCGCCCTGGCCTGGGCGGCAATGAAGAGTGCTTCCACAGAGGGACGCGTGTGGAGCAGCCCTCGAGCAGACGACAGCAGCAGCAGCTCTGCTAGTTGCAACTGCTGACACTCCGTCTGGTCAGCAGCAGCAGCGCTGCTCGTGCTGCCAGTCCCAGTGCCGGAGGTGCCAGTCGTGGTGGTACTGCCAGTACGACTGCTGCTCGCGGTTGTGCTGCTCCTGCCTTTTCTTCCGCGTCTGCTGCTAGTATGGGTGCCGCCACTGCTGCTATCACTGTCGCTCATTTCTTTCTTTGTGACTTGCCCAACCCTCTCTTCTCCTCCCGCCTGCTCTTCCTCCCTCGTTTCCTCTTCCCTTTCCTCCCCCTGCAAGTCTTCTGCCTCCTCACTCCCCTCACTCCCCTCACTCCCCTCACTCCCCTCACTCCCCTCACTCCCCTCACTCCCCTCACTCCCCTCACTCCCCTCACTCCCTGCATCCTCCGCATCTCCTCCCTCCTCCAGCACCCATCTTCGCCGCACTGCCTTTGCTGGACCCCCTTCGCCCTCGCCCTTCTGCCCGCCCGCGCTCTGCTGCTCGCTCTCCCTTCCAACCTCGCCCTCATTCTGCTCCCCGCTCCCAGTTCCCTCTTCCCCCTCACTCTGCACCTCGCCCTCCCTCTGCTCCTCGCTTTCCAGCTGCTCCTCTCGCTCGCTCTCCTCCTCGCCCTCGCTATGCTGCTCGCCGTTCTTGCTGGATCGTCGAGAGGAGGTAGAGAGTGGAGGAGGAGGAGGAGCAGAAGAAAGGGAGGCGGAAAGAGGGGGAGAGGCAGGGCAGCCCAGGCTGATCCGCTTGAGGGTGTGGGGGAGGAGGAACGGGGCGCGCAGGGGATGGAAGGTGCCCGCGACTGTAGCAGCGTCTGTAGCAGAGGCAGCTGCTACAGTGAAGTCCACGTCAGACGAGTTGGACGGCACGCGCAGGTAGCGCCACGTCAGCGTGCGAAGCGTGCAGTTGAGTAGAGGGTCCTCGGGGCACCCCCCGCACGTGCCACTTGGCATCACCTGATTGGCCTGTCAATAAGCACAAAAACACAGAGACAAAAAATTGAGCAAAGCACCAAGCATCGTTGAATGCTTAGAACGTGAATGTAGAAGAGAGCACCACTGCTGTACTAGATTTTAAGGTAAACTGCTCACCTCAAGGTACACTGCTGTACTCGATTTAAGCCTGGAGAAAAGTGACACTGTGCTTCCTGCTCCTTCGGCCTCATCCTCCTGCTCCTCCCCCAGTTCTCCATCCAGTAATTTGCTGACACGTGGCGAGGGATGTAGAGCGCCCAGGCATGACTGGAAGAGGCGGAAGGTGGAACATGCCTCGGGGGGTGTCTGGGGGGAGAAGCACAGGGGACGGGGAGGGCGGGAGGAGAGTGCGAGAGGTGGAGGAGAAGATTTCAAAAGGGAAGGGGCTGCGAGGCTGTGGGCGAGCATAGGATGGTGAGCATAGGATGGTGAGCATAGGATGGTGAGCATAGGATGGTGAGCAGATGATTAGCGAAATCTACCACTGGTTTGAGGGCTCGAAGCTTTTAATTGCAGCCCCTTTTGAGGCGCCTCAAAATGTTTGAGCATCAATCGAATCTCTAGGCTGCTTAAAACTCTCAACTCGCATCGTACCAGGTTTTAACTTACGCCCCCTGTTACCTACCCAGTCCTGGTGCCTGAGCGTCTTCAGATGACGTGGCACTCGCAGCGACACCTTCCAGCCCGGATGCACGAATCCCGTGCCAGGTGTCGCGCTCCCGTTGGCCGCATCTTCCGAGCAATGAGGCACGTTCACCTAGCACGAACGATGGGAAGGAACGACGAATGTTTCAAGCCGTGGGGAATGAATGGACGACGGGAGCGGCGAGGAAGAGGGACGCGGAATCGACGAGGAGCGTCGGGAGAGGACGACTTTGTGAGCAAGGTTCATTATAACAATCATTGATAGAGTAGAGGACGATTTCACAATCAGGCGGAGAATGCGACTGTGGAGGCGCTTCGAAATACAATATGCCAAGAAGTGTCATCAGGTGGACGGGACGGGGAAGTGGCGTATCCACATGAGCAGCCCTTCCCCGTCCCGTCCACCTGATTAAGTACTCACTGTGATTTCCTCCAACCCTTCCTGCGATTCGCGCTCTCCGTCTCCGCCGCTTGCCCCTTCCGACACGGTCACATCCGGCCAAGACTCCGCCAGTCCGCGGGGAAGCTCCATTCGGCTGCGCGCGGGCGGACCTTGAAACAGCGAGCGGAACGCCACATCCGCATTCCCCCCTTCCGCTCCGCGTTCCGCTCCTTGTTGCGCCCACACTATCGTCATGCGCATGGCCTCTCCTTCCGCTCCCCCCGCCCCTGCGCGAAGCCCAAGGCGCGTGCCCGCGGGTTGGGCCCACCCCTCCCCCGTCCGCTGTTGCTGGCGCCGCCACAGCGCTGCCGCCACCGCGGGCGCGAGACAGAGGGTCTGCAGGCGCGCGGGAAGATCTCCCTGTTGGGGGAACGCGGAGAAGAACGATGGGGGAACGCGGATTCGAACGTTGGGGGAAGAAGGAGAGGAACGCGGAACGCAGTATGCGCGGAGGCGTGTCAAGCTGTGATTGCGACACGCCGCTGATTGGCAGTGAAGCTGACACGTTACTGCAACCTGTAACCGGTGACACGTTGCTGTAACATGTCTCACCTTGCTGTAACCTGTGACACGTTGCTGTAACCTGTGACACGTTGCTGTAACCTGTGACACGTTGCTGTAACCTGTGACACGTTATTCTAAGAACTGTGAGCAAGCTGCCGTACCATCTACTCTTGATAAGTTCAGAGAACTTCCAAAATAGCCTACACATTACTCGTTAGTACCTCCGCTATGGCGACAGCCACGCCGCCATTCGCCTCCGGCATGCTGCTTCGTTCCGCTCGAATCTCATATGAGCTCCCCTCCGTCGCCGCATCTGTCGCCGCCTTTGACGCCGGAAGAATCGGCAGCGAGGAGGACGCGGAAAACGCGGAGTTAAGCAGCAGCTTTTGCGGGGATTGCGGCGAGACTATCATCACAGCCGCGAGCGCTACAACAACCGCCGACGCGAGAGCTAGCGAAACGAAACACCCGAACCGCACGGAGTCTGTGAAGTCTTTCTTTCCGCGGAGCTTCTGCCAGTATCCGGGGCTCGGGATAATGGGGGACAAGCGGCAGACTGCAGCGCGGGAGATGCTTCCGCCATCACGGCCGTGATACTCTGGACTTCGTACCATTGCTGCGATACTTTAAACACTTTAAAAGCTTCCCAAGGGAACCGGAGATGTTGTATAATCAAGCGACGACCGTTTGAGGGCGTTCGAAGAGGAGGTCCAGACTAAACACGATTACGCGACATTGTTTCTCCCTATACCGTCAACGATGTGGAGGCTAGACTTTATTCACTAATTTCTAGTCGCGTCGATCAAACCAACGTTGCCATGTCGCCACTGATTAGTAGAGGGTGCGCCCTCTACGAGCAAGGAAAGAAAAACAAGGGGAGTCGTGGGAATTGCGATGGTTGGACCGCCCGTTTCCAGATTGTGCCTTGGACGAAAGTGTAGCGAGCAGGCCTGTCGATTCAAGGGCATATGCCCTTAATGCCCTGAACATTCCGGGCTACTTTCGCTCCAGCTCGACTGCATCAAGTGTTAGATTCGCACTGCACCCGTGCCACTAAGTGCCTCGTTCGACCCTTCCCCGGATGCGTTAAGGGCCCAAACCAGGCCTTCCCCTGTCTCAAAGTTTTGGTTTCCGGTTGTAGGACCCCCCTCCCGCCCCCAATTCTGACTGACTCTCCCCCCCCCCCCTTTCTCCTAAGGTTGCACGAGAGGAGTGGAATTTTCCCTTAGCGTTTTCTAGCCAATCTCGTTGTTTGTAAAGTGTCTAAGTCAGCTTTGGAGCACCCGAATTTTCCCTAGCGTCTAAGTGCCGCCCCCCCCCCCTTCCTTAGGTTGCACGAGAGGAGTGGATTTTGCACTTAGCGTTTTCTAGCCAATCCCGTGTTTGTAAGTGTCTAAGTGCAAACTCTTCACAGGCCCGGATTTCAAGTTTTCACTTTGGGGTGCGCCCGTGACCGTTAAGGGCGCCCAAACGCTCAGCTACACCCAAAACAGGGTCAGATGGGGAGGAGCTGGGGAGCGTAAGTATGGGCCCCAGGAACTTCGACAGGCCTGGTAGCGAGGGAACAAGCTGGTTGGGTGCAAGGTGGTCATTCATGAAGGTCCGACTCAGATACGTCTCGTCACCGCACTGAAACACTGAAACTCTTTTCAGAACCGTCCAAAACCACGTTCAACCACGTAAAGCTGGGACCTAGGATGTGGTGATAGGTTTGGCTGAGCGGGGAAGGTACACATTACCTTTCCGCCTTGAAAATCGGCTGCTTGAAAATGGGTAAGCTTGAGGCGGAAACTGATTGGTTGCGACTGACAGCCACCATTTGACAGCCCTTGCGACTCATGCGACACCTCCCCCGTCGTCAATCTCTCACGTAAACCCTTTACCATTCGTGTCGCACACCAGCAAATTTGTCCCAATTTCGTCGGCTCCTGCGCGTTTGCGAAACAGGTCTCGTTGACGTTGCCGCGCGCCTGGTGTGGGCGGCGAGGCGAGGCGAATGAACTTGCCGATTGACATGCTGCATTTGTGCGGCTCGGGCATTGGGAGTGGGCGCGCTAGATTCGCGAGGGGCAGGACAACAGTCAATCACAGAAGTCACTCGCACACGGCCAATGTCTTCAAGCGACACACAATATCAGGGAACTCAACAACAATATTAATAATATAAGCGGGTGCATTTGCACCAGCCATAACATAATATTTATGTTATATTTAACTCGTTTCAGAGCCAAACTTTTCCACTAAAGCTTGTGGTGGTCCATACTCTAAACCATTTAAAGGCACACTGAAATCTGTCTTGTATGCGACCATAGCAGCCTCAAAAGCTCCCTGTACATAACAAAAAGGGATTGAAACAAATGTTGTTTGTGCATGTGCCCTCAAATATACAGCTTCAAGGAGTTAATCGTACACCTTTTAGACTCACCTGGTCATATAGCTCGAGCAGCTTATCCGACGCATTAGTTGGGTGTGCCCCATGGCCAATATTAAAGGCATCTTTCCCCTCCTTCCCGAACTGCCGCATCACCTTCGCCACATCCTCCTCTAGATTCTCAAACCGCCCGATAACATCATATCGGATCGAATTCAGCTTGCACAGGTTGATCTGAAACTCACAATCAAACCAGGGAGCATGGGGAGTTTGGCCAATCAGAGCACATACAATGACCAGGTAGGGGGATGCATGGCTCTCAAAAGGAGAAACGATGCAAGGAGAAGACAAAGGAGGAAGGAAACCAAGAGGGGAGGGATTGAGAAAATGAAAGATAGGGTGCGTGAAGGGAGAGCGGGCAAAGGGAGGAAGGCAGAGGAACGGTGGAGGGACATACCTGGGGGCGGACGTGGGGGTCCATGCGTGCTACATAGCGTGTGGCTTGCATCTGGAGGAATGACATGAAGGTTGAGAAGGGGATGAAGTCGCTGCCGTTCTGGCTCTTCATGAGCTCGTTGTACGCCTGCAACCCTGCAAAGAAGCGCTGCAGGAAGGGAGAGAGAAAGAGAGGCAGGGAGAGAGAGGCAGGGAGGGGAATATGGGGGTTGAATGGAATGCAGAGTGGAGTTGACAGGAACAGTGGAAAAGAGAATGTAAATAGATAGAAAGTGAAAGGAAGGATGGGGGAAGTGTTGGGAGTAAGCAACGGGAATGCACAGCTTCCTTGCCTTGCTGCATCCCAGCACTCCACACACCACAGCAACCACACCACGTTCCAGTCCCACAACAACCACACCACGTGCCCGTCGGTTCCAGCTTGTTCCCTCCATCCTTTATGTTCTAACACACGTGGAAAATCATCAGAGAATAGCCCTCACCTCGTTCCAGTACTTGCGGTCATGCGGGTATCCCCCGTCCACATGCTTGTTCAGATACGCCGACGCGATCCTCGTGAACGGGTTGCGCACAAACGAGAACTTGAAGAAGTCCGGGCGGGTGAGGAAGCGAATGTTGTCGTGCTCCTCAAACCCGTACCCCATGATGCTCAGCCCGCTCTGCTGCGGGTTGTGTACGATGATTCGCTCCGGCACGCCGTATGACTTCATGCTGCCGAGTCGCTTGGACAGCTGCTGGCGGAACCACACCTTCCAGCTCGTGCAGGCCGCCTTGGGGACAAAGCAGTACACCGCCTTGAGCTCCTCTGAGGTGTGTGGGGCGGAGGAGAGAGGAGATAGCAGCAGATTCAATTGGAGGTTGGGATGTTGCATGGGATAGAAGGGATGGGAGGCACTTAAGGCAGCAACAGCGGCAGATTCAGCACCTTGTCGCAAAGACGGGCCAGCACCAGGAATGCACGCGTGCGGGAAGACATGTGATTCCACGCATTTATAGCGAATGCAGTTACTTCCGGTTATGTCAAGTGGGGGGCAAGGCAAGCTCACCATCGACGAGCACCTGCTGCAGGTAATTCTGGTCCACAAACCCATGCACTCACCAGTACATGTGCTGACAGAAGTATGCATAGCTATGCATAGCCATGCACAAAAACAAAAGAAACTGGGTCACGTCAAGCACAAGGCTGAGGCTCACTCACCATCAACGAGCATCTGCTGCAGGTACTTCTGGTCGACAAACCGAGCAACACGTGGGGCAGCGCACACACTCTCCTCCACCACAAACGTAACTGCCTGGGAGGCAGCAGGGGCATCCGCGCTGCTGCTGTGGCTCGCCCGGTGCCGTCTCCCCTGGGCGGCAATGAAGAGTGCCTCTATAGAGGGCCGCGAGTGGATGAGCCCTCGAGCCCACGACAGCAGCAGCAGCTCCGCCAGCTGGTGGTGTGGGATGGAAGGTGATTGAGGGATGGGGTGCAGAGGACAGAAGGTGAGAGAAGGCGGATGGAGAAGGTAGAGAGAGAAAGCCGACAGAGAAGGCGGTGAGATGGTGGATGGTGGGATGGAAACCGCAGGTGATGGGAAGGCTGTGATGCATGCATACATGCACCCATGCGAGCATGCCGCTACATCCATCCATGCATACGTACGTCCATGCATACGTACGTCCATGCATACGTACGTCCATGCATACGTACATACATGCATGCATCCATGCAAGCACCAGCAACCATGCCTACCTCCAGCTGACCACAACTCCATTCGTGCCCTTTCGCCCCGCTCGCCCCACTGCCACTGCTGCTCGCCCCACTGCTGCTGTTCTCACTATTGTCGCTTCCAGAACTGTCAGATGGTGAGACAGACTTCTTCTCCTGCTCCTCCTCTCCCTTCAGACCCAACAGTCGTCGCGACGATGATGCTGGCGATGATGGTGAGGAATCAGAAGAAGCAGATGCAGCAGAGCTGGTGCTGGGCATTGACGTTGAGGCAGACGAGGAGGAGGAGGGGGGGGAGTGGGGGGAGAAGGAGGAGGAGGAGGAGGAGGAGGAGGAGGAGGAGGAGGAGGAGGAGGAGGAGGAGGAGGAGGAGGAGGAGGAGGAGGCGGAGGAGGAGGAGGAGGAGGTGGAGGAGGAGGAGGGGGAGGAGGGGGAGGGAGGTGGGGGGGAGGAAGAGGGAGGTATTCTCAAGGGGCAACCCATGGCCGTTCTGACAGCAGTGTGGGGGAGGAGGAGCGGGGCGCGCAGGGGATGGAAGGTGCCTGCGACTGTAGCAGCGTCTGTAGCAGAGGCAGCTGCTACAGTGAAGTCCACGTCAGACGAGTTGGACGGCACGCGCAGGTAGCGCCACGTCAGCGTGCGAAGCGTGCAGTTGAGTAGAGGGTCCTCGGGACACCCTCCGCACGTGCCACCTGGCATCACCTGATTGGCTTCCAGATACACAGCCGTGCTTCGTGCTAGTCTCTCGCTAAATCCCCCCTTTACCCGTCCTCCCCCACCCTCCTTTATCTCCCCCTCAGACGTCCCAGCAGCTGCTCCCGTTTCCCCCAGCGCTCCCTCCTCCAGTAATTTGCTGACACGTGGCGAGGGCTGCAGAGCGCCCAGGCAAGACTGGAAGAGGCGGAGGGCGGAACATGCCTCGGGGGAGGTCTGGGGGGAGATGCGGAGATAAGGGGTAGGACGGGAAGGGGAAAGGAAATCGGAGAAGGGGAGAAAACGAAGGGTTGGGGGGACCGGGGGAGAGGAAGTTCCAGAGAGGGGGGGGAACACTTGTGGCGAGGAGTGCAGTACGGTGGCAAACTTAGTTCGAGAAAGACGCATGGCGTGGGAAATGAGACTTAGAAAGTGTTTAAGAAGAATTGAGACTCCGAGTAGCTTACCCATTCTCTGCTTGCCACGTGGCTTAGTCCAGAAGGGACCCACAGCGACAACGACAATCCAGGCACCTCCGCGCTGCTGCTGCTGTTGCCGCTTGTCGCGCTCGTATTGGCCGATTCCGACCCCTCGTCTACACAGGCCGGCAACGAGACTTGCACCTCTTTCCGTGACTCTAAAAGAGGAGCAGCAGAGGCTGATCCCTTTACAGTCACACTCGGCCAAGCAGCCTTATCCTTCTCGTCTAACCGTAATGCATCTACACCGGGAAACCCGCTGAATAAATCCAAGAACCCCTCCCCTGCGGGTCCCTTCTTGGGACTGCCGCCAGCGGAATCAGCAGCACTTCCGTCCACGTCAGCATCCGCGACCGCTGAGTCGCTCCACACAACGGCTACCTCCCTCGCCTTATCCCCTTCCTTCTTCCCCGCATCCGCCTCCCCCGGTGCGCGCGCGCCCCACACCGCGCTGACGGCGGGCGCAAGGCAAAGCGCCTGCAGGCGTGCGCCTAGGTTGCCCTGGGGAAGAAGAAAGGGGGAGAGGGGGGGGCGGAAGTAAAGAGGGATGCGGTATCAGGAAGGGCGGGGAAGCGTGGATAGAGAGACACGGAGCGTGAGTATGCGTATGCACTTCACCGAGCGTGGGTACACATGACACATGCGTACAGGCTTGACAGCGAGGGAGTGTCTGCCAGTGAGGGTCGCACCTCGGCCACAGCGATCACTGCAGCGTCGCTAACTCCACCACCTGATGTCGCCCCCACCTCCCCTGATGCCGACTCCGCCTCCCCAGATGCCGACTCCGCCTCCCCTGATGCCGCCCCCGCCTCCCCTGATGCCGTCTCCGCCTCCCCTGATGCCGGCCCCGCATTCCCTGATGCCGACTCCGCCTCCCCTAATGCCGACTCCGCCTCCCCTGATGCCGCCCCCGCCTCCCCTGATGCCTTTGACTCTCCCGCTGCTGCTCTTTCCCGTGCGACATCCGCTTCCCGTGCGACATCCGCTTCCCGTGCGACATCCGATTCGGCTGCCTGTGCCCCTGGGCTGCTATGTTTCCCCTCATGCGCGCCAGCAGCTGCCTCCGCCTTCCCCCCGACCTCCTCCTTCTGCCGCGTATCGCTACCAATCTCACGCCCTCCCTCCCCCGTCGTGTTCTCCTCCCGCGTGCCGCTCTCCTGCCGCGTGCTGTCGGTATGCAGCGTGCTGCTGCTATCCCGTGCACTCTTCTCCTTCCCTACGTGATCCTTTTCTATCCCCTCCTCCCGCCGCTCATCACGCTGCTCCTCCGTTCTGCTGTCTGATCCCTTCAATTCCCCCTCCTCGCCTGTCTCGCCTCTCTTCTCGCGGGTGTCATTCTTCGCTTCCTTGGTCAACCCGCCAACCTTGATCACCATCTCTTCCCGCTTCTTCCCTTTCTCCTTCTCCGCAATCTCAACAACCAATCCTTTCCCTTTTTTGCTACCCTGATCACCCGTGCGCCCCATTACCGTCGCTTCCTCTCCTCGCTTTTCCCCCGCCTTCGATTTCTTCGATTTTCCCCGGTTGCCTTTCCGCCGTTTCGCTTCCCCCTTGTCTTCTCGGACCTCTTCCACAGTCACCACCTCCCCGGCGAACGCGCCTCGCCAGCTATCCACCCCGTCGAATTCGTTTCCGCCATCCACGGCGCTTTTGCCGGCGCCGATACCCTTCGCACTATCTTTCCAGTCGTGGCTAGTGATGGCTACTGTGACATCACTCGACGACGAGAGAAGGTTCCGCGAACCCTGCATGTTCTGTGGGAGCGAAAGCTGCACGACTCTCCCCATGGCTGCTAACGAAGCGACAAACACTATGGCGAGGACAACTCCGATTGCGATAAATGAGTGGATCCCCGCAACCGGCGCCGTCGACGAATCGTCGCCTTTTACGCGTTTCGAGCCGCATTGACTTGATTCCTCCAGACTGAAAAGGCGAAAGTTCCCCGAAAGAGGGCTCCAATTTCTTTTCCCGCTGCGGTTGGTGGAACCCGTGCGAAGCGGGCTCGCGATAGGCTCATCGAAAGAGTTGCGGGTTTGCGCTGGTAGCGGCGAATACGCACGCCGCTCCATGACTAGCGGGAATTTTTTATTGGCCCGATCCGTCGCTCGAGTGGTCAACCTTTCCTCAACGAGCACTAAGGAGCAAAGTGTGTATGAATCCGCATTGAGCGTGTCGACATCCTTCGATTAATTACAAGATGGCCCAGCAGTACTGGTGGAGGTTTAGTGTGAGATGCGGAACAAAGCCAAGACATCATGCGACTTGAGAAAAAGGCTGCTGGTGATTACCAGCCAGGTAGCCCTGGCTGTTGAATTGATGTCAGCCAGCAGGTAGCCCTGGCTGCTGGTATATCAGCCAGCCAGCCCTGGCTGTTGAATTGATCCAGGTGCGAGCGGGCGGGAGAGGAGGAGACACTCGAGGCGCATGTGTGCAACGCGAATGTCAGGTCAGCTCATGCCCACCAAGCCTCGAGGTTGTCAGGCAACCCGTAGCTAGAAGTCCTCCAGAATGCACCTGTTGGGGGAAATGCGACACGGAACCTCTTGGGGAACATCGATTTCCGAACTTCTATTAGGTCCGGGACCCGTAGGCACTCCCCCAAACAAGGTACTGTAGGTTCCCACCATGAACCTCCGAAGCTGCACCCAACCAAGCTTCAACCACTCGTACACCAATGGCAGGCAAGTTCAGGGGGCAGAACCAAAGGCAAACAGGTCGAGCCTCTCTATCCGAGCCTCTTCATCCCCGTGGTTTGTCAGGCCGAAGCCGTGCGACATCGCCACGAAGTACTTCGGTGTGGTATTGAGCGACTCGTTGGAGCATGTTTGGTGCCACCTAGCCAATGGGACGATGTTCGGCGGAAGAGGTGCCAAGTGGACACACGCAAAATGGATTCTACGACTTTGGCGGCTTTCGTGCAGCGACGTGCGAGCGATAGACGGCGTTTACTGCCGGATGTTACCTCCACCTGGGGAATAGACAACTCCTTGGCTGATATAATTACAATAGCACACCTCTAACTGAACAAGCTTAAAACGAGAGGCATTTGTGCTGTTGTATAGGGACTCGAGGGGCGTTTGGTGTCGACTCGAATGCTCCGTCATCTGAACGGTGCGTTCAGTTTGGGCCTCCAGATTGTAGTTGAATGCCCCATTTATGCACGTCTGGGCAATTCATGCCCTCCAGTTATTTTTTTACAGGATTTAATTCGTTATTAAAGACTTCAACCTCCTCAGGCATCGTATAATTACATCTCTTAAATCCTAGTGTATACTTCTAAGCCTTGCGTGAAGTGCAGAGCTTGGCTTATATTCAGGAACACGAAATATCGAATTCTGGCGGGAAAGCAACCTGCACAACAGAACTGGTACTTTCTGATAAGTCTTCTGATTGGTGGTGTCAGTTGCCGGAATCAGACTGCGAGACGCAATGGCAACAGTGTGTTGATTGGTGCAGTTGTTCTGACGGAGCGCTACTTGTGATTTTTGCTTCACTGAGGGACGAGGCACCTCAAGCGATTTTTCGATCGTGTAAAATCGATCCTTCACCGCTCTCAACTCCCGTTTCTCACATCGAAAGCATTCAGAGCCGTTTTCAAGCCCTGGTAAAAATCGAATACTCTCCCTCCGAATCGAGGTTCACGTCATCACCACCATGCTATCGGATGTAGGGGCTCGCTAGTGGAAACCAAAGTAACGAAGCGCCCACAACGTCATTGAAGCAATTTGCCGGCTCCGATACAGGCTCGGCTTGATTGCCGTTGGTGCCGTCCCCTTTACTTACCTGTCACGGCTGTACGGTGCGGCACTGCCGTCCCGTGTCACGAGTCGCACGACTTGCGCTTCTGACAGCACAGGTAGTGAAGACGCTCGGATAGAGGCTCGGCTTGTTTGCCTTTGGTGCCGCCCCCTTCACTTACCTGTCACGGCTGAACGATGTCCCGGATGGGAATCCCTAGCTGGGTGCAGCCGTTTCAGAGGTTTCAAGGTGACAACCCTGTTTGGGTGAGAGCCTACAGAACCAGGCCCGGTGACTGATATATCAATCAGCAGCCAATCTATCAGTTCACATGATCTGTTGGCTCTGGTTCTTGACGTAATAATCAGTTGGGATGATTTTGACACTTGCGTAGCTCGATTCGGATTCGTACGCGCCTTCTTTCTCCTTCGTGATTGTTAAGGATTCGGACAATTTCCGTTACTCATGGAGCGATGTGCCTATTCAAAAAGTTCGCCGCTACCAGCGCAATCCTGCGACTCTTCCGATGAACCTATCGCGAACCCGCTTCGCATAGGTGTCACCACCCGCAGCGCGAAAAGATGTTGGAGCCTTCTTTCGGGGAACTTTCGCTCCTTGTGGGAGAAAACTCAATGCCGCTCGAAGCGCGGCAAAGGCGACGACTTGTCGCCGGCGCCGGTTTCGGGAATTCGCTCGTTTGTAGCAATCGGAGTAATCCTCGCTATAGCGTTTGTCGCTTCGATAGCAGCCATCGGGGCAGTTGTTCAGCTTCCGGTCCCGCAGAACATGCAGGGTTCGCGGAACCTTCTCTCGTCGTCGAGTGACGTCACAGTTGCGATCATTTGCCACGACTGGAAAGATAGCGCCGGCAAAAGCGCCGTGGATGGCGGAAACGAATTAGATGGCGTGGATCGCGTAGACAGCTGGCGAGGCGCGTTCTCCGAGGAGGTGGTGACGGTGGTCCGAGAAGACCCGCGGGAAGCGAAACGGCAGAAAGGCAATTGGGGAAAGTCGCGGGTGGGGGAAATGCGAGGGGGGAATGCGGCGGGAAAAGGCCGCACGGGCGGCAAAAGGGAGACAGGACTGGTTGTTGCAATGGCGGGGAAGAGGAAAGGGAAGAAGCGGGAAGGTAAGATGGCGATTAAGGTTCACGGTTTGACAAATGAAGAAGAGAGTGACAATCGTGAGGAGGCTGGCGAGAAAGGCAAGGGGGAATCGAAGCGGTACGAGTCGGTCAGGGGAAGGAAGGGGCAGCGTGATGAACGGCGGGACGAGGGGAGGGATAAGGGTCACGGTGAGAAGGAGAAGAGTGTGCGGCAGGAGAGCAACACGCGGGAGGAGAGCAACACGCGGCAGGAGAGCAACACGCGGGAGGAGAGCAACACGCGGCAGGAGAGCAACACGCGGGAGGAGAGCAGGAAGGAGGAGGGAGCGCGTGAGAATGGGAGCGATACGCGGCAGGAGGAGGTTGAGAGGAAGGCGGAGGCAGCTGATGGCGCGTATGAGGGGCAACTGAGCAGTAGAGGGGCACAGGCAGCCGAAGCAGGTGGAGAGGCGGGGGTTGTGGCACAGGCGGATGCGACAGTTGAAACGAATAGCACAGCGGATGTCGCTAGGGAGAGAGAAGCAGGGGGAGAGTCAAACGCAACAGGGGAGGCGGGGACGGCGCCCGCAGGTGGAGTTAGCGCCGGTGCTGTGATTGCTGTGGCCCAGGTACGAGTCTCACTGCCACACGCACTATACCGCACTTTGAGATACGAGTCTCAAAGATTTGAGTTCTCCGAGACGTCACAGAACTTGCTGTGGCCGAGGTTTTTTTACAAAGATCTGAGACAGTATCGCTACCAGACGCTCCATTGGTCATGTCTGTACGCATGTGTCTATACTCCCGCTTTCCGGCCTCCCCTGCTGCTTTCCCCGCCTCCCCTGCTTCTTCCCCAGGGCAACCTAGGCGCACGTCTCCAGGCGCTTTGCCTTGCGCCCGCCGTCAGCGCGGTGTGGAGCACACGCGCACTGGTGGAGGCAGGCGCTGGGAATGCGGAAGCGGATAAGTCGGGGGAGGTGACCGTTGTATGGAGTGACTCAGCAATTGCGGATGCTGACGTGGACGGAAGTGCTGGTGATTCCGCTGGCGGCAGTCCCAAGAAGCGACCCGCAGGGGAGGGGTTCTTGGATTTATTCAGTGAGTTTCCCGGTGTAGATGCATTACGGTTAGACGATAAGGATAAAGCTGCTTGGCCGAGTGTGACTGTAACAGGAGCAGCCTCTGCTGATTCTCTTTTAGAGTCACGGACATTGCTGCAAGTCTCCCTGCCGGCTTGTGTAGAAGTGGTGTCTGAATCGGCCAATGAGAGCGCGAAAGTTGGCAGCAGCAACAGTAGCAGTGCGGAGGTGCCTGAATTGACTTTGTCACTGTGGGTCCCTACAGAACTAAGCCACGTGGCAAGCAAGGATTGGGTAAGCTAATCAGAATCCTGACTTGGACCAAGTGTCTTGCTTTAACCTACCTTTCCACCCTGTTGCACTCCTCTTTACCCCGTTCTTTCCCCCACCCACCCCTTTTCCCCCAGCCCTTTTTCCCTCACCTTTCTCTGATCCAAAACAACTCTCCTCCCCCGTCTCCCCCATCCCCTCCGCGTCTCCCCCTAGGCCCCTCCCGAGGCATGTTCCGCCCTCCGCCTCTTCCAGTCGTGCCTGGGCGCTCTCCAGCCCTCGCCACGTGTCAGCATATTACTGGAGGAGGGGGCGCTGGGGGAAACGGGAGCAGTTGCTGTGAGGTCTGAGGGGGGAGGGGGGGTAAAGGGGGGATTTGGGGAGAGACTAGCACGTAGCACGGCAGTGTATCTGGAAGCCAATCAGGTGATGCCAGGTGGCACGTGCGGAGGGTGCCCCGAGGACCCTCTACTCAACTGCACGCTTCGCACGCTGACGTGGCGCTACCTGCGCGTGCCGTCCAACTCGTCTGACGTGGACTTCACTGTAGCAGCTGCCTCTGCTACAGACGCTGCTACAGTCGCAGGCACCTTCCATCCCATGCGCGCCCCGCTCCTCCTCCCCCACTCTGCCCTCAGAACGGCCACTCCTCCCTCTTCCTCCCCCCCACCTCCCTCCCCCTCCTCCCCCTCCTCCTCCTCCTCCTCCTCCTCCTCCTCCTCCTCCTCCTCCTCCTCCTCCTCCTCCTCCTCCTCCTCCTCCTCCTCCGCTTTTCCGTCGACGCGACGGCTGTTGGTGCTGGAGGGAGGGGAGAAGGAGCAAGGGAAGCAGGAGGAGAAGGAAGCTGGTTCACCACGGTGGGGCGACAGTGGGGCGAGTGGGGCGGAAGGGCAGGAATGGAGCTGTGGCCAGCTGGAGGTAGGCATGGGAGGTGGAGGTTGCATGTAGGCATGGGAGGTGGAGGTTGCATGTAGGCATGGGAGGTGGAGGTTGCATGTAGGCATGGGAGGTGGAGGTTGCATGTAGGCATGGGAGGTGGAGGTTGCATGTAGGCATGGGAGGTGGAGGTTGCATGTAGGCATGGGAGGTGGAGGTTGCATGTAGGCATGCATTCCTGCGTTCCTCTTGTCTCCTCCTGGCATCCCACCATCCGCTTTCTCTCTCTGTCGTCTCCATCCGCCTTCTCCCACCATCTCTCCGCCTTCTCCCACCATCTCTCCGCCTTCTCCCACCATCTCTCCGCCTTCTCCCACCATCTCTCCGCCTTCTCCCACCATCTCTCCGCCTTCTCCCACCATCTCTCCGCCTTCTCCCACCATCTCTCCGCCTTCTCCCACCATCTCTCCGCCTTCTCCCACCATCTCTCCGCCTTCTCCCACCATCTCTCCGCCTTCTCCCACCATCTCTCCGCCTTCTCCCACCATCTCTCCGCCTTCTCCCACCATCTCTCCGCCTTCTCCCACCATCTCTCCGCCTTCTCCCACCATCTCTCCGCCTTCTCCCACCATCTCTCCGCCTTCTCCCACCATCTCTCCGCCTTCTCCCACCATCTCTCCGCCTTCTCCCACCATCTCTCCGCCTTCTCCCACCATCTCTCCGCCTTCTCCCACCATCTCTCCACCTTCTCTCTCCGCTTTCTCTCTCTGCCTTCTCCATCCGTCGTCTCTCACCTTCTGTCCTCTCCACCCCCATCCCTCAATCCCCTCACATCCCACACCACCAGCTGGCGGAGCTGCTGCTGCTGTCGTGGGCTCGAGGGCTCATCCACTCGCGGCCCTCTATAGAGGCACTCTTCATTGCCGCCCAGGCCAGTGGAAGACAGCACCGGGCGAGTCAGTGCAGCAGTGTGGGGGGAGATGTAGGAGCCTCTGCAGGGACAGCTGCAGTCCGCCTGGCGTCTGCGGGGGGAGATATAGGAGCCTCTGCAGAGGCAGGTGCAACCCTTGTGGCTGCAGTCCCCCCGGCAGCTGCGTTTGAGGTGGAGAAGAGTGTATGCTCTGCCCCCGGTGCGGCTCGGTTTGTCAACCAGAAGTTCCTGCAGCAGATGCTCGTGGATGGTGAGCCGCCTTTCCCTCCATTTGTTGTGCCGCTATTGCTTCTGTGCACTTCTTTGCATATCCGGGCCCATGTCTCCCCCCCCCCCGCTAGAGCATCCTTTACTCAACCAGAGGTACGTGCAGTGCAGCAGCTGCTCGTCAACCAGAGCCTCCTTGTGCTCCACTTGACATGTTTCTGTTCTTTCTATAATGCATTGGTTATGCATCGGCTATGCATCGGTTATGCATCACTCAAGGCGATGTACTGCTCTTTCCCCAAAGCAGGCTTCTGACCCAACTGAACAAGGTCAACACCCTTTCCCTGTCCTCCCCCCCTCGTTACTGCCACCACCAGAGGAGCTCAAGACAGTGTACTGCTCGGTGCCAAAGGTGGCCTGCACGAGCTGGAAGGTGTGGTTCCGCGAGCAGCTGTCCAAGCGACTCGGCGGCAACAAGTCGCCCAGCGTGCAGCGGTTCGCACGCACGTCCGTGCACAGCCCACTGCAGAGCGGGCTGAGCATCATGGGGTACGGGTTCGAGGAGCACGAGAACATTCGGTTCCTCACGCGCCCGGACTTCTTCAAGTTCTCGTTTGTGCGCAACCCGTTCACGAGAATTGCGTCGGCGTATCTGAACAAGCATGTGAATGGGGTAGGCTTGCACGGCCGCCAGTATTGGAACGAGGTGAGACGGTTGTCTTTGGAGGTCTGCAATGTGCTAGGAAGACAGAGTGAGCAGAGGGAACAAGCTAGAAGCATCGAGAGTGTGGCGGCTGTGGTGTGCTGTGTGAAATGCTGGGATGCTATCAAGGCAAAAAAAGCTGTTGCTTTCGGTTGCTTGCTCTCATCCATGTCCCCACCCTACCTCCTCCCCTCCCCCACTTCTTCATCTTCCCTTTCTCTCTATTCCCACTCTCTTCCCCACTGTTTCTGTCAACTCCGCTCTGCATTCCGCTCAACCCCCCAATTCCCCTCCTCTGCGCCTCTCTCCCTCTCTGCAGCGCTTCTTTATGGGAATTCAAGCGTACAACACATTGATGAAGAGCCAGAACGGCAGCGACTTCATCCCCTTCTCCACCTTCATGTCATTCCTTCAGCAACGAGCCACACGCTGCGTCGAGTGCATGGACCCCCATGTTCGCCCCCAGGTACTTTCCCCCACCCTTCCCCACCCTTCCCCTCTTTTCCCTCCACGAATCCCATCTTTCTCCCAGTGCAGTTTGAATTTCTGATCCAAGCATTTCCCAATGTGGTCATTGTTGGTGCTCTGATTGGTTGCAAGCCCTTCACTCCCCATGCTCCCCCGTCTGTTTGCAATGCTCAGATTGACCTGTGCAAGTTGAATGCGATCCGATATGATTTTATTGGGCGGTTTGAGAATCTAGAGGAGGATGTGGCGAAGGTGATGCGGCAGTTTGGAAAGGAGGAGAAGAATCCCTTCCATGATGCCCATTGGGCCCACCCTACTAATGCTTCAGCCAGGCTTCTCGAGCTGTATGACCAGGTGAGAATGAAAAAGTGTGAATTGTCTGATTGAAGTTGCATTTCAAGGCCCAAGAAGCAACCAACGTCCAGTATTATTCCTGTTCTGTCTTGTGCAGACCGCATTTGAGGCCGCTACGGTTGCATACAAGTCGGATTTCAGTGTTCCCCTTAATGGTTTTAAATTCGGACCGCCAGAAACTCTAGTGGACAAGTTTGAGTCAAAGATATAAAGAAACAAGATTGTTTGAAGTGTAGTGGAGGCAGGAATCATGGCGCTGAAGGGGCTGAGGAGCAAAAGGAGGAGTGTAAATCAGCATACCGCACATGGACTTCACTGCATAATGATCTGTACACACAAGCTCAGAGGGTGGAGGTGGACCAGCCAGTGCATTGTTCAGCAAGTGCATTCTTGCCTGCTTGGATACCACCAACCAACCCATAACAACCACTGGTGGCACCAGCCCAGCACAACACTCTGCTTAAGCCACTTAGCTAAAACAAGGGCTACTCAGAGGCACAAAGCCGTTCATGTAAGTCTGCAGATTTTAGGTTAGTGATACCCTCTAGTCCTGGAGTCTGTGGATTACAGCAGTAGCACTCGCAGTAGAAAGCCAGCACCGTTTTTGCTAATCTGCACCACCGCGAATCTTCGACAGTGCCTTCTTGTTGAAACTCCTCTTGCACCATAGCGACAGAAAGCTGCTCCATTTGCTCTGGGCTTCTCAGGAAGAACAGCGGATAAGGTCCGTACGAGATCTCCACCTCTCCCACGCTTGCAGATTTTCTCATCAAAACGCGAAAGCCCATTTGCTCCAGTTGTTTCTTGAATGCATCGAGGCAGCGCACTCTTTTCATGATTTCTGGGAGCGGGAGTTTGGTGAAATTGAAGTACGGCCCGTGAGCGATGGTGAGAGACAACCTCTGCTCCTCGGAAAAAATCACATTCGCTGCTGCAGCCTCTGCGGCAGCCGCGACCCATTGGGAAAAGGCGAGCATGATGTGAATGTCTAAGAGATTATGATGGAATGGCGGATGTCTGCCTTCTGAAGAAAGGCTCGCTGAGATTGACAATGACAGAACGTGGCTTGATGAAAGCCTTTTTATGCTTCTCGCTCTCGCCTCTGCTATCGTTCTGGCTAACCTGGCGAATCTCCGTTGTGATTTCGTTTTCTGACCATTTTTTCTTCTTCAAAGAAGATCTGCACATGGAAATCAACATTCGCTGTCGCATCGCATTCCGCCATCACGGCATTGACACCGTGCCGCAGATCACGTGTTGCTCAACTGGGACCAGGGCTGGCTGGTCCTTGGTTTCCAGCCATGATATTTCCGGGAAGCTTTCCGGGAAGCATCCGGGAAAGCATCGACTTAGGACGTGGGCCCAATCAGAGCCGATCAAACTCGATTGGGCCCACGTCCTGAGAACTTGTATCAGGGTTCCGGACTACAATCACAAATGCAGCTCACATACTCGAAGCCCTAGTTGTTTGTAATCTAACCACCTACCACCAAATATTAGTTGTTTGTAATCTAACCACCCACCACCAAATATGTAAGTGACAGGCTTGCGGCCCTAACAAAGTGGGGGTGGTTTTGGAGGGGGGGGGAAAGGGGGAGGGGTTGGGGGGCTTCAGGGAAGGCCCGAAACTTGTACGGGGAATCAGGGTGGGCCCCAAGTGCGAAACCCCAAGTATAAATCAGGAAAAGGCTCTGACGACGCACTTGAAGTGAAAATAATTCCTTTCAAGTTCGGTTTCTGGAGCGATGTAACCGAGAATATTCAGGGCATTAAGGGCATATGCCCCTGAATCGTTAGGCCTGACTGGGACACGGAATTTGTAGCCGAAACATCTGTAGAAGTGAGCGAGCACCCCGAATGGGCTCTGCGCCTCCTCCCCCAGTTGGGCAGAGGACAGTTGGGATTGCTCTGTCAAATCTGCCACGCATAATGATTCCATATTTTCGCGGCACTGCGAGCCATGCCATGCCTCTCTCGACGACAAAATGGAGTAGTGGGCGCCTGAACCTGAAGTATTTGCTGCACACCATCCCAGCACTATCTCTGCGAATAATGGAGGGACCATTGTGGCACACATCCGTGCGGCGAACAAAATGGGGTGTAACTGAACGACGATGAGAAGAAGTTGCTGTTTGGTTTTGGCGACTGCCACGCAGTGCGAGATAAATGATACACCCTGTTTCTCGCTACACTGAACTGCGCCGAACGGGTGAAAAACCTTGTTATCTTCGATTTGCCTAATTGAACCATACCAAAACGTAATTTAACCACCGCTAGCCGTGCTTTTCCCATCTTGACTTCATCTTAACCGAATTCACAATGGCGAGAAAGAGGGTGTACATTCTGTCGCCCATAATGCAAAACTCGTTTGCACAATGAGTTGTAAGGAATATTCGTAGGAACCGGGTAGTGCGCAAACATCACATCTGTATTGAGACTTGATTCGGTTACGGTAACTTCTTATGTTTCGTGAAGGTAGCGACGCACGAGAAACGAGCCTCTTTCCGAACCGAACTAATTTCTTGCCACGTAAGTGCGGTCCGCAACATACCAGACTGAACGTGGCAGAATCACCGCCGAAACCTCAACCACCCCCTTTGCCTGCGTGGATTTCAAAGATTTGTCTGCAGCTGTCGATAGCAGCGTTACTCTCGCTAAACCGTCCGATGGAACGAGGGTTTCCAGCCCAGCACTTCCGTGTCAGTCCCAAGGCCAGCGTGTAGAAGGTCGGAGCAGACGAGGGTTTCTGGATCCAAACTATGGCCGCTCCCCGCCTGCCATGTCCTCCCTCCCTCTCCACATGTGCACACTTTTCCCTTCAGTCTTTCCCAGTACCTAGGATGATATGGCAGTTTTTTACTGAGTCTTGCTTCCTGACCTACCCGCCTGCATTCCTTGCATTCCCACACCGCGCTACCGTGTCGCCTGCGAAGCAAAGCATTTGGAAAGAACATTTAGCAAACTTGCTGCGTCGCGTTTGAGCTATTTTTGCGGCCGACCGAACTTGCTGGTCGACATGACGCTTGTTAGTTTTCCGACTAAGGAAGTTGTCAGTTTGCTAAAGCAAGATTAATTGTTGTGTGGGGTGTAGTTAAGAGAAAGAGGCGATTAGACTGTTTTTCCCCTTCGACGAAGTTGACGATAGGACGTAGTCTGCCGAGGCAATGGCGGACGAGCAAGCTCAACAAGGCATGTACCGCGCGCCTAACGGCGAGCATATGTTATTTCGCTCGAGCATTCCTTTGTCGTAGGCCTTGGCCTCAATCGTTTTCGGAACGGCTTCCGTCGAGCTCTGTCGTGTTTTTCTCGGATTTTGGTACACTAGTTCAATAGATTTCACGCTTTTTCCTTCGTTATCACCCGCAGGTGATGTGTCTAAGGACCCCTCTAACGGGTACAACGATTGGGCTGCAGCTGCTATGCAGGTGAGCACGCTTAGCCACGAAGCTCAGCATCTGGCGACATCTGTAACGAATAGGTTGCAGCTGTCATGCTGGGGAGCACGTTTCTGCTCAAACCTACGAACCGTGCAGCATACGCCGTCAGCAGCACACGATAGTTACGACAGCTTGAGCGAGTACTGTAACCCGAGCGATTATCGCAGAGTAACGCCCTCAAGGTAGTTCTCTATCGTTTCATATTCACTCAAACGGGTCAGCGGACCTCAATACCGTCTTCAGATCACATCCCAGTCAGTAGACCCCCACAGTCAGGAGACCAACCGTGTCAGCAGTAAATCAGCAGATCTCGACCCAGCCAGCAGTACTTAACCCACTCGACAGATCTCAATTCAGACAGCAGACCTCAACTCAGTCAGCGGATCTCAAGCCAGAAAGCTCTGATCCCGACTGATGGCGACGCTCCCCGCTCTTTCGTCGGTCCTTGCAGTCGTCTAGCGCCCTGTGCGCTGGAAGCGGATCTTTCCTACCCGGTTCCTCACGACGCCAGTAGCCTTCTTTTCCCGCGCGTCCCGCTTTGCTCCTTAGGTCGACTTCCGAATGAACTGGGTGCAGTCGGAACGGAAACTCTCAGTGACCTAGTCCTTATCGTCCGCTAAATGGTCACTGAACCTTCGATTTTGTGGCGTGGAATGGTGGCCTGCAGGCGTATTACAAGTCCGGAGGGCAAGCGGCGCATGCAGGAGGTTACTACGGCGCACCAATGGGAGGGCATCCCCATCCGTACATGTGGGGACCACAGGTATGCGATTTGAGTATCATTTGATTCAAGCAGTTGTTAAGTAGTGGCGCCCTGTCGTCAATCGTCTCTCCGCTTCATGTTCCGCATTACTCTCACTCGTTTCTTTCCCCTCTGTTGTTCGATTTCCCCTTTGTCCTACTCCCCTTGCCTTCTCAGCCAATGATGGCAGCGCACTACGGTGGTGTACCACCAGGGCCCTACGGCTATGCAGCTATGTATGCTGCACCTCACCCTGGCATGGCCCAAGGCGTTGCAGGGGCAGTGGCCCCATCCCCTTACGGTTACCCACCTCCTCAATCGGTACGCTCTTTTCAGATTTAGTGACGAACATGCCTGCCCCTCCTGCTGCTGCTGCTGCTGCTGTTGCTATTACTGCTAACTACATCCAACTCATTGAGCCGTGTCTTCCTCCACTAATCCCCTTCTCTTCGCTAATCTCCCCATCTCCAGGCGGACGGCTCTGAGGTGCCAGCAGCAGCAGCGATGATGGGAATGACCCCGATGGGCCCCATGGCCATGCCAGCAGCACAGGGCTACCCCGGGATGCCCATGGACTACTCCCATGATGCCATGGCTGCTGCTGCCGCTGCCGCCGCCGCCGCCAGTGCTGCCGGCGGGGCTCCTGCTGCTGGGTCGGCCCCACCAGCAGCTGCCGCGGCGCCTGCTGCGCCTGCCGCCCAAGCTGCCCCTTCGAAGCGCAAACGGTCGTCTCAGCAGTCACATGGTCAAGATGGCGCTCTTGCTACCACTGGAGGGACGAGCCTCGCCCATCCGCACGCCCAGGCGGCTCCAGGCTCGGGCCAAGCCTTAGCCCTAGCGTCAGGCTCGGCGGGAGAGTACACGTCCATGCCTTCAAGCCCGTCTGAAGGCCCGTCTGCTTCGGCAGCAGCAGCTGCTGCTGCTGCTGCGGGTGCTGGTGGGGGCGGTCATGCTGCTGGTGGGGGAGCAAGAGGGAGCGTGGGTGGCGGAATGGCGTATAACCCCATGGGTGCGTCTGCTGCGGATATGTGGACTGGCGCTGCTGCTCCTGCTGCTGTGGTGCCGCCGCCCTCCCTGGGGCAGGGCGTTGGGGGGAAGCTGGGGGCACGAGCGGTAGGGGCACGGGCAGGAGGGGATGGGGGCGACGTGGGGGGGAGTCTGATGTACCAGGTGCCGTTTCGCGGGGTGAGAATTCCCCGCTGTGCTTTCGTTTCCTCCTCCTTGTTTGTTCTCTTTGGCTCGTTGTGGTTCCTCCTGTCGCGCACGCTGGAGTGATACGATGCTTTTGGGTGCCTCACCACATGTGTTCCTGCTAATGTGTGCTTCTCTCCGTGGTGGTTCGCAGGACGAGAGGGAGGTGAAGAGGCAGAGGCGGAAGCAGAGCAACAGGGAGAGTGCGAGGCGGTCGCGGCTGAGGAAGCAGGCAGAGTGTGACGAGCTCATAGCGCGGCAGACCGCTGTGCAGATGGAAAACATGGGGCTAGCCGCGGTATGTACCCACTTCCCTCTCCCCTCTTCCCTCCTCCCTCTCCCCCCTCCCCTTTCTTTAATTGCTGCTCGCCACACGAAGCAGAGAGACCATCTGAACGCCAGGTTCTGTCTATCTTTCTTCTCCCTTTCAACTTTTCCGTTTTCACGTTGCCGTTTCTCTGCTGACAGGAGCTAGCAAAGGTGCGGGAGCAGTACGCCTCCCTGTGTGCTCAGAACGCCCAGCTCCGAACCATGGTCAGTCAGCTGCACTGCCCTGCCCTCATCCTTTTCTTCCCCACTTTCGCTTCCTTTATTCTCCACGGTCTAAATTCCCTTGCCTGGTGCCTCATCAGCACCACCTTTCATCCCGCATGCTGCTGTGCACCACGTTCCCATGTTGCCCTCTTCGCCTCCCCACCACGTCTTCATTCCTCTGTTTCCCATTCCTCCCGCCCGTTCCTTGTCTTTTCCACCCAATCAGCTTCAAGAATCGGGCATAGACCCATCAGCAGAAGGAGCGGCCTTCCCACCAGCATCGTACAACCCAATGCACAAGTATCAGCTAACCTCCGTACCACCCAGTACCGCTCATGCACCACCACCACCGCACGAGCCTTCAACTGCCCCTCCCCCTGCTCTTCCTCCCCCCTCTTCATCAGCACTTGAACCCCTACAACCCGCCTCTCCTGCCCTTCTCCCTGCTCCTCCCTCTGCGCCTCATTCTGTCTCTGTTGCTGCTCCTTACCTGCCTGGGAAACCCGAGCCTGCACCCCTTCCTGCTCCGGGGCCCCTTCCGGAAGCAGCACCCGAGCCTGCGCCCGAGCCTGTACCAGAACCTGCACTGGAGCCTGTACCCGAGCCTGCGCCTGAGCTTGTGCTTCAAGTTCAGGTACCCGAGCCTGAATTTGTAGGTCCCGTGCCAGGTTTGGCAGAGGAGCAGCAGCTGGTGTTGCCAGGGGGGGAGGAACCAGGGTTGGGAGGCGGGATGGGGGGGGAAGGTGGAATAGTAGTGCTGGGGGTCCAAGGGGGGAGTGAGGGGTTAGAATCTGGTCATGGCGATAAGCTACAAGCAAGGGTGGAGAGAGAGCAGGGAGGGGAAGTACCTCATACGGTGGAGGGCGCTGAGGCAGGGGCAGGCGCAGAGGCAATGGCTGGGATGGTGGAGGTGCAAGAAGGGGTGGCACAGGTAGGGGACGAGATGAACGTGCAGGTGACGCAACAGGCGGAGCAGGAGGAGCATGGAGTGGCGTTTGATCAGGGGAAAGAGGAGGAAACTGCAGCATGGGAGGATCGGAAAGAGGAGGAGGCGAAGGAGCAGCAGCAGCAGCAGCAGCAGCAGCAGCAGCAGCAGCAGGAACAGCCAGAAATGGGGCAGCAGTCTGAGCAGCATGAGCAGCAGCTAGAGCAGCATAAGGAAGAAGAGGTGGTTGGTGCTGGAGGGGAGGAGATAAGAGAGGTGGACGGGGGGAAGGATGGAGCAGCAGAGGAGGGTGGAAGGCATGAGGGTGCCCCATTGGTGGGCGGGGAGGAGCAGCAGCCTGTTGGAGACAACAATGAGAGCGGCCAAGGGGTGGCTGAGACAACTGAGACTGCACAGGGGCAGGATGGTGGAGGGATGGCGGAGGCGCAGCAAGAGAAGCCTGAAATTGAAGCCAAGGAACCAGACGGATTGGCAGTTGCAGATGAGGGTGGGGCAGGGAACGAGCATGAGCATCACCTGAGTGATGGGACGGATCATGGGGTCTCTGAGCCGCCTCAGCCAGTGGAGGAAGGGACAAAAGAGCAAGGAGAGGGTCTGAAGGCTGCAGCGGGTTATGCTGTTGGTGCGGGAGTAGGTGCAGAGCCTCCCCTAGAAGCAGCAGCTGCAGCGGCGGCGGCAGCAGAGGGGGAGGAAACAGAGATGGTAGATGCTAGTGCAGCTGAAGGATCAGCAGGTGAAAAGGAGAAGCAAAGGAGGGGTGAGACTGATTTAGTAGGTAGAGACAGAGAAGGCTCCAAGGTTGGTGAAGAAAGCACGGAGGTTGGTGTAGGTGCAGCAGGAACGGAGGAGCAAGAGGGAATCAAGGATGGTTCAGTTGCAGGCACAGCTGTGATGGTACCAACGAGTATTGGTGAAGCCATAGCTGGGGATGTACCTGCTGAGGCCTGTAAAGGTGCTGAGGCTGCGCCAGTGGCTGATGAACATGCAACACCAGTGGAGGGTGCTGCAGGGGAGGGCGTTACTGGAGAGGGTACCACTAAGGCGGGTGTTGCTGTGGAGAGTGGTGCAGGGGAGGGTGCTGTAGAAGCAACGGAGGGGAAAGAGGTGGCAGGGCCAGAGGCCGCAGGTGGGAGTAAGGGTGAAGCTGAGGAGGTGAGGGAAGTTGGGGCTCCAAAAGGCCTAATGGCGGAGCTAAGTGTTGATGGTGGGATTCGGAGTGTGGAGAATGGTAGCCATACACTATCAGGTGAAAGGACAGATGTTGAAATGGGAGACACGAAAGATGTCTAGGGGTACCACCCAATTATCTGGGTTGTGCAATTGCAAAAGGGGGTAGATAACGCAGGGGCAATCTTGATTCTGTGGGCTGTTCTGGTACTCATGCTGATATTGACTGAGACGGCACTAGTTGAACCGTTAAGATGCAATATGTATATTATGTCTCTGCTGTACTGTTTCATGTAAGTGGATGAACACCACCAATCATTTCGTAGAGAAGCCATAACGCCCTAGAGGTTAGGAAGCTTAGAACCCATTAATTCTATCATAATTCTCAACCTTCATTTTCTAGATCAAGTTTGTATAAACGACTGCTTACAACGCTTTTATCTCAAACTATCACTGGAGTTGGGCCCCCCAACCAGGTGCGGGGGACAATCACCGTGACCTGTGATGAACCAACTCCGCCGAACCTTCCGCAAAACCCCGACTCCTTTGCCCCCAATCGCCACATTCTCGTGCTTCTCCGCGCGCGGAGCACCACAAATTGGCACAGCGGGCGGAGCTTCAGAGAGAAGGAGGGGTGGGGGAGGGGAAACCGCTAGGGTTTCATCATGGCTCCGCACTTACCTCATTTTCCCTTTCCCTTCCTGCAATACTCGCTAATCTTCCTCTCGCTAGACCTCTGCTGCCGCCTGCCCTTGTCGGCACCGCCTCTTAAACCGAGTGCTAGCGCTTCCTGTCAACATGGTGAGCCCCGCGTCGCGATGTTTTAGTCGTCTATATATTAGATAGTGCCCAGGGGAAGTGCATCTCTCAATATATGATGATGTATCTTAGAGGTTTAGTGGGGAGTTTAGCAGTTAGAAGGTCAGCGTCCATTTCTGGGTGATACTAGCCCGTAACAGTGGTTGCAACCACGTGATCCCCTGATACGAACGCATTTGTCGCTGTGCTGATTAGTTTACTTAACGCACTCAGATCGCGCCTGGTTACCCCTCTATTCCTGCCGTGTACATCGTCGTTTCCGTCGTCGCGCTTTCCTCTCTCTTTTCCGTCACCGTCGTTTACCTCCGTTCGATGGCTGTCACATTCGCTGTTATTCCCCGTCATTTGCTGCCATTTGCAGTGCCGTCGCTGTTCAACGTATTTTCACGTCATAATTACCTCTCTTACGACCGTCGTGTGCAGGACTCCCCAATGAAGCTGGCGATTGTGGAGAAGGTGGTCGGCCGCACGGGGTCCCGCGGTCAAGTCACGCAAGTGCGCGTGAAGTTCATCGATGAGGATCGCTACATCATGAGGAACGTCAAGGGCCCCGTGCGCGTAGGTGTGTAACATTAAAGCGGGTGTGTGACAATATAGCGAGGTGATTGGAGTGGTGACTCACCTCGCGTGAAGTTCACGGACGAGGACCGTTAGATCATGAGGAACGTCAAGGGCCCCTTGCGCGTAGGTGTGTGACAGTAACGCGAGGTGACTGTAGATTCGACTGAGAGCTTACGCAGGTGCGCGTGAAGTTCCACAATGAGGACATCTATATCACGAGGAACGTCAAGAACCCCGTGTGAAAAGTTGTGTGACTGTAGCGGCCCCGTGCGCCAAGGTGAGTCGCAGCAGCATTGGCGTATGAGTCACGATGTAGAGGTTAGGGTTTCCCAAACGCCCACGTATGCTGCATAGCGATCCCTGCTGGCGTATGAGATCGCTTCATTCCACCCTGTCTGGTAGTCTGGACGAGAGCCTATGACACCTCGTTTGGTTGCTGCAGCAGCTTTTCATTGGGCCCTTTTCACGACAAGGGTAGTCATTACAGCTGATTTGGATGGACGATGGGAGTCATTGCATCGGGTTTGGACGAGTGTAGTCATTACAGCCAGATCACTGGGTATTTTCTTAGTCGACCTCTCTCGAGCAGGCGGGTTATTCCGCGAGCAGTAACTCTTACCTTCATTCAGCATTGCAGCCTGCCATATCTGGCGTAAGCAACCAGATGGTATTTTTAACAGTTATTTACCAATTACGTCCGGTCCTCCGCGCGTTGGGTTGATTACTAAGGGGATGATCGTGGTCGCACCAGGTGATCTGATCGTTAAAGTGTTCGGTGTAATTCCCCTGACCGTTCAGTCTACCGTTCCTATCCCGTTTCTGAATTGTCCGGGAATGTGTGCGATCTTGGCAGAGTGCTCAGCAAGCTTCTGCAGAAGGTATCTTCAGATGGCCTTGTGATGGGGTTGATTTCACTTTAATTCCGATTTTCTGTGTCCTACCCCATTACTGTTATCACTGCCATCATTGTCGCAGGAGACGTCCTCACCCTCATGGAATCCGAGCGTGAGGCCCGGCGGCTGCGTTAATCGAACCTCTTCCCAGTTTCTTGCAGCCGTTGGATCAGCTGTATGTGAACCAACAGCAGACGTCCGTTGTTCTGAGAGCGTCAGTTGCCTGGTTGCGGTGTTACAAAGCTGCTCGATATGGGGCTTCGTCTCTAGTGCGCTGCTGCAATGTCGCATGTATGCTTTTATTAGTGCCAGCATGTTACATGTCCTCTCCATGTCACGGATTTCATCTCACTGGTTGATGTACATCAGTGGTGATCCGTTTATGAAGGCTACAAACGAAGATCACTAACAATCACTAAGCCACTACAATCTGTGTTGTCACCTAACGTGTCTGTTCCCATTTACTGCTCCACCAAGCCTACACACAGCCAGCACCGAGATGCCCAGCACTAGAATGAGAACAGAGAGCAGAAGAAACATCCGGAGGCTTGCTGGCCACAGCAGCCTCTGGAGGGACAGTGATGGTACCAAAATTGACATTGGGCCATGCAGTGACGATGGAGTTTTTGAGGAGACAGAGCTGACGGAAACTGATTGCACCCACTGCTGCACTGGTCGCTCTCCCATCCATCTCTCCATCAGTAGCTGCGTCCTGCTGGCAAAAGGTTGCAAAGCAACACCTTTCACTGCTCCCCTGCCACTAGTGATCCTGTTTTTGACCTCCTGGGCCTCATCTAATGTAGCTGAGCTCTTGCTGTCTTCCTTATCGGTGTCAGCTTCAACCCATTCACTCAGTGCCTCTTCCTCTCCATCCCCCAGATTGTCATCTTCGTCATCCTGAATGGACTGGTCTTGCTGTTGTCGTGCATACAATGGTTCCTGCTGCCGATGCCCCGATCCCTGAAGCTCCTGAAACTTTTCCATCAGTGGCCATTCCTGCTGTTGCCGCTGCTGCTGCTGCAATAGTTGTTGCTGCTGTAGCAACCACTGAAACAGCCTGTGGACCAGCTTCCTCACAGCAGCAAAGGCTCTAAACATCCACTGCACCCCAGAGCAGAAAAGCATAGTTGGGTTAGCAAGAGGTTTGGATGTATCAGGGACGTTGATGGTTTGGCCTGGAACCAGCTTGCCAAGCGTCAGGCTCGGGTTGGCTCGGGAGAGGTCCGTCAGCGAGACTCCATACCTGCGAGCGATCAGCGCTCCCCATTCTCCTCTCTGAACCACGTGCCTTGTGCTGCTGCACTGCAGACGCACCTTTCCCAACCCTGGAAACTTGCTAGTTAGTGGGAAGGCCTCCGCTGTAGCTGCATCACAACCATCACCATGTGTCTGCATGATACAAGGCGTCTGATTATACAAGCCTGGGCCCTTGCTCCAAGTACCACCACCGCTATCATGCTTCAATTCCATGGCGTTACCCCAATGGAAAGCCTCCCCAGCCTCAATTACCTTAACCTGGGAGTTCCAAGTCACTTGCGCAGCAGAAGGGATGATACTTGCAGGGGTTACCCCTCTGGTTACCATGGAAGCTGGCCCGATCACTCGCACCTGGGCGCCGGTAGCAGCAGCCTCATACAGGTCCCACTCGTCCGCTGGAAACAACCCCACCTCCACCGGAAATGCAGTGGCGCTGCTCACGTTGCCCTCATTCCTCTCGCTGCTCCCGTTGCTCTCGGTACGACTCAAGGTGCTCCTGTTGTTCTCGCTGATTTCGCTGCTTCCCCTGCCAACCATGAGCGAGTTTTGGTACAAAGGCGGCGTCTGTGGGGATTTAATCGGCCTTCGACGGCATCCATCGAGTCTCGGAGTTGTTGGCTCGATCTCCATCGTTTTCCCTGCAGCTGATGGTCCATGGGCCAATGTGGAGCTCGTGTGTTTGTATGGAATGCTCCGCAACTGATGGGTCTTGCGGTAAAAGATTAAAAATATGGAGGGTTTGTATAACGGGCGTTCTCCGTTTGGCTGGAGCGGGGTTGCAAGTAATAGGCTAGGCGGAGTTTGTACAGGTACTGGTAGTAGCCATGGACCCATCATGTCCGCACAGGGAGGTATTTGGCATAGAAAATCTCCACAGAATCAGCCTATGCTAGAGGAACATATTATACGGCGTAGATTATTCATACAGTGGATATGAAAAAAACGGCTTGCTGAGAATGAGGAACCACGATTTAGGATCGAAGGAGGCCCTGAAGTCGGATCTCAGCCAGACGCAGAAGCGGTCCTGCTGTGTATGGGCTTGAGGGTTTGAGGGGAAACAAATTCAGTGGATGGACATTCCGAGTCGGAATGACGAGGTTGATGTGATGGGATTGAGCACATTGCGACTCGGGTTTTGTGATTGTGATGGGTTGTGAAAAGAGGGAGTTGAAATATTGAAGCGTGAAGTGCGGAAAGGCCAGGATAGATTCGTTGAAAGGAGATCGATGTGATGGACGTCTCAGATCTCGGCAAAGACTCGCATCACCAATTTTGGAATGTGGATATATTCTATTTAGAGGGATTCGACAATATAACAGTACTTTGAAAGACAGCGAGGTACAGTTTTGGGCCACTTACGAAATCCCTCATTCCCTCAGGTCAAATCTGAACCTGGACACTCACTGTAGGGTCATCATGCCTACTGAAGCTCCCTAGGCTTCATTTGACTCCAGCAACTCTACGGATTCCTAGCCTTACGGTGCGAGTACTTCTCGCGAGAAGGTTCTTTTTCGGCAGCGGACGAATCTATGGCTAATACGCTCTGCTGTCGAGGTCCTCTTGTAAGGAGTCTCTCGGGGTACGTTCCTCTCCTTACGCTGCTCATTCCAGTTTCGGCTAGCACCGTCCGTTTCTTCGTCCGCGATGCAGTGACATACTAATTTACTCTCTCATTCGTCTCGTTGCGCTTTCCTCGCTACTTTAATGCTGGCGTTGACTCCTCCACGTGGCAGGCTCCAACTGGGTAATCAGTTGCGACGGGAGGCAACGGTAAATAATATCCTCAACCGCAGATTACCTTCTCGGACCGCACTGAATGCTGCTGCATCTCCGCGCTGTAATCGAAGCTCCTTGAAGTCACATACCACGCGTTGTGAGGCTGCAGAGAGCTTCAACGCCTCCAGATCGGAAGCGGGATCAAATCCACGGCTCTCCGTGTTCGGATCTCCCCGTCCTTCCATCCTGCAGAATACTACTGGTTTGTTTCCGTTGCCGAGTCTTATATTCCGTAGAATGCGCGTGCTCTGCCTCCCTCAACCCCCTCACCGCCAGCACACCCTCTCACTTCCCGCACTTCCCCTCACTTCCCGCACCTCCCCTCACTTCCCGCTCCTCTCCTCACTTCTCGCTCCTCCCCTCACTTCCCGCTGCTCCCCTCGCTTCCCGCACCTTCCCTCACTTTCCGCTGCTCCCCTCACTTCCCGCACCTCTCCTCACTTCCCGCATCAACCACCTCACCCCCCTAACCTTCCGAACTCTCCCTCTCCTCGCTCGGAATACAAGCGCTCGAATTTGCTGTTTATGTGCTTCATGCACTTTCGGATGCTCCTTCAATTCCTCTCCTCTTTATCCCTTGTTGTCCTCTCACCCGCACACTTCCTCTCACCCGCGCACTTCCTCTTACCCGCACGCACCCTCCCATCCAACTCCATCCCTACCTCGCACCCTCCTTTCTCATCCTCTTTCTCTCTTTCCAACCCTTTCGTCTCAATCCTCCCTCTCCTCTCTCCCGCCCGCAGCTCACACCCCTCTGCACATCGCCAGGGCGCGCAGGGGGTTTCTCTCGGAGCTGCAATCAATCAAAGATGAGGAAAACGTTGGTCAGTTCTGTTCCCCTCGCTCCTCTGTCTTTATCTGCTGCTCATGCATGTGTCCTCTATCCATCAATTCAGTGCTTACTGCATTCAGATACCTTTATTTCCTCTCATTTGCTTTGGTTTGTACCTCCACATAGTCATCCGATTAATCACATGCCCTCTTTACTCAATCCCTATTCGCCAATTCGTCTCTCCATCCACCTGTTCAGCGGGACCCATATCGTTTGTTTCACCCCTTGACGTCGTGCTGTATCCCTTCTCCCCCTTTATCACTTGTGCAGCAGGCCCCATATCGTATGAGTCGCCCCTGGACATAGTGCTGTATCCGGACCCGCGCTTGAGGGCGCCCAACAAGCGAGTGACCTCTGTTCAAGGTCATTCCGTGATTTGATTGACCCCTCTCTGTCCCCTCTCCGTCCACTGATGCAGCTGGCCCCATCGCCTATGAGTCGCCCCTGGACATAGTGCTGTATCCGGACCCGCGCTTGAGGGCGCCCAACAAGCGCGTGAACGTCTTTGATGAGTCGCTGCAGAAGCTTGTAGCGGAGATGTTCGATGTCATGTACAGGTGAGGGTTTCATGGCCTGTACAGGTGAGCATGTCATGTCAAGTACAAGTGAGCGTTTCATGTCATGTACAGGTGAGCGTGTCATTGACAGCCCCCCTCCTATCCCACTCTCCCCCTCTTCCTCCCCACCTCACTCTCTCGCCCTTCCTATTCCCCCCCTCCTCTTCTCCCTGTTGTTGTCAGGGCGGAGGGGATGGGGTTGTCAGCGCCACAGGGGGGGTGAATGTGCGGCTAATGGGGAACAAGTACTCGGTCAACTGTCAATCCCCGCATTGTCGCCAAGGCGCGAGACATCAATGCGCCTTGATGTCAATAAGGACCTTTTTAGTTTCCTCCACGTAACCTTCTCCCGCCCCCCCACTCCCCCTCTCTCCCCACCTCTCTCTCCCCACTCCCAATTCCCCTGCTCTCCCCCTCCTTGCTCTCCCTTCATGCGGGCAGGACGGAGGGCGTGGGGCTGTCAGCGCCACAGGTGGGCGTGAACGTGCGCCTGATGGTGTACAACCCGGTGGGCGAGAGGGGCAAGGGTGTTGATATAGTGCTCTCCCCTCTCCCCACTCCCCCCACCACGCCCCCCGTCCCCATCTCCCCTTGCACGTGTCTCATGCGGGCAGGACGGAGGGCGTGGGGCTGTCAGCGCCACAGGTGGGCGTGAACGTGCGCCTGATGGTGTACAACCCGGTGGGCGAGAGGGGCAAGGGTGTTGATATAGTGCTCTCCCCTCTCCCCACTCCCCCCACCACGCCCCCCGTCCCCATCTCCCCTTGCACGTGTCTCATGCGGGCAGGACGGAGGGGGTGGGGCTGTCAGCGCCACAGGTGGGGGTGAACGTGCGCCTGATGGTGTACAACCCCGTGGGCGAGAGGGGCAAGGGTGTGGAGATGGTGCTGGTCAACCCGCGCATTGTCAAGTACGCCAAGGCACGGGACGTTATCGAGGAGGGGTGCCTCTCGTTCCCTAAGATGTACGCTGACGTCGAGGTGAGTGTGTCAGTTTTAGGAGTTCTGCAGACTTGAACATAGTATTTGTCTGTCGTTTATGCTGGTGCTAGTAGGATGGAGCCTGATTGCGTTGGTGTGTGTGTGGGTTTATTTGTTTATTTGTATGTTTTCTACTATCTATGCTGTTTGCAGCGGCCAATGGGTGTGAAGGTGGATGCTCAGGATATCGACGGCCGGAAATTCAGCATCAGTCTGAAAGAGTGGCAGGCACGCATATTCCAACATGAGTACGATCACCTGGAGGTATGCCTCGTGACTCAGCAGAGAGGACCTTTGATTCGCTTATTGTGTGAGCCGAACACAAATGAGCCTTTTTAGTCTGAATAAGGTGACGTTGGCTGAGAGTGTTACATGCTGATGTTTGTTTTGTTTTCAGGGGACCCTTTACTTTGATCGAATGACCCCGGAAGTTCTCGACACTATTCGCAGCAAGCTCATCGTAAGTAGTCGATTCTCGCTTGCATATATGCTGCCTTTTGCACTGCAATATTTTTTAAAATAACGGGTGATAAACCTGTCGTATGCTGCAGGATCTGGAGGACAAGTATGCTGAAGCCACTGGTGCTCCACCGCCCGAGTCGGTTGCTAAAAGACCAGTTGCTACCAATACTGATGCGACATCGGCAGTTTCTTCATGACCGGTTCACTGATGTGTATCTGTGTATCTGTCGCTGAATAAATGTCATGTTTGTCATGTATAAGAGTTTTTTTGGACAAACAAAATGTACTGCACTCATTCCGCCAATCAAATGGTGGGGCTTCAAATTTCTTCCTTCAAGTTGAACAGCTCCAGCTTATTTTACTCTAATTGCTGACTGTCTTGGCCAAAGCTTGCATTGCTGCTTCCGGCAATATCTAGGCCAGCTCTGGTGTAGGCTGCCATTTCCGTGTTTCTTCGACAGCCAGACTTGAGTCTCCTGCCTGTCCGCTATCCCTCCGTAACGCAATGGGCCCGGACGAGCGTCGCGTGGGGAAGCGCGACGATGAGGAGGCGGAGCGGCGCGGCGAGGAGGACCCGTGGGACGACGACGAGTCGAGCGACGAGGAGGAGGGCGACGATCGGCGAAAGTGGAAGCGAAACATGCCGTTGCTGTACGACTGGTTCGCCAACCACCACCTCGTCTGGCCGTCGCTCTCCTGCAGGTTAGGACCCAACCAAGGCGTTTCTTATGATAGCCCTTGTTTGTAGACGTCAACGGAATAGGCTTAGTTCCATGAAAAGTGATTTCCGTTCAATAATGTTCACTATTCCTCGAATGGCGACCCCTAATTTCGCTCACCCTGTAACTACCTCAAAGGCCCTCCGCCTTCCCTATCCAACTTATGTTTTCGCATACGCGTGCGACGGCAGGTGGGGTCCATTGGTGGAGGACCGCACGCATAAGTACAAGCGACGCCTCTACCTCTCCGAGCAGGTGCGTTTTTTTGTTTGTTTGTTTGTTTTTTATTTCCCTGGTACTGACCAAACTTTTTTTTTTCTCCCGGGTTGATACTTCCCTTCATGTCATTCTTGTGATTTTGTTGTTGTTAGTCTCTCGCCCTGTCCAACCATTCTTGTACCTTCTGTTCCCTCCCGCTTTTCCCCGAAACCCCCCCCTCCCCACCCCCACATCCTCCCCCACCCCACCTCCTCTCTTCACCCTCACCCCCTCACCCTCTCCCCCCTCACCATCTCCCCCCTCACCATCTCCCCCCTCACCCTCTCCCCCCTCACCATCTCCCCCCTCACCCTCTCCCCCCTCACCCTCCCCTCACCCTCCCCTCACCCTCCCCTGCCTCTCCACACCCTCCTCGCCCCTCGCATTCATTCTTAACGTGCAAAACCGCAATCTCTAACGTCCCTTGTGTCTCTGAAACCGCGTAACACACTCTCCCTTTCCGTCCGAACCCCATAATCAGACGGACGGCACAGTGCCCAACACCCTTGTGGTCTCCAACGCGTATGTCGTCAAGCCTCGTGTCGCCGCCCCTCGGGATATCTGCCAGGTAGGCTATGCTGTGATGGTGCATGCATGGGTGGTGCATGCATGTCACGGATGATGATGGTGCATGCATGTCACGGATGATGATGGTGCATGCATGGGTGGTGCATGCATGGCACGGATGATGATGGTGCATGCATGGCACGGATGATGATGGTGCATGCATGGCACGGATGATGATGGTGCATGCATGGCATGGCAATGGTGATGCGTGCATGGAGTAGCAGTTATGGCAGATAACTCTGCATCGATTGGCCGTGGAACTTTCCGTCCTCTTTTTATCGGCGGGCCCACCCAACCCCCTCCCCACCCTTCGCCCATGTGCAGTTCAAGTACGACAGGCGGTCGCCCTTTGTGCGCAAGTTCAAGACCATCGTGCATCCGGGCGAGGTGAATTGCATCCGAGAGCTCGTGCCTCTTTCCCTCTCCTTCCCCTCCCCCGCTCCCTCCTTCCCCCCCTCCCTCCTCCTTCCTGTCCTCCCCCTCAATTCGTGGCAGTTCAAGCACGACAGGCGGTCGCCCTTTGTGCGTAAGTTTAAGAGACGATCGTGCACCCGGGCGAGGTGAACCACAACGACCAAGTGCCTCTTCCCTCTCCCCCACTCCGCCCTTGCTCCTTCCCCTCCCCTCCCCTCACACCTCCCTGGCAGTTCAAGTACGACCGGCGGTCACCCTTTGTGCGCAAGTTCAAGACCATCGTGCATCCGGGCGAGGTGAACCGCATCCGGGAGCTGGTGCAGAACCGCAACATCATCTTCACACACACCGACAGCCCTGACGTGCTCATGTGGCACGTGGAGCGGCACCCCTTCTGCACTCCCTCCTTCAACAGTCCCGCCTCCACTCCTGACCTGGTACGCGGCACGGGGTCAAGGCAGAGGAGATGAGTGAAGGGCACGAGAGCTGGTGCAGAACCGTAACAGATTGTTCACGCACACTAACAGCCAGCCGTGACGTCCTGATGTGGCATGTGGAGCGCCGCCAACCTTACACGCCTTCGTTCAACATGCCTGCTCTGCTCCATTCCCTCTCGATCCCCGTTACCTCCCTTACCTTCCCCGTTCCCCCTTCTCTTACGCACGTCAGATCCTGGTGGGGCACACGGAGGATGCGTAGTTTGCAATGGAAGAGGCAGCAATGCTTTCTGTCCATGCCCCCTTTTCCCTCACTCCTCACCATCCTCCCTCGCCCGCACCCACACCTGTCAGATCCTGGTGGGGCACACACACGGACGATGCCGATTTTGCATCTCTCGATCTTTCTCTCTCCCCCTACCTCCCCTTTCTGCCTCCAACGTTTCCCTGGTCTCCTCCCACCTCTCCTGCGCCCACACCTGTCAGATCCTGGTGGGGCACACGGAGGATGCGGAGTTTGCAATGGCGACCAGCCCGGTGGATCTGTGGGCACTCCAAGCCCCCTTCGCTGTCACACTTCTCTCTGTCCCTCGCTCTCCTGCGCCCACACCTGTCAGATCCTGGTGGGGCACACGGAGGATGCGGAGTTTGCAATGGCGACCAGCCCGGTGGCCCCGCTGGTGATCAGCGGGGGCAAGGACCACAACGTGCTGCTCTGGAACGTGGCGGACCACGTGACGTCGCTGCAGGTGAGACACCTGCAGTGCGGAGCGCTTGTAAAACAGGGGCCACTTGGGGATTAACGGCAGCGAGGACCACAACCGCTGCTCTGGGGATCAGGGTTTACCCCTCTGGAACGTTGCGAACCGTATCTTATAGCTGCAGATGAGCCAGCAGGGCCACGCTGTGCGGTACGATGGCAATGCTACACTGCTGCTGTCAAATCGAGCAACCCTTGCTGCTCTTACCCTCCCTTCCCTGTTCTTTCGAACCTCCTCTTGTCCTTCCTGCCCCCGTCATTGCAGTCATCCGCAGCTCTCCGCAAGCCCCACCCCGCCGCCAAGCCGAAAACCAAGGCAGCTGCTGCGCCCTCCGCGCCTTCCCGCGCTGCCCCCTCTGGCCCCCTTTCCTCCCGCGCCCGTGCTGACTCCCCTGCTCGTAGCGGGGGGAGAGGCGGGGGTGGGGATGGGGGAAGCACGGTAGGGGATGCGGAGAAGAAAAGGAAGCGGGAAGTGGGAGTGGGAAAGGAAGAGGAAACGAAGGAAGGGGAGAAGGAGGATGGTGGAGGGGAAGGGGAGAAGAGAGGTAAAGGATTGGAAGGGAGCAGTAAGAAAGTGGAGAAGGAAGAGGAGGGGGGAGGGGAGGGCAAGCAGGAGGAGGCGAAAAAGGAGAATGAGGAGAATGAGGAGAAGGAGGAGAAATTGGAGGAAGATAATGTGGAGGAGGGAGAGAAGAAGGTAGTGAAGGAAGAGGAGGGGAAAGGGAAGGGGGAGGATGGGGAAGAGAAGGAAGGGGAGGAGAAGGAGGAGGGGGAGGGGAAAGAAAAGGAGGTTGAGGGAAAAGAGAAGGAAGAGGGTGCGAAGGTAGAGGAGGAGACTAAGGAGAAAGGTACCGAGGGAGAGGTGAAGGTTGTGGAAGGGGAGGGGAAAGCAGAGGAGGGGGCAGAGACGAAAGAAGCGGTGGAGGGGAAGAAACGTTTAGAAGCGAAAGAGGAAGCAGAAGAAAAACTAGGGACAGAGGCCAAAGAAGAAGAGGGGACAGAGGCGAAAGAGGGGGGAGGGGCAGGAGAGGAGTCAAAGGCACAACCCACTGGAGCAGATGCTGACGTGGAAATGGCAGATGCTGACACTGCTGCTGCTGACGCTACTGCTGTTGCTGCTTCTAATGCTGATGCTGGTAAGGATGTAGTTACTGCAGGTGGTGTTGCTGATACTGATCATGCTGCTGTGCCTGGTGCAAAAGCGGAGGAAGGGAGTGACGAGAAGACAGGCAATGGCGAGGAGGGGAAGGCAGTGCAGGAAGGAAAAGAAGCTGAGACGGTGAAGGCAGCTGAGACAGGGGAAAAGGAGGAGACAGATACGGAGAAGGTAGAGGGGGAAATAGGGAAGGAAGTAGCGGCAGGGGGAGGGGAGGAGGCAGGGAGCAAGAGTGAAGCAGGGAAGAAAAAGGGTGGTGATGATGCTGAAATAACTGCCTCCGCTGCTCCTGCGGGTGCAGATGCAGATGCGCCCTCAGAGGCATTGAAAGAGAGTGAGGGCATGGACGTGGATAAGACAGGGGGAGAGGAGGGCGAGGGAGGGAGGAAGAGTGATGCGGTTGGGAGTGAGAAGGCAGGGGGGGAAGAGGGTGAGGAAGCTGGGGGAGGGAGCAAGGAGGGGAAGGAGGAGAAAGCAGTTGAGGAAAAGAAAGAGGGGAAAAGCAAGGAGGAAGACGGAACAACTGACGGGGCACCAACAGGAATGGTCATTGACGAGGCAACTGGTGGTGCTGGTGGTGCTGGTGCTGCTGGTGATGATGAAGCAGAGACAGATGCACACGTTGCAAGCAAGCCCACTGGTTCAACCCGGTCCTCCTCCCCCTCCCCCCCCATCAAGCTCGGATCCACCCCGAAACGCACAAGCCTGGCTCCCCGGGGGGTGTTCAAGGGGCACACAGCGACTGTGGAGGACGTGTGCTTCCACCCCTCGCACTCCCAGCAGTTCTGCTCCGTGGGCGACGACTCGAGACTGCTGCTGTGGGACGCACGGACAGGCGGAGAGAAGGGCCCGTGTCAGAGGGTGGAGAAAGTGCATGATAGTGATGTTCACTGTGTGGATTGGAATGGGAGGAATGAGAATCTGGTGGTGACTGGGGGCGCGGATAAGAGCGTGCGGTTGTTTGATGTGAGGAAGCTGGGGGCAGGGCCGGTGGGGAAGGTGGAGGGCGAGGCGAGGGGGAAGGCGAAGGCCACGCATGCGTTCCGCGGAGGGCACCAGGCAGCTGTGCTGTCCGTGCAGGTGAGTTTTGAGGTGCCTCAAAATTGCAGGTAGGAGACGACCTTTGAGGTGCAGAGAGACGACCTTTGAGGCGCCTCAAATGGGGGAGGGCGAAGGCTACGCATGCGTTTCGCGGAGGGCACCAGGCAGCTGTGCTGTCCGTGCAGGTGAACGGTGCAGTTGGTATGGTGAGTGGTGCTTGGAATGGTTGTGATTTGACAACCTTTCGCTGCTTGTACGCCTGCTGTGGTGTCCCGACAGCCCCACGGTATTCGCCAGCTGTGCAGAGGACGGGCTGGTCAACAACTGCCGATAATAAATTTCCCTTCTCACCGCTTTCCACCGCGCTTACTCTCTTCCTCTGCCCTTTGTGCAGTGGTGTCCCGACAGCCCCACGGTATTCGCCAGCTGTGCTGAGGACGGGCTGGTCAACATCTGGGACTGCTCCCTGGTGAGTGTTAGTTGGACCACAGGCGCCCCTCATGGTCTTTCCCCTTCTCTGATTTCAACCCCATGCCCCCTCCTCCGCCCACCACCCGAACCGCCCCCGTCCCCCTCCTCACCACGCGAACCCCTCTCCTCTGTGCCTTTCCTGCGCCTCCCTGCGCCCCCTTTCGTCCCTGTGCACCCCCCTGCACCCCCCTGCACCCCCCTGCACCCCCCTGCCCCCCTTACGCCCCTCCTGCACCATCAGTTGCATGTGGAGGCGGTGAAGTCGTCTCGAGCTGACGGGGTGCCGCCCGGACTGCTCTTCCAACACGTGGGCCACCAGTGAGTGCTGCCCTCATGCCTCCTCCCCTCATATCTCCTGCCCTCATGCCTCCTGCCTTCCTGCTTCCTGCCGTCATCCTTCTTGCTTCCTGCCGTCATCCTTCCTGCTTCCTGCCGTCATCCTTCCTGCTTCCTGCCGTCATCCTTCCTGCTTCCTGCCGTCATCCTTCCTGCTTCCTGCCGTCATCCTTCCTGCTGCTCCCTGTTGTTTGATACTACCACAAGCAAATGTTTGTTCTTGTTCCCCGTGTTGCCCTTTTCAGGGATCGAGTGATTGAGTTCCAGTGGGCACCGAAGGACCCGTGGACGTTTGCGAGTGTGTCAAGCAACGTGAACAAGAGAAGGGGAGGAGGCACACTACAGGTGAGCGCTTATAGCTTGGGGTGATGATGGTAGTTATGTAGTTAATGCATGTTCCTATGGGTTTTGAGTCGACTAGAAACACACCATGGGAGGACGGACTCAACAGGTAGAGTACCGTGAGAAGAATTGTGGTGTTATTGCTGAGTTTCAGTGGCACTTTTGACATGTTCTTTGCTTGTTTTATTGTTGGATGGTCTGTGCAGATGTGGCGAGTGTTGGACCTCATCTACCGCCCGGCTAAAGACGTGGTTATTGACCTTAACCGTTACGTTTAGTAACCCCTAATCGTAGCCTAAGCACCTTAATTTGCTGTTGGTGTAGAATCTCAGCTTTAGGCTGAGAACATAGTCTAATCAATTTACTAACACAGCTGGGCTGTATTTCTTTCCTCAATTCCCTTCTCTGGTTTATTATACCATATGTGCTGGTTTTGGATATAGTGAAAATGGAAGCCTAACTTATATTTAGGATGATTTCAATAACGGATATTCAGAAGACCTGAACACGATGCTCAAAACCTTCAACCCCGAACCATCAGTCTAAACAACTCTGGATGTTTCGGCATTTCTGTTCAGGTCCTTCAAGTAGCGTCGCGTCGCTTGTTTCTGCTGATAAATCGCGCGAGGAACTTAATTCCTGATCAGTTACTTAATGCGCTAGGCGGCATGGCGATGAGTATGGACATGGTCCTGCCGGGAACCGTGCTTCACACGGACCTTGCGCAGGAGCTCGCCTCGCGGGGGTTTGTCGATAACCTTCGCCCGCCCATGGCCGCGGCCGCGGAGCTGCTTAGCGCTGTCGGAAGAAGCGGAGAAGACAGTAACGAGGATGACGACGTGGAGCTCTGGCTCGTGCAAATGCCAGACGCAAAAAGTGTACGCGCTAAGATCTTCACGCATTTTTATTTCACATATACCTGCCCCACATGTCGTATGATTTCTTACATGTTGGTATGCTGGACCGCTTTTTCCTCGTCCAACCTCCCTTTTTGTCCCGTTTCTTTCACCTCTTCCGCTGCGCTTCCCCCATCTCCCGTCTCCGCGCAGTTGGACCTCCGCGCGCTAGACGGCGCGCAGTTGCAAGTGCAGGCGGGCGCACGGGGGGAAGCGGAGGCGCAGGGGGACGGTCGGAGGGTGGAGGTGTGCCGGTTTGCGCCACCAGGAGCAGCTGCCGCGGGGCGAGGCGCAGCGGGGGGGAAGGGATTCGTCTGGGGAGGCCAGCCAATCACGGTGAGGATTTTGGGGACCCCAGTAAGAGATGCGAGCGGGGGATGGGAGGGGGAAGGGGAGGGAGAGGGGGGGGAGGAATGAGGAAGGGGAAGAAGTCCGCACTCGCGTCGGACCCACTGCCCTGTGGTGGTCTGGCTGTTCATATTTCAACTACCGAGTAATCCCTGTGCCCCCCCGCCCCCATTCTCTCGCTCACTCACCCCCCCAGGAGCTCGCACTCGTGTCCGATCCACTGCCCCGAGGGGGTGTAACAGGTTTCCAGTCGACTCGAAACTCATGTCTGTGTCCCTCTGCCCTCACCCTCTCACCCTCCCAGGAGCTCGCACTCGTGTCCGATCCACTGCCCCGAGGGGGTCTGGTGGCGGTTCTACCTGGCTGTGACGGCCGCGCGCCCATAGGTATGCTCGCCAAAGAGTCACTGTTTGAAGCATATGTGTGACTGGGGCATGTGTGACTGGGGCATGTGCGCATGGCATGTGCATGGCGTGTGCACGCCCGTGCGTTACAGGCAGATATGTGCATCGTGCCTGGTGGCCGTTCTGCCTGGCTGTGACGGCCGCCCTCCCATAGGTATGCCCGCTCGTGGGTTACCGGAGCATGTGTGCATGCTGTATGCATTCGCGTTCACATTCTCATTTGCATCCCTTCCCATACTCGCTGCTTTCAGTACTAAACCTCTCTTCCCCTTCACACTTCTGTCCTTCCCTCCCCGCCTTCACTGTCCCCACCACCCTTATTCCCTTGTCGCCTGGTACCTTGTGCTCTTATCAGTGCGGCCAATCACTCGCTCCGTCACGTGTGTGTCTGCTGCTGCCGTGCCACATCCTGAGTCCACTCCAACACCCCCTCAAGGTGACCCTTCCTGCTTACACAAGCTATTTCTGTACATAATTGTACTCTGTTTTAATTGTGTATTCACAAATGAGTCATTCTAGTGGGGATGTATCTGCCGTGACAGATGTAGGCCACAGTTACCCTGTGCTGACTGAACTCTATCCTGTCTGCACTGAAATCAGTGGTGTTAATCCCTCTGCCAAGTGTTTGGTGCGGTTTTTTTTTAAATACAGAATCGTTGTCTGCCAGGAAGAATGGCAAGCAAAAGAAGCTTGCTGATAAGGCGGGATTTGGAGAGAAGGCAGAGACTCCCAAAATGAAGAAGAAAAAGCGGAAAGCAGATGCTGAGGGAGATGCTACCAGAAGTGGTAAGAAGTAAAAAAAGATGGAAGCTTCATTGACATTTTGGGATAAACAACTCAGTTTTCTCGCGTAAGTCTGTCTATAGTGGGAGTTAGGTGCTGTATCTCAATGAAGAGACATTAACCCAGCTTTGAAGCTATGGGAAGTTTGGGTTGTTTCCAATATAAATCTTAGTGCATTTGTCTACAGCATATTCGAACGGTTCGTCCTCATCCGCCGCACTGTTCCCTCGTAATTTTGGGACTTTGAGCCCCATTTCAAGTGAACTTGTGGGAGTGACGAAGGGGCTGTTCGACAGGCAGCCACCTCCTTGCAGGGTTAGGGTTAGGCTAGAGCTAAGGGAAGATTTCGAAGTAACTTCCCCTAGGCTAACCCCCACCTCACGAAATCGGAAGCCGCGCCTCCCGAGGTCGGAAGGAGGGGGTCGTCGTGGCGATGTTGCGACCCCTCCTTCCACCATCTTCATCGTGGGCAGGGGCAAAATGTTTGCACCGTACGGCATGGGAACCTGGGTAAATAATGGGGAAAAAAAGCCACACAACCCTCACGCGTCAAGAGTAGCAAAGGCACGTGAGTTGTCGGAGGAGGGGACTTTTTCAGGGCAGACATGGAGATGGTTGGAGCATGGGCCCTGGTGGAACAGTTTTTGTGGGGTATAGATTGAGTATTCCCTCCCATATGGAACTCTAGCCTATCCCTTGGCCAACCTCCATTTTGGGGAGGCGAGGGCTGGGCTAGAGCTAGGCTCATCTCTGTGCGTGTGAGAAGGGTCTTGGAGCTTTCCGGGGGGCTAAAGTTGAGGGGTTAAAGCCCGAGGTCAGCATGGCAAAGCGTTTTTTGTTTCTAGGGTTTTAAACAGTAGCGAGAACTGTTTTCGTTGAGAGTACCCTGGCAAAGCAAAACACATGTTCGCCGCACATGTTTATATTCGACAAAAGGTGATTTGGCGACCAAGCATGCGACCCGTCAGGTGCCAAGGAGCGCAGCCAATCAGGATGGTGGAATCGATAGCTCAAACAAGCACAAGCAGGGCAACCAATCAGGGTAGGGACAACAAGAAAACGGGGGAATACAACTCGGTGATGGGATGATACAACTCGTGAGTCAAACAGTTCGCGTGCAACCCGCTTACCAACCTTACTAGTAGGACTGGAGCAGAGTAAGAAAATCGGTGCGACAGAACAGCTAACAACTCATTCAGTCGCTTTAGAATCCGACCATCGCACACCAGCTAGGGTTTTTTAGTGAACACAATTTACGTTACTTGAATTAGTAGGTGCAGCGCGTATATGCAAACGAAAGGAAGCGCAGGCGCAAGATTCGAGTGTGAAGCACGGAGAAAATGGGTGTGAGGAGAAGAGAAAGGGTCGCTTTGCCTACCTCGCGACCCTCGCCCGTCGCCCTTGCTTTCTCCGCCCACTGCCCTCGCCCCGCCCGTCGCCCTCGCCGCCTCGTCGCTCGTCGCCCTCGCTTCCTCCTCCCGCCCTCGCTTCCTCCGCCCGCGCGCTTCTCCCATACCGTCGACCTCGCTTCCCTCGCCCATCCCCCTCGCTTCCCCCGCCTGTCGCTCTCGCTTTCCCGGCCTACCACACTCGCCTCTCCCTTCGCCCTCGTCGCCTCCCCGCCCGTCGCCCTCGTCTCCTCCGCCCATCTACTTCGCTTTCCCCCGCCCGTCGCCCTCACTTCCCCGCCCCATCGCTCGCCCCTTCAATCGCTGCTGCTTCCTTTTTGCAGAGGCCACTTTCCCTCTTCTCACTCTCCGTTTTCAGTCGCATCTCCCAATCCGCCCACGTCGCAACTTGCATTCCTGCCTCATGTCGTTCTCGCTGCTCAGATTCTACAGCAGTTTGCGCTCAGTCTCCCCCCACCCTTCACACCCCAGACTACGCTCGAATTTCCCCCTTGATTGCGCTCGGTTTCCCCCCCTGATTGCGCTCATTTTCCCCCCTGGTTGCGCTCGGTTTCCCCCCCTGATTGCGCTCAATTTCATTCATAAATGTCCTCTGGCATCCTCCTGCGTACCCTCCCCCCTTTTCTATCACTCCTTCACCCTCTCCCCTCTCTTTCTATCTCTGTCGATCCCTCCCCCTCTCTTTCCCTCATGTCCCCCCTCCAACCCCAATTCCTTTCCCTCCTTAAAGGAATGATAAGGGACATGGGGAAGCAGGGAGGGGGATGGGGGGAAGCAGAGAAGGGCGTGGGGGGAAGCAGGGACGGGGACATGGGGAAGCAGGGAAGGGGATGGGGGGAAGCAGGGAAGGGGATGGGGGAAAGCAGGGGAAGGGACATGGGGAAACAGGGAAGGGAATACGGGGAAGCAGGGAAGGGGATGGGGGGAAGCAGGGAAGGGGATGGGGGGAAGCAGGGAAGGGGACATGGAAAAGCAGTGCGGGAAGCCCAGGGGAAACAGTGAAGAGAATGGGGGGAAGCATTTCGTGGGGAGCGGGGGAGATGCCGGGGAGAGAGCTATCCGAAGGACGGTGGGGAGCCTGGAAATGGTGTGGGGAAGGAGAGAGGTAAGCGGTGTGGAGGTGAAAGGCGATCATTAGGGGAAGGGCCACCGTGTGTGTGGGTTGGAAAGGGGGCATGACTGGTCCAAATGAGTTGGGAAGGGAGATGGGAGGGATGGCGACATTGACGGAGATGCCAGGGCGACGAGGGGAGAGATACGGGGATTGCGAGGGGACGAGCGGGAGGGAGGGCGATGAACGGCAGGGAGCGCGACGAGACAAAGGGGGGCAACGGGCGGACAGGAGCGCGACGAGGGGAAGGTATGGCGGCGGGTGGTCGGGTGGGCAATGGGAGGAAGGGAAGGTGACGAGACGAAGGGAGGGTGACGGGCGGAAGGGATGGCGACGGCGGAAGGGAGGGCGACGGGCGGAAGGTATGGCGACGGGCGACGGGCGGAAGGAATGGCGACGGCGGAAGGGAGGGCGACGGGCGGAAGGGAAGGTGACGGGCGGAAGGGAGGGCGACGACGGAAGTGAGTGCGACGAGCACTAGGGAGAGCGACGGGCAGTAGGGCGACGGCGGGAGGGAGTTTGATGGGCGTAAGAGAGTGCGACGGGCGGAAGGGAGTGCATGCACGCGGAAGGGAGTGCGACGGGCGGAAGCGGGTGCGTCGAACGTACATGTGAGGCAAGCGTCCGATCCGTGCGCTTCGAACGTACATGCCTGCGCCATCGTCCCTATAGAAATGGGCGTGACGAATGACGTTTTTCTTTATGCTGGCAAGTATTATTTTTGTTGTTGGGAACAACAAACAGGCTTCTGCAAGGATACTGACATCTCGCTGCCATTGTCTAAATGCGATCTTACGCGCTCTTGTGGTCCTGAACAGCGGAGCGAACTACGTGTTTTAGACTCAATATGGCTGCACATTAGTACAACTTGGTTTTCAAGTTTACTGAATGTGAACAGTGGTCCGACTCCCGTTGACACTTCACGCGGAATACTTGTTTTGTCGCTGGCCAATCATGCATCAGAGTTGTGAAGCCTCTCCTCTCTGAGGCGACGGAGAGCTTTTCTTCGGGTGGTAACCTGGTTTTTGGCGAGTTCATATTCAAGAATCTTGAATTTGAAAACAGCCATGTGGAACTCGGGCTTTAAAGAAGCGTTCGACAGGCTAACCCTAACCCTTCAGGTTCCAGAGCGTTAAAGCCCAGTGAGACCAAATTACGGGCTGACCGTGGGAAAAAACACAAAGTCGAAACAGCTGCGATGATTCCGCGGAAGGGCTTGCATGCCTGTCGAACAGCCCCGAAATGACAACCCATTCATCTCTGGGAATCCCGTGTGGAGGACACCACAGAAACAGCCACCCAACGAATCCCGTTCATTACAGGCTCGTAGCTGCAGAAGCTGCAGCTCATTCAGCCGTCCCTACTAGAGAGACTTGGTATTGCTCACTGCTGCATGCCTGACACTTATAAGATCACCCTGCCATCGCTCTGAGCAGGCATTGTCGGTAGGGAATGTAGAAGCGTAGTTAGTAGTTCGCCGCAGGGAAAGATCATGGAGTTTTCATGGTTTAGGAGTCAATATTCTAGGTTTGCACGAGACTCTTCTATGCGTTGTTCATCCTCAATCCCGTCGCTGCTGACAATGACCCTAGCAGGGCTGCAAGCCGTGCCGAGGTTCCTGTGCCTCTGAAACGAGTCCGTAGGAACCAGACAATCCCGAAGGCGCGTGCGTAGACTCTCACAGTCCACTGCTTCAAAAACTGAAGACTAGGACTTTCCGTTCAGCTTATCGGGTCACAGCGGGTTTAATTCAAGACAAGCCAGTTGCCCATTCCTGACGCGCCTGAAGAATAAAGCTGTTCAGACTCCCATGAGGACTCGAGCGGTCTCGTAAACAGTCTGACTCTGACCCGTGCATTTTTTTGGAATAAGCCTGAAAGCCTAGGCTCACGGGTTTGACCGGATCGCGACATTTCCAAGATGAACCGGTCCTGTAGCGACGGGACATTTAACACCCTTCGCAGTATCGGCGGCATTGGCGAAATCTCCTTCGCCAAGGATCGCGACGTCGCCAGCATCTCTTCGGCTCCTGACAACCCCTCTCCTGCTGCTTCAGAAAATGTTGCGAAAGGGATCAGCGAAGGGATGTGCGAACAAGGCTTCCGTTCTCAGTCCCTCGCCGCCTTACCGTCCTTTTCAGTTAACTTCTCAAATAATCCCAGTTATCCTATCCCTCTCCCCTCAGTTGCGGCCACTGATACGACAGCAAAGCAGGATCACATTCTCTTTCCAAAAGAGGGTTTTGATGCCATTACATTTAAACCAGCCGCTCCGACTCACGACATGGAAAGCATCTGTACCCCAAGGGTCTCGTTAGCCCCGCCGAAGAGGGAGAGCGCGTTAACGAGCTTGCCAGAATCCGTCGTTATCGCTGACGGTTTCGGTTCTCCGTCTGGCGTGACTGAGCGTCCGCTAGCGGCAACAGCATCAGACCCTCTCATGAACGCTTCAGCCAGACAGATGCCCATCCATTTTACCCTCTCAGACAGCAACTTGCCTTCCCTGTCTTCATCTGCGAAAGATTCCTCCACCGCTTCTTCTGTTGCTGTTCCTGCAGAAGCTGTGACAGCACCTGTTCAATCTACGAAGGAAGGTTCCCCTGTTCAAGTTTCTGACGTCCCCCACAGCGATTCTGCAAGCGCCTATGGTTTTCTGGAAGGCAGGAGCAAAGTAATATATCAGAAGTTCATTCCGATATCTACTGATGCGGACGCAATCGACGGCTCTCAATCGCCCTCGCCCAGGCAGGACATCTCGCATCCGCGTCGCCTGCACCACAGCGGGCCAATCGTCATTGGTAACCGGAAGAAGGCTCTCTTCGCTGCTGCTCTCGAGGCGAGGGAGGCGAAGAGGAGCAGCACCGCGGATGGGGCTGTTGATGCTGACGCTGATGCTGGTGCTGGTGCTGCTGGTGCGGTTGCTGCTACTGCTGGTGCTGCAGGGGAGTTAGTTTCTGTTGCTGGAACTGGAAGCTCTGGTGGCGCTTCTGTTGCTGGTGACGCTAATTGCTTTGCTGCTGCTTCTGTCAGTGACAGCAGTGGTGCTGGTAGTGAAGCTGACGATGGTGGTCGCTGTGATGCTGCAGGTGCAGAAGCCGCGAGGGCTACTACCAGTAGTGTTGTTGCAAGTGCTGAAAGGAAGGGAGTGGGAGGGAGCGGGAGCCTTACCAGTGACCCGTTCCGGTTTCTGAAGAGGATTGGTAGGCGTCACTCAGCCGGCAAGTCTGAGGCCCTGGCGCTGCGGGAAAATGCAGCAGCTTATGTCATGTCTAAACCCCAGGGGACGGAGGAGGAGCGATCACAGCAGCAGTCGCTGCAACAGTGGCACCACCAACGGTGGCAGCAGCAGCAGGCGCCTACTCTCGGCGATTCATTTGAATATCCAAAACAGGGTGACTTACCCCAGATTTTATCCACCACTCCTCCATCACCCTCTCCCAGCCCCCTCACCTCTCCTCCCTGGTCGGCCAAGCCCCCGCACTCCCCCAAGCCAGGCACACATGTAATCTCGCCCCCATTACACACGAACCGTGCCATTAAGCGTGCCAGTAGTAATACTCAAGGACAGCGCACCACAGATGGCACACAGAGCGGGGTGCAGCAGCAGCAGCAGCAGCAGCAAGACGCGGGCATCATGGAGTACCCCTCATGTGCCTCAGAATCTGTGGTGGATCAGCGGCAGCAGCGGCCGCGGTCGCCTCAGCTGGGCTTCAGGTTCTTCTCCAAGCCACACAAGCGCTCCGGTAGCCGTGCCAGTGGTGCTGCTGCTGGTGCTGGCGGTGGTGACGGTGGTGGTGGCGGTGGTGACGGTGGTGCTGGCGACGACTGTGGTGTGGTTAGCAGCAGTGGTAGCGTCACGAGTGACACTGCGAGCATTCTGCACAGGACGAGTAGTGACACTGCGGCAGAGCATATCAGGCACACGGGGTCCCCTGAGCCTGGCGGTGACTTGGTGGCCCTTGCTGTTGCCTGTGGAACCACCATAGACACACGTAGCTGGAGGGAACAGCAGCAGCGCCAGTTTCAGAAGGATTTGCAGCAGCAGCAGCAGCAGCAGATTCAGCAGGAGTTGACATCTGAGGCCACCACAGGGCAATTGTCTCCTCCCAATCCCCTCTCCCCTCTGAGCGATGGCTCTTCCGACTCCTACTTTACCTCTCCTCCACATGCTTTGGATCGGTGCGTGACTGAACCGGGTCAACAGACGTCAGCGCTCTCACCAACCCCAGACATGCACAGCAATGGCACAAAAGCAGAGGGGTTTGACGACGCGGAGGAGGGGGAGCGAGAGCAAGAGGAGGGGGCTGGGAAGGGGTTAGGTGCTGGAGTGATGCGGCTTCAGTCCAAAATCTCCAAGGCAGTGGACAAGAGAATGTCGGCTCGCGGGGGTGAAGCGGGCTTTACGTTTATGAGGGGCTTGAATGGGAGGCGCAGAGACAGGAAAGGATGCTCTGGCGCTGCCTCTCAGGATTTTGGCAAAGGAGACAGCGAGGGAGGAGGAGTTGGAGCAGGAGCGGGAGGAGGAGGAGGGGGAGGAGGAGGAGGAGCAGGGGGGCTGCGTTTCCTTCCACCTGGGATGGCCCGGAACCACAGCGTTCCAATCAGCGCTGGTGAATCTGCACGCCCCCCCAAGCTGGATAAGGTTGTCTACTGCCCACCTGTGCGTGTCCCAGTCGATCCCAGCCGTCCAATCGCCCTGTCGATCCGTCCACGCCCTCGATCTGGAGCCCTGCCCCAAGGCACGCCCCATGGCAGCCGAACATGCTTGCTAGTTACCCTAGATTCTGCCATTTTCCTGGTTACAGATGATGGGATCAGGGTGTGGGATATTCAGCACGTGATGACCCCTAATGGGGCCTCGGGATTAGGAAATCCAAGGGGGGATGAAGAGGCAGCAGCGTTTTTCTGGGTTCCATTCGGGGCAGGTGTATCTGCAGCCAAGAGCATTGCAGCAGACATCAAGGGACGGATGGTTTTTACAGGGCAAAGGGATGGAAGGGTGCTGGTGTGGAAGGTGCGGGAGAGGGGAGTGGGCGAAGGAGCAGCGCAGGGTAGTACTGGCAGTGGCAGCGCAGGGGAGCGAGGAGGACGGGTGGAGGAAAGAGGAGGGGGGGTGACGGATAGAGGAGGAACAACGATGGGCAGGAACGACTCAGGCGTAAAGGGAGGGGAGAAGGAGCCTGGGTGGAAGGTGTGGGCGGAGTTGGTAGCAGAGTGGCAGGCGCATACCACCACTGTGACAGCCCTTGTAGTCACTTCATACGGCGAGCTCTGGTCTGCAGGGGACAGGGGGGTGATTAAGGCGTGGCCCTGGCCCAGCCTATGCAGCGAGCTCTCCCGAGCTTCTTCCTCGCCCAGCCCAGCGCCCACGCCACCACCCACTGTTCCTCTCAGCAGCACTGCTCCCCTTCGAGCCCCTTGTGTGATCCGCCCTGCTGCCGTGCCTGTGCTTCTGCACGCGGCCTCCTGTAACGTCCAGGTGCCAAGGAACCGCGTTGTAGTTGCATCTGCCTCAGCTGCTGCGGCTGCTGCTGCTGCTGCAACACCATCTGATGATGGTGATGATTCTAAGGCAACTGGTGGGGCAGGAGGGAGCACTCCTGTCACTGCAGCAGAAAGCAGTGGCAGTGGCAGTGGCAGTGTAGCTGCTGCAGCAGGAGGAAGTGGTGGGGGGGGCGGTGGCAGCAGCGCTGCTGCTGGGACAGGGGTAGAATACGAGGGTGGCAGTGGGGGCGTGGTGTATGGAGTGACGTCAGTGCGGCGATTGGTGTCAGACCCGGCAACGGGGCAGGTGTGGAGCATTGGAGCTGCTTCCATCTCCATCTGGTGAGCCCATGCCCATCCACCTACTCAAACAGTCCCCGTTCTTGCATGTTGCCTTTTCGTTTTGCAACCTTGGTTCGTACTAAACTCTTCGTTTTCCCACCCACTACCTTACCCTCCGTGGCCCCACCTACCTACTTGCCCAGGGACGCGAGGAAGCGAGCGCTGGTGTGTCATGTGAAGGTGAAGGACGAGGAGAGGGCAGCTGCTGATACCTCCTCTGGCGCTGTTGCCTCTGGAGCCAGCAACGCTACAGCCGCTACAGCCAACAGCGCCACAGCCCCTGGTAATGCTGCCCCTGGCACCCTTGGTGGCACCAGTGCTGGTGCTTCTAGCACTTCTAGCGCTCCTATTGGTTCAGTGACGAGTGGTGACAGCTATAGGGAAGCACCAGTTGTAGCAGGCACACTAGCACCAGGGGAAGACGAGCCCCTCACCTCCTCCGCCTCTGCCTCCTCCTACTCCTCCTCCTCCTCCCGGCCCCCCAAGCGCAAGCTCCACGCGGTCGCGCCAGCTGGCGACGGCACGGTGTGGATCGGGCACGGGTCGGGCATGCTGAAACATGCACAGCAGCAGCAGCAGCTGTGGCAACCACTGCACTGGTTGACGGAGAGGCAGAAGATGAGGTCAGCAGCCCTGCACTGGGTCGTGATAGTACAGCTGGGTTGGATGGTAAGGAAGGGCCGGGTAGCAGCACGAGTAAGGATGGGAATCTCAGCTCCCAAGCACCTGCTGGTGCTACCACTGCTTCTCCTGCTACTGCTTCTTCAGCTTCTTCCGCTGCTTCTCCTGCTACTGCTTCTTCAGCTTCTTCCGCTGCTTCTCCTGCTACTGCTTCTTCAGCTTCTTCCGCTGCTTCTGCTGCTTCTGCTAATGCGTCCGCTCCTGCTGCTCCTGGTCCTGGTCTGACTGCGAGTTCGAGTGTGAGTGCACCTCAAAGAGCGATCGAGGAGCAGGAGTGCACGCTGGCGCAGCCAGTGAAGGCCCATGTGTTGCGCTACGATGCATGCATGGAAGCCATTCAGAGCGACCACAAGCCAGTCAGATGCCTCTTGGATGTCTCCGTTGCTTCTGTTGATCTGCCCGCTACAAGATGCCTGCTCGGGCGGCTTCTTACTCTCAGCTCCCAGGTCCGGGCAGCCCTGCAAAATTCTCACCACCTGCCCGACGTGCCAGCTGCCGGCACATGTGTGGATGTGGATCCATCGACCGGGCAGGCTTCGGTGATTGTAATGAATCGGAACGAAAGTGACTCTATGGGGTTTATCGTGCAGTGTGAGGGGGAGACTGTTTTCCAGTCTGGGAGGAAGGAAGAACAGGAAGCAAGTGAGGGAGGGAGAGATGAGGGCGCTGAAGGAGGGAAGGTCATGTTGGGAGGCACGTGCGGTGGCAGTGGGCGAGGGGATTGGCAGAGGAGGCAGATGGTGCGGGCAGGTGGTGGATTTCCACTCTGGCTCAAGGTATTGCTCTGCTATGCTATGCTTCTCCTGAGTTCTGCAGCTTGGTTACTTCTTTAGCTTCACCTGAATAAAACTTATCGCCAGTTGCTGGAGGTCAAGTGCTGTTATTAGAGTGCTGCTTGTAACCTACCATGGTTGTGCCTGTGTGTTTCTCATGTGCAGGTGCTGCCTGGTGCAGGCATTCTCATTGCAGGTGGCAGCATGACTATCAACTTCTGTGTGTCCACTTCGCATGCTGCACCGCCTGGTTCTCCTGCTGCCAAGGAGCACACAGAGAATACAAGGCACACAGAGAAGAGAGCGCACACAGGGCACACAGAGCAGCATGAGCAGCACGAGTCAGGCAGCGGCCTGTTGCTGCAGCCAGTGGAGCAGCAGCCTATTAGAAGAGGGTCTGATGGGGAGGAGGCGGAGGCAGGGCAGGGGCAGGTTTGTGGGCAGGAGGTGCGAGGGCAGGCGCAATCGGCAGGATCAGGTGAGGGTGAGATGGTGTTAAACATGTCTCTCACCACCTGGGGCCCAGCGCCGGTCAGCACACACACGCACCGCTTCTCCCTCCGCATCCCACCCTCCCTGCACCTTCCGTATGAGCATTTCGAATCAACAGTAAAAAACATGTGAGTTTCTGAGGCAGACTGTCCCCATGCAAATGAAGTGACTCATTCTGTAAATAGCCAGACCGCAGGCCATGCTCCAACTCTGAGACCTCAAGCCTAGCCTAGGCTCTCACAAGATCCAACTGTGAGACCCTAATACGACAGCCTAGCCTTTTAGCCTGATTAGTCATACTTGGCCCTGGATGTTAGTGTGGCCAAATGACGTTCTTCCTGTGTGATTTCTAGCCACCAGGGAGCACCAAAGGGCGAACTGTTGTCCTTTGGAACAATGACTTGTAGGTTTTGTTCCATGTAATGGTTGATCTGGATGTGCCTTTTGGAGTTGTGTTTGTAAGGTGTACATGTTATGTCAACACATCAGCATCTGACCTGTGCTGATTCCGTTCTCTATTGCTTCGCTCTGCATGATGCCTTTCGCTTGGGCTGGGACGAACAATGTTCATGACGCGTTACAAGAACCTCCCGCCGTCACTTTCACTTCTCCGACCAATCCGTGCGAAGCTAGTGCGACGCGCGCCGATCCACGAAAACTAGCATTCCGCCACCCCCGCGGTTGAAAGCTCCCCCAAATGTAACGTTCCAAGAAACGAAACGCGCGAGTCATTTCTGCGAAGTCAGGCAGGGACCTCTGCGAAAAATACGACAGCACATCACCTTCCAGGATCCACCCTAGCCCTTCGCAGAAACCCACCCCGCTGGCCCCCTTCCTACAACCAACAGGCCCCGCCGTCACCCGTTACAGCAGCAGCACCCCCACTTCCAAATTCGCGCCTACCACGCCCTCCAGTCGCCATCCTCCATCCATTCCATCCATCCCACCCACATTTCACATTTGGTCGGCGCTACGAGGAAACTCGTACTTTTTGCTTGTCATGGGTGATGAGAGTCGTGTTTCCTGATTTCAGCCATCCGTCAACCACATTTGCAACCCCAGCTAGCTCCTCGTTTGCTACGTACTCGTGGACACTTAGTTGAATTCTCCTCCGTATGAATCCCACTGCTAGATCTCTCCTTGACTCGTTTTGTACGCACGCAAGCAGCTGCGGTGGCAGCGCATCGCCATGACTGCGCGCACCTCGCGCATCCCCGCATTCAGCGACTGGGCTCTCGACGACCACGATGACAGCCAGGGCGACGAGTCGGACCGTCGATTAAAGTACACTCACGAGTTCGCGCTCCTACGCCAGAAGCCCCGCGGGCCTCCTTCCCCGCATTCGCTGCTCCTTGACGCCTCCTCTTTCGACTCCGCCACCCCTTCTTTCTCCCCTTTGTCCGCGACACCTTCCGCCGCCTCCGCCGGGTCCGCCGCTTCCGACTTTTCCGCCTCTTCCTTTGTTACAGCATCTCGGCATTCTCGAGGTTCGAGCAGCGACCGTAGCGGCGACGACAATAGCCTTCCTTCGACTACGAGAGACGTGAGCGCAGGAGTCCGTGATGACGTGGAGCGAATCCTGGCGTCCACGTCACCCCTGTCCCCCGTGTCTCCAGCGGCGGACACGTGTCTGTTCCCGCAATGGGCGCCGATCCTTCCACAACGCCGAATCAGCCAGGGACGGAAAGGCGGGTTCCTTGCAGCTAGCAGCAGTAGGAGCAGCGGTAAATCCGTCAGCAGGAGCAGTAGCAGCGGCGGCAGCGGCGGCAACGGCGGCAGCAGCAAGAATGCGAGCAAGCGAAGGGAGCTCCCTGTGCTGCTAAACTCATCCCAGCTCGACCAACTCAACATGCCTCCGCCGCCGCCGCTGCTCCCTCTCTCCGCCAGCTCCTCGCTGCACGCCTCCGACTCCGGTGCCGACTCCACCGATGCGCTAATCGCCGCCAACGATGCCGACGATTCGAGCTCGCTTGCGGCACATCGCGCTGCCAAATGTGCGTCGCCGTCACGTCCTCGTCACGATCATAGCGGAAGCGACTCGCCGTCTTTCGACTCGCCTCCCGTTCCCCGGTATTCCTTCACCTTTCACTCGCCGGCTCCCGAGGAGAACTGCTCTTCCTCTCCAGGCGCAGCCAGCGGCGAAGCTTCCCCAGGCGAGGCGGCGGAGCGGGTCCGCCAGCGGCTGCGCAACTCGCGCAGCCTCCGGATTTCCGTCTCGCGCCAGCTCATGGACAGCAGCAACAGCGCGCCCTCCTCTCCCGTGCACGCATCCGGCGCATTCGGTTCCCCCTTCGGCTCCCCCCCCGCATCCGATTACGAAAACGGCTCATCCGCGACCCCTGGGCGGAGAGGGTCGCGCGCGCAGGGCGCAGCGGCGGCGGATAGATGTTGGGACGACTCGTCGGTGCTGGCGCTATTAGAGCACAGTCGGCTGTGCCGCCAGGAGGTGGTTCAGCTGCTCGGGCTGTGCCAGCCTGGCCTCGCCCCGCTTGCGCCGTCGGCGCAACCTGCGCCAGTTGCGCCAATCGTCGCAGTTGCGGAGGTCTCCGCGGTCGCTCCTACCGCGCCAGCTGCGCCAGTGGTGTCGAGTGCGGGGCTCATGAAGGAAACCAGCGGGGGTGAGCGTCAGGCGGAAGCCTCTGCGGGGGCGCACACAGCAGGCGGGACAGGTGAAGCAAGGTTCAAGATTGAGACAGCTTGCGCTGAGGGCAGAGCAGAGCCGGTCAACAGCTCATCATGTGCGAGCGCATGCCCTGCCAGCATGACAGCGCCGCATGCCTACACTGACAGCACCACGGCACATATGACTCAGAGTGATGCCGGGAAGAATGACAAGTCGCTGACTGAAAGTGCGGGTGGAAATGCGGGTGGAAGTGTGATTGGAAGTATAATTCCTTGCTGCCCTGGCACGGGGGGAATGGGCGGAATCAGCAGAGCGGCGTTGCGCGTCGCAGCAGCCCCACGTGCTCCGTGCAGTGTTTCTCCCTCGCAGTCGCGCGGCAGGGCTGTCCCCCCCACCATGTCGTCCGCACTGAAGTACAATGCGGGTGCGGAGGATAAGGGCTTCAGCGTGATGTTTGCCGAGTTGCGGGAGAGACGGCAGCAGGATAAGGCAGCTGCTGGCGCCACTGGTCATGCTGCTGCTGCAGCGTCTGGGTTTGATGAGGATTCTGAGGAGAATCAGATCCAGGGTGCAACTGTGACAGCAGGTTCTTGTGGAGACACGAGCAAAGTCAGTAGCAGTCCCCCCAGGACCAAAGCTGCCGGTCGCTCCATTAAAGGCCTACAGTGGATTGGTGTTCGGGCGGACGATATGGATTTTATTCTCAAGGAGTTGGCAGAGGCAGCCATGGGAGGAGGGGAGGAGGTGGCAGGGTTTGATGAGTATGCGGGAGAGGAGACTGAGGACGATGGAGGGGGATTATCGGAGAGTGATTATGTCAGTGAGGAGACTAGTGATTGTGATTGCAGTGAAGCGGAGAGACAGGACAATGAGTTGATAGCAGTGCTGAGGAAGGTTCAGGGCAGGGAATGGTGGGGTGGAACCTGTGCGGGCGGTGGGCCTGAAGAAGCTGGTCATCACTGGTTGCGACGAACTCAAAGCAAAACCAAGGTACAGCTGCTTGCTGTGTGTGTGCATGCTATCCCTTGTCGGATTTCTGATCCTTCCACTGTTATTGTTCGATACTAATTTCGCTTGTTCTCTTTGCAGGCTGCTTTCCGTAAGCTGCGGAACCTGGTTTTGGGCAGGCCATCTCAAGTAGCGCCATAAAAGTCATGCAAATGTTGCAGACTGCAAATAGTGAAGCCAGGAGTTTTATTAAAACGTTTTATTTGTGCATATGAATGCGTGTTTATGTGGAGAAATGGAAATTCAGAATGTCTGAACGTAATGTGCGCTTGTACTTTGCGCAATCATGTAGCTGGTTATCTGGCAGAACTCCAAGCATATTCCCAGGGAACGACATTATCGAGGGGATCCCGGTCGTGTCGGGACAGGACCGTCCAATTGTGTCACCTTCACTTCACTGCAGCCTCGATTCCATCCTCCGTTGGAGGGAAACCTCGATTTTGTCATTCTCCCTCCGTTGTCCTTCTCACTCCGTCAGTAATTTCCCGTCTTGGTTCTGAACCTACAGTAACGCTCCAACCAACTCCACTTCACTGACTCCTACAGTCTAGCTTCCTACAGTCTAGGCACGTAATTACTCGTCTTTCTGGTCAACTACATTGAGCCCGCCTTTCGTACTAAACTAGGACCAGACCTGCAAGCTAACCTAAGGACGAACTATTGGTGTCACTCGCTATCGACAAGTGCCACATTGTTTCAGATACCTGCGGTTTTCTGGAGTCACTGCATGTCGATTGGTGCCTGTCTTTGTGCCGAAATGTTGACCAGAAAAAATAGTCGGGCCGCTTTATAGTCCCACAATACCTACATGTCTAGCCTGTCGAGCCTGTTTATCGTTGACCCGATATGCGTCTAAGCTTAACATACCTAACTCACGACTTACTTTTCATTGTCCACCTCTAGCTGTCGTCAGCCTCTTAGGTAGGTATCCAATGGGCGCTTGCGCGGGAAAAGAGGCCCCGCGAACTACCGATCGTTCAGACTACGTAGCGCAGACTCCACAGCAGCAGCAGCAACAACAACAACAACAACAACAACAACATCAGCCGCAGCAGCAGCAACAGCAGCAGCAGCAGAAGCCGCCTCCGCCTAGCAATGTCGCACCTCACCAGAACTCCGCAGCAGCATCCGCCGTTACAGCGGTTCCGAACCAATCCGACGGTCCTCCCGCGCAGCCGCGAAACGACGTCGTTCTTCACAACCCCTTCCCGGAAATGGTAGACCGATCCATTGCAGAGTTCTTCGTTTTAGGTCGAGAGCTAGGCCGCGGGGAGTTCGGCGTGACGTGTCTCGCGACTAGCAAGGCAAACGGCGAGCAGGTGGCCGTTAAGTCCATCCCTAAGCGGAAATTAAAGACGGCCGTGGATATCGAGGATGTGCGGAGGGAGGTGGCGATTATGCACCACTTACCGCCGCACCCTAACATCGTGGGACTTAAAGGGGTATTTGAGGATCGTCACGCGGTTCACATCGTTCAGGAGCTGTGCGAAGGCGGGGAGCTGTTCGAGCGGATTATAGCGAGGGGACATTATAGCGAGCGAGCGGCGGCCGTTATCACACGGACTATTGTGGAGGTCGTGCAGGTGCGTGTGACGGGTGCTGATGAGTGTTTTGATCTGGTGAGTGCGGACGGTGACGTGCAGGTGAGCGGGAATGGCGCTGATGAGTGTGCTGCGGAAGTCGTGCTGGTGAGCGGGAAAACGGAAGGAGAGTGAGGAAATAGAAAATGGTATAAGAAAAAGAGACGGATTGGAAATGGCTCAGAAATGGTACATTGGAATGGAAATTATACGATGTAATGGGAATGGTACAATGGAATGGGAGATAGGGATAGGCGCGGGAGGCAGAGTTCAAAACTGCAAAGAGCATCTAACAGTCTAACTCCTATTTCCTCATTACCCTGCGCCTTGGCCGCCCTTCCATGTGCTCTTTCTCCACCTCCCCTGAAACATCCAAAGCGCTTGCGTGTCCTCTGCGCCAACCCATTCTATCCCATGCATCCCACAATCACGGAGTACTGCACCAGCCATAAAGCCCAACCCTACCCTGCTAACGAGGACAACTTCGAAAGGCCTTGCATCGCTGCAACCCGCCTCGCCCCTCCCCTCCAGGTGTGCCACAAGCACGGGGTGATGCACCGGGATTTAAAGCCCGAGAACTTCCTGTTCGCGAACAACCAGGAGGACGCGGCGTTGCGAGCGATCGATTTTGGGCTGTCCATCATGTTCAAGCCGGGCGAGACGCTGAGCGAGATCGTGGGCAGCCCGTACTACATGGCGCCCGAGGTGCTAAGGAAGAACTACGGCCCCCTGGCGGACGTGTGGAGCGCCGGCGTCATTCTCTACATTCTTCTCTGCGGCGTGCCCCCCTTCTGGGCAGGCAAGTACCCGTGCTGCTCTGCTCACTGCAAACCTACACACTGCTCACATCCCCCCACGCCGTTCTCATTCCCCTCACTCTTCTCACCCGCCCTTACACTCCCACCCCCACCCCCAACCCCAACCCCACCCCACCCTCCCCCCCCCCAACCTCCCTCTTCCCCCCCCTTCACCCTCCACACCTCTTACTTTCTGCAACAGAGACGGAGCAGGGCGTGGCGCAGGCAGTGCTGCGGTCGCAGGTGGATCTGAAGCGGGACCCATGGCCCAAGGTGTCGGATGGGGCAAAGCACCTCGTCATGCTCATGCTGCAGCCCGACACCTCCAAGCGCCCCACCGCCCAGCAAGTGCTGCGTGAGTGCTCCGTTCCCCCCTGCCTCCGTGACTGCTCCCCTCCGCTGCGTGCCTCCGTGAATGCTGCTGTGAGGTGCACTCATGCTCATGCGCCAATCTGAAGGTGTCGGACGGCGCCAAGCACCTTGACATACTCATGCCCCAGCCCGGTACCTCCAAGCGCCCCACCGCTCAGCAAGTGCTGCGTGAGTGCTCCAAGCAAGTGCTCCGCTCTGCTTCTACCTCTGCTTTCTTCCCCCCCCTTCCCTACCTCCTCTCCACCTTTCTCTCTCCTCCTCCCCCCCCCTCTCCCGTAGCTTTTGTTTGCTAGAATCATGTTCACCTGCCTCCTTGCCACGAAGGAACATTAATCATAACTGTCTCTTTCCCCTCCTTCCCCGCATCCCCTGCCCTTCCACCGCCCATCAGAGCGCCCGTGGCTGAGGGATGCCAACGAGGCGCTTTTTGGCGCACTTCATAAATAATCTCCCTCACTTTTCCCCACTTCCCGCCAACTCCCTCTTCGCCCTTCCCCACCTGCTGCGGCCATCAGAGCACCCGTGGCTGAGGGATGCGAACGAGGCGCCTTTTGGCGCACTTCATAAATAATCTCCCTCACTTTTCCCCACTTCCCGCCAACTCCCTCTTCGCCCTTCCCCACCTGCTGCGGCCATCAGAGCACCCGTGGCTGAGGGATGCCAACGAGGCGCCTTTTGGCGCACTTCATAAATAATCTCCCTCACTTTTCCCCACTTCCCGCCAACTCCCTCTTCGCCCTTCCCCACCTGCTGCGGCCATCAGAGCACCCGTGGCTGAGGGATGCCAACGAGGCGCCTTTTGGCGCACTTCATAAATAATCTCCCTCACTTTTCCCCACTTCCCGCCAACTCCCTCTTCGCCCTTCCCCACCTGCTGCGGCCATCAGAGCACCCGTGGCTGAGGGATGCGAACGAGGCGCCTTTTGGCGCACTTCATAAATAATCTCCCTCACTTTTCCCCACTTCCCGCCAACTCCCTCTTCGCCCTTCCCCACCTGCTGCGGCCATCAGAGCACCCGTGGCTGAGGGATGCCAACGAGGCGCCTTTTGGCGCACTTCATAAATAATCTCCCTCACTTTTCCCCACTTCCCGCCAACTCCCTCTTCGCCCTTCCCCACCTGCTGCGGCCATCAGAGCACCCGTGGCTGAGGGATGCCAACGAGGCGCCTTTTGGCGCACTTCATAAATAATCTCCCTCACTTTTCCCCACTTCCCGCCAACTCCCTCTTCGCCCTTCCCCACCTGCTGCGGCCATCAGAGCACCCGTGGCTGAGGGATGCCAACGAGGCGCCTTTTGGCGCACTTCATAAATAATCTCCCTCACTTTTCCCCACTTCCCGCCAACTCCCTCTTCGCCCTTCCCCACCTGCTGCGGCCATCAGAGCACCCGTGGCTGAGGGATGCCAACGAGGCGCCTTTTGGCGCACTTCATAAATAATCTCCCTCACTTTTCCCCACTTCCCGCCAACTCCCTCTTCGCCCTTCCCCACCTGCTGCGGCCATCAGAGCACCCGTGGCTGAGGGATGCGAACGAGGCGCCTTTTGGCGCACTTCATAAATAATCTCCCTCACTTTTCCCCACTTCCCGCCAACTCCCTCTTCGCCCTTCCCCACCTGCTGCGGCCATCAGAGCACCCGTGGCTGAGGGATGCCAACGAGGCGCCTTTTGGCGCACTTCATAAATAATCTCCCTCACTTTTCCCCACTTCCCGCCAACTCCCTCTTCGCCCTTCCCCACCTGCTGCGGCCATCAGAGCACCCGTGGCTGAGGGATGCCAACGAGGCGCCTTTTGGCGCACTTCATAAATAATCTCCCTCACTTTTCCCCACTTCCCGCCAACTCCCTCTTCGCCCTTCCCCACCTGCTGCGGCCATCAGAGCACCCGTGGCTGAGGGATGCCAACGAGGCGCCTTTTGGCGCACTTCATAAATAATCTCCCTCACTTTTCCCCACTTCCCGCCAACTCCCTCTTCGCCCTTCCCCACCTGCTGCGGCCATCAGAGCACCCGTGGCTGAGGGATGCCAACGAGGCGCCTTTTGGCGCACTTCATAAATAATCTCCCTCACTTTTCCCCACTTCCCGCCAACTCCCTCTTCGCCCTTCCCCACCTGCTGCGGCCATCAGAGCACCCGTGGCTGAGGGATGCCAACGAGGCGCCTTTTGGCGCACTTCATAAATAATCTCCCTCACTTTTCCCCACTTCCCGCCAACTCCCTCTTCGCCCTTCCCCACCTGCTGCGGCCATCAGAGCACCCGTGGCTGAGGGATGCCAACGAGGCGCCTTTTGGCGCACTTCATAAATAATCTCCCTCACTTTTCCCCACTTCCCGCCAACTCCCTCTTCGCCCTTCCCCACCTGCTGCGGCCATCAGAGCACCCGTGGCTGAGGGATGCCAACGAGGCGCCTTTTGGCGCACTTCATAAATAATCTCCCTCACTTTTCCCCACTTCCCGCCAACTCCCTCTTCGCCCTTCCCCACCTGCTGCGGCCATCAGAGCACCCGTGGCTGAGGGATGCCAACGAGGCGCCTTTTGGCGCACTTCATAAATAATCTCCCTCACTTTTCCCCACTTCCCGCCAACTCCCTCTTCGCCCTTCCCCACCTGCTGCGGCCATCAGAGCACCCGTGGCTGAGGGATGCCAACGAGGCGCCTTTTGGCGCACTTCATAAATAATCTCCCTCACTTTTCCCCACTTCCCGCCAACTCCCTCTTCGCCCTTCCCCACCTGCTGCGGCCATCAGAGCACCCGTGGCTGAGGGATGCCAACGAGGCGCCTTTTGGCGCACTTCATAAATAATCTCCCTCACTTTTCCCCACTTCCCGCCAACTCCCTCTTCGCCCTTCCCCACCTGCTGCGGCCATCAGAGCACCCGTGGCTGAGGGATGCCAACGAGGCGCCTTTTGGCGCACTTCATAAATAATCTCCCTCACTTTTCCCCACTTCCCGCCAACTCCCTCTTCGCCCTTCCCCACCTGCTGCGGCCATCAGAGCACCCGTGGCTGAGGGATGCCAACGAGGCGCCTTTTGGCGCACTTCATAAATAATCTCCCTCACTTTTCCCCACTTCCCGCCAACTCCCTCTTCGCCCTTCCCCACCTGCTGCGGCCATCAGAGCACCCGTGGCTGAGGGATGCCAACGAGGCGCCTTTTGGCGCACTTCATAAATAATCTCCCTCACTTTTCCCCACTTCCCGCCAACTCCCTCTTCGCCCTTCCCCACCTGCTGCGGCCATCAGAGCACCCGTGGCTGAGGGATGCCAACGAGGCGCCTTTTGGCGCACTTCATAAATAATCTCCCTCACTTTTCCCCACTTCCCGCCAACTCCCTCTTCGCCCTTCCCCACCTGCTGCGGCCATCAGAGCACCCGTGGCTGAGGGATGCCAACGAGGCGCCTTTTGGCGCACTTCATAAATAATCTCCCTCACTTTTCCCCACTTCCCGCCAACTCCCTCTTCGCCCTTCCCCACCTGCTGCGGCCATCAGAGCACCCGTGGCTGAGGGATGCCAACGAGGCGCCTTTTGGCGCACTTCATAAATAATCTCCCTCACTTTTCCCCACTTCCCGCCAACTCCCTCTTCGCCCTTCCCCACCTGCTGCGGCCATCAGAGCACCCGTGGCTGAGGGATGCCAACGAGGCGCCTTTTGGCGCACTTCATAAATAATCTCCCTCACTTTTCCCCACTTCCCGCCAACTCCCTCTTCGCCCTTCCCCACCTGCTGCGGCCATCAGAGCACCCGTGGCTGAGGGATGCCAACGAGGCGCCTTTTGGCGCACTTCATAAATAATCTCCCTCACTTTTCCCCACTTCCCGCCAACTCCCTCTTCGCCCTTCCCCACCTGCTGCGGCCATCAGAGCACCCGTGGCTGAGGGATGCCAACGAGGCGCCTTTTGGCGCACTTCATAAATAATCTCCCTCACTTTTCCCCACTTCCCGCCAACTCCCTCTTCGCCCTTCCCCACCTGCTGCGGCCATCAGAGCACCCGTGGCTGAGGGATGCCAACGAGGCGCCTTTTGGCGCACTTCATAAATAATCTCCCTCACTTTTCCCCACTTCCCGCCAACTCCCTCTTCGCCCTTCCCCACCTGCTGCGGCCATCAGAGCACCCGTGGCTGAGGGATGCCAACGAGGCGCCTTTTGGCGCACTTCATAAATAATCTCCCTCACTTTTCCCCACTTCCCGCCAACTCCCTCTTCGCCCTTCCCCACCTGCTGCGGCCATCAGAGCACCCGTGGCTGAGGGATGCCAACGAGGCGCCTTTTGGCGCACTTCATAAATAATCTCCCTCACTTTTCCCCACTTCCCGCCAACTCCCTCTTCGCCCTTCCCCACCTGCTGCGGCCATCAGAGCACCCGTGGCTGAGGGATGCCAACGAGGCGCCTTTTGGCGCACTTCATAAATAATCTCCCTCACTTTTCCCCACTTCCCGCCAACTCCCTCTTCGCCCTTCCCCACCTGCTGCGGCCATCAGAGCACCCGTGGCTGAGGGATGCCAACGAGGCGCCTTTTGGCGCACTTCATAAATAATCTCCCTCACTTTTCCCCACTTCCCGCCAACTCCCTCTTCGCCCTTCCCCACCTGCTGCGGCCATCAGAGCACCCGTGGCTGAGGGATGCCAACGAGGCGCCTTTTGGCGCACTTCATAAATAATCTCCCTCACTTTTCCCCACTTCCCGCCAACTCCCTCTTCGCCCTTCCCCACCTGCTGCGGCCATCAGAGCACCCGTGGCTGAGGGATGCCAACGAGGCGCCTTTTGGCGCACTTCATAAATAATCTCCCTCACTTTTCCCCACTTCCCGCCAACTCCCTCTTCGCCCTTCCCCACCTGCTGCGGCCATCAGAGCACCCGTGGCTGAGGGATGCCAACGAGGCGCCTTTTGGCGCACTTCATAAATAATCTCCCTCACTTTTCCCCACTTCCCGCCAACTCCCTCTTCGCCCTTCCCCACCTGCTGCGGCCATCAGAGCA